TAATTATTTCTATTTATGCATAATTAAGAATGATTAGGATTAGACATTTTTAGCTTACCCCCCCTCTAAACCTGTTCTAATTAGACATAATTTTCCTAAATTAGGAATCACTAGGATTGATTATAACTTGAAATTTCGGAAAAATCATAATAAATCAAGCATCACAGTTCCCATAGCCTTCTTATAGAGTCATGTCTATTAGAACACTAGTTCAATACCTAAACACAGAATATACCTTATAACAAACTTGCCTTCTGCCAGAGTTGAACCAACAACCTCATGTATGCAAGCACCTGAGACAGATGCTCTAAGCCACTAAGCCACAAGGTCTAAGATATGAACTTGGTAATCTAAATAAGTAGACATAATATAGGCAACCTCAACATCTCTGATTTTATTTAACATTTATCTTTCCTCTATCTCATGAATAAATAGGTCAATAAATACCTAAAAAGTCAGGTCTTTTAGGATTTAGTTTAAACACCAGCTAATAAGATAATAAACCAGTGGAAAATCAATAATACACTTTATATAGGATAAAAATAAATTATGGCACTTATACAATTTGGACTGAGAATGTGTAAAACTATGATGGAGTGTAATACTCAATGGGACTCTAATAGTATAGACAATGCTGCCTGAATTTGCAAATTTGATCAAAAACATGATTATAAATAATCAAGATCCAATAAGAGAGAAGGGTTTTCCAAATAGCCACTAGTGAGGTAGAGGGTGGGGACAAGAGTATATGTATGGCATGCCTATATATAAATAAGCACAAGATTGTTAGAGGTGATCTTAATATGCTTAATGCATATATTTCCTATATGGCAGGCAAATATATCATTCTGGCACCACATACTAATATGACTGTCTTTTCCACAGCCTAATAGCTAGAGAAAAACACCAAGTTTGAGCATCTTTTGTATAACAAGGAAATAAACAATATAAATAGTGCTAAAAATTGTAATATCAATAGTGATGATGATTGTGTACTGCACAAGACAGTATTAGCCACTATACTAATAGACAAGGTCTATAAGGCTGCATATAGCATATCCCTAAGTCCAACCCACATATTGTGTCCTATAATGACCAGTAGCAGTCATTAGCTAACAATAACAACTTGAATGATCTTGTGTGCAAGGACAAGGTACCTAGGTCTTCATAGCCTCTTGTGGCAGCTGCCAAGCTGCCAACAAAGTGGCTGGGGGCATCAATGCACATTTCTCTATCCCTTATAAAAGCAGCTGGAAAATCAGCAAAAGAGCTATAAGATAATGGTATAGGCATATATGAAGGAGAGTAATATGCTGAAATAGTATAGAATGTGCCACATCTTTACCTTCTTATTGATAGAGCAGTAGTACTTACTATTTCCTACTAATAATTAAAGACTTCTTAATATAGAATTAGTGCTAATATCATGAAATTGAAACCCAATCCAATGCTCACAATGTTATGCTCCCAATTAGGAAATTAGATACTTTTAGATACTATTAACACTTTTAGATACTTTGAGACACTATTAGATATAATCCGGAGCTAATACAAGGGGGTGTTTTTCCAGATATATAATTTGTTTTTATTCTATATAAAGTGTATTATTTATTTTCCATTAGTTTATATCTTCTTAGCTAGTTTAAAATAAATCCTGAAAGACCTGATTTTTTGGGTATTTATTGACCTATTTATTTATAAGATAGAGGAAAGATAAATGTTGAATAAAATTTGAGATGTTGAGGTTGCGTATATTATGGTTACTTATTTAGATTACTAAATTAATATATTAGACTCTTATGGCTTAGTGGCTTAGAGCATCTGTCCCAGATGCTTGTATATATGAGGTATTACAAATGGCTGTTTGGGATGAGGGGATCCTAGGCCACTGGATTGATAATGGTGTAGATGGAGTGAAATGCAAAGGGTTTGAGCTAATCAGACTAGTGCCTTTGAATCAGAGAAGACTGGTTAACAGCAGTTCCTAGATTAGACAGAAGTGAATAGTCTAAGGCTTTCCTGCTGCGCTGCAGCTGCTATAAATATATACAAGTAAGAGCACAGACTAAGTAGCAATAGATTAAGAATGTGAGGAAGAGTCAGGAGAAAGGTCCTATACCCGGAAAAACACCCCCTTGTATTAGCTCCGGATTATATCTAATAGTGTCTCAAAGTATCTAAAAGTGTTAATAGTATCTAAAAGTATCTAATTTCCTAATTGGGAGCATAACATTGTGAGCATTGGATTGGGTTTCAATTTCATGATATTAGCACTAATTCTATATTAAGAAGTCTTTAATTATTAGTAGGAAATAGTAAGTACTACTGCTCTATCAATAAGAAGGTAAAGATGTGGCACATTCTATACTATTTCAGCATATTACTCTCCTTCATATATGCCTATACCATTATCTTATAGCTCTTTTGCTGATTTTCCAGCTGCTTTTATAAGGGATAGAGAAATGTGCATTGATGCCCCCAGCCACTTTGTTGGCAGCTTGGCAGCTGCCACAAGAGGCTATGAAGACCTAGGTACCTTGTCCTTGCACACAAGATCATTCAAGTTGTTATTGTTAGCTAATGACTGCTACTGGTCATTATAGGACACAATATGTGGGTTGGACTTAGGGATATGCTATATGCAGCCTTATAGACCTTGTCTATTAGTATAGTGGCTAATACTGTCTTGTGCAGTACACAATCATCATCACTATTGATATTACAATTTTTAGCACTATTTATATTGTTTATTTCCTTGTTATACAAAAGATGCTCAAACTTGGTGTTTTTCTCTAGCTATTAGGCTGTGGAAAAGACAGTCATATTAGTATGTGGTGCCAGAATGATATATTTGCCTGCCATATAGGAAATATATGCATTAAGCATATTAAGATCACCTCTAACAATCTTGTGCTTATTTATATATAGGCATGCCATACATATACTCTTGTCCCCACCCTCTACCTCACTAGTGGCTATTTGGAAAACCCTTCTCTCTTATTGGATCTTGATTATTTATAATCATGTTTTTGATCAAATTTGCAAATTCAGGCAGCATTGTCTATACTATTAGAGTCCCATTGAGTATTACACTCCATCATAGTTTTACACATTCTCAGTCCAAATTGTATAAGTGCCATAATTTATTTTTATCCTATATAAAGTGTATTATTGATTTTCCACTGGTTTATTATCTTATTAGCTGGTGTTTAAACTAAATCCTAAAAGACCTGACTTTTTAGGTATTTATTGACCTATTTATTCATGAGATAGAGGAAAGATAAATGTTAAATAAAATCAGAGATGTTGAGGTTGCCTATATTATGTCTACTTATTTAGATTACCAAGTTCATATCTTAGACCTTGTGGCTTAGTGGCTTAGAGCATCTGTCTCAGGTGCTTGCATACATGAGGTTGTTGGTTCAACTCTGGCAGAAGGCAAGTTTGTTATAAGGTATATTCTGTGTTTAGGTATTGAACTAGTGTTCTAATAGACATGACTCTATAAGAAGGCTATGGGAACTGTGATGCTTGATTTATTATGATTTTTCCGAAATTTCAAGTTATAATCAATCCTAGTGATTCCTAATTTAGGAAAATTATGTCTAATTAGAACAGGTTTAGAGGGGGGGTAAGCTAAAAATGTCTAATCCTAATCATTCTTAATTATGCATAAATAGAAATAATTAGAGCTTAATACAAAGGGGTGGTTTTCCAGATGTAGATGACATTCTTATCTTCTCCCAATCTATGGCAGAACACATTCACATTATTGACCAAGTTTTCCAAATCCTAAGCAACAATGACCTTTACCTTAAACCAGAAAAATACAAGTTCTATAAGAAAAAGTTGAACTACCTCAGTTACACCATTTCCAAAAAAACTAGCTTATTCCATGCATAGTTTGCAATATCTACTCTTTTTTTAGGTCTTGTGAATTTCTACAAGTAATTTATTGATAAATTCTTACTTATTGCCTGACCCCTGCATAACCTCACTAAAATAATGAAAAATAGAACTGGACTAACAAATGCCAAGAAGCTTTTGAACACTTAAAAAAGCCTTTATTAGTCAACCTGTCCTAAACTACCTAGACCTAATATACCCGTACAGACTTATAATAGATATATTACTAATTGCTTATGGAGCCCTGCTTCTGTAAGAAGGCACAGATAGTGACTGGCACCCTGTGGCATATTTTTCTAGCTTGTTCTCACTGGCAGAACAAAACTATAACATCTATGACTGTGAACTATTCACTATCATCAAAGTCCTAGAACACTGGAATCACTACCTTAAAGAAGCTCAACACTTCTTTAAAATCTGGATGGACCATAAAAATCTGGAACACTCTAAAACAGCCCATGACCTATCATAAAGACACATCCATTAGTGCTTATACTTGAGCAGATTTGACTTTATGCTTAGCTATAAAGCTAGATTAACCAACTATTCCAATGCTCTGTCTAGGCATCCAGATCTGAGTCAGAGGGTGGATTTTTGACAAAAAAGCTCAAATTTTACTCTTAGCCAGACTTTTCAACAATTCAAGTGAAACACTAGCAAAACCAAGCCAAAATATGCATGTCAAATGAACAAAAGTTGTCCCTTCAGACCTTATCTCCCTCATCCAATACTCATGGTCAGAATATGACCTACTACCTAATGTGGCCCTTACCAAGTTACTATGGGATGGCCTCTAAGCAATGAAAGGAGATTTAGAAAAATGGACACACTTTAATAAAATTACCAGACAAAACAGCTATATATACATCCCAAAAGATGACCTGATTTGAAGGACTATTATCAAAACACATCACAACACACTAGCCATAAGACATCCTGGAAAAGCTAAAACCTTGGAATTAGTACAACAACACTACTAGTGGCAGAAAATGACCAAGTTTGTCCACAACTATATTAATGGGTATGCTACATGCCAATCCATGAAGAACCTGACACACTGAGCATGACCACCCATTCATCTCTTAGAAACCACTAATATGCCATGGTGCTTTATCTCTATGGATTTTGTCATAAACTTATCCAAGAGCAAGAGTTTCAACTCAATCAATGTGGTGGTTGATCAAGGGCTATCAAAAGGAATAATAATTACTCTGTGCAAGAAAACCATTACAGTGGAAGAAATGACCAGCCTCTTCCAAAATAACATTTTCAACAGGCATGGGTTACTAACCAAGACAGTGTCAGAATGTGGCCCCCAATTTACAGCCAAATTCACACAGGAACTATGAAAACAATTAGGCATTACCATAGCACTTAGTATGGCCTACTATCCTCAAACAAGAGAAATAAAATGGGTAAACCAAGAAATCAGACAGTTTCTAAGAACATTCTGCAACTACCACCAAGACAATTAGGTGGACCTGTTGCCATTTGCAGAATTCTCCTACAATACATGGAAGCATTCCACTACTAGAAAATCACTGTTTGAAACACTCTACAGTTTTAACCCTTCTTATTTAGTAGACACAGTACTGGAGACAAAGGTACCTACAGTAGCTGAATGCATATGGATGATTACACAAGTACAGGAAAAAGCTGCAGCTAGCTTATAAATAGTGGTGCAATATGCCAAAGACCAGGACATTAACAAGAAACTTCTCCAGTGGGAAGAAGAGGACCAAGTATGGCTAGAAAAAACCTATATTTAGATAACACACCCCAAATTCAAACTCACCCCTAGAAGATATGGCCCTTTCAAAATTCTAGCCAAAGTTGGATTATTAGTATACAAACTACTAATTCTACATTACTAGAAAATAAACCTTATATTCCATGATACCATATGTCATAAACGGCTGTTCAAGACGAGGAAATCCTAGGCCACAAACAATACTAAAGAGTTTAGAAGGAGTCCAGGGACTGATCAGACTAATGCCTTGGAATCAGAGGAGACTGTATGAACAGCAGTCCTTAGATTGGATAGAAGTGGATAGCCTAAGGCTTCCACCCTGCGCTGCAGTATCTATAAATATGTACAAACAGGAGCACGGACCAAGTATCAATGGAGCGGGAATGCGAGGTATGGTCGGGAGAAAGGTCCTACGAGTCCTTATCAAGAAGGTGAGAAAAGTAGGTAAACATAAGCAAGGTGTTTCGTAACATTACCCTACCCTCTAGGCCGTCAGTGCCAGAGACGGTAAGTAATAGTCCAGGAAAAAAAACATAAGCAATGCGTGTAAACTGAGTCATACAAAATAATACTTAGGGCACAGATTCTCGCTGCCCACAGTCGAGTCATGACGCGATAGCTTTTGAGTACGGACGTCATGATACCCCACCTTGTTACCAACCATGCGGGAACTGCGTTCTGAAACCGAGTCCCTCGTCTCATTATGGCAGTGGGTACCGGCCCAATGGATTCGAACCGTCGTTTGCCCCAGCAGTTTTACGTCGTACCAGACGTCATCATCTCGTTCTTCAAGCACCTCGAGGGCGGAGGACGATGGGCTGGGTGTCGGACTCGCTGGAGTCATACTCGACGAAGGGGAGGGGAGGTCAAGTTCGGGTAGTGGAGTGGATTACTCCCAGTCGCGCGGGTATGACGTGGTAGCAGGGTGAAATCTGCGCGAATCTATAAATATCTCTTCCCCTGCTGCATTCCATGGGATAAGCCCCCGGCATTGGGCGAAGCGGTGCTCCATTTGAGGCCGAAGACGAGGCACAAGATACCACAGCTGTGGTAGGCATGTGATATTCAGTGACGGGGGTGATGTCATCAGCGGGATGAAAAGAGTCTTGGAGGTGTGGAGTTTGATTCAAACCCATAAGTCTTCTCTCGCCCGCATTGATACGGGCAATGAGTATTCCTTCCCGAATCTGCAGAGCCCTTTGTGCATGTTGGACAAAGCTCCTTTCCTCTTCCAAAATCTCTAATGCCCTTTGTATCTCTGGTCGTGTGGGCCCTGACACAAACTCAGTGTTTGGTGTTCCTTCGATGAGTCCCATAATGTAAGCAATAAAAGTCGTCAGGTATGTCTCTCTATCGGGGAATATGATCCCCTCGCTCTGTGTGCGGATAAGGGGTGGTGGAGAGGGAGAGCGGGAAGGTGAGGGTCTGTCAAAGTCCTCTGTGAGTTGTCTGATCATCTCGTCTTGTCGTCGTTTGTCCTCGTCCAGTACCTCCAGATACTCGCTGAATCCTTCTTCTGCTTCCTGCGCTACTTGTTCTTCATCTGTGTCCCATGGTACGGATCGTTCTTCTACTATAGACATCTTGGGGGTCGAGGGAATAGAGGGTTCCGTGGAAGGTGTTTCTTCGTAAGGTCGTTCGACGAGAGTGTCTTCAGAGGAGAGGTATATGGATTCGCTGGAAGACATGTTTGTTGGGGGAGTGAATAAGCGATTGAAGGGATGAGGGAATTGCAACAATTGAATTCGGGTTTTTATACATTTCGGACTTTGTTTGTTTGATGTTTGCGAGAGCTGCTCGTAGTGGTAAGTTATGATGTCGCGCATCATATGCTTCTAAAAGTTCTTTAGCATTCCCTAGGTTTGCTCTTGTGACCCATTCATCCGCTGTTACGCTAGAGGTGGCTCTAAGTGCCGAGCACAACACTAAAACAACCTCTAAGGCAGGGGTGCTGGAGCTAGTATCTGATACACAAGGAATTGTAAGTGATGACTTTAGAAATTGAAGGCGTACTGAGAAGCAATCGGGGAGTGTGAGATTATAGCGCCCGAACGGTTTCGGGACTGCGCCGAACACCGACCGAACGTTCGGTCGGTCGTGTCGGCGATGCGGTCGGTAATGAGAAGGTAGTGTCGCGACCGACAACTACGTGCTTCAAGAGCCACACGGGACTCTGACAATATACGAGGGAGGACGGGGGGGTACGAGCGAAGAGACGAGTACGAACGCGAATGAGGCCGAACGACGAGGATGACAAGTTTTTCGGAAGTCGACGAAGACGATTTCGATGGTTGAGACGAGTGCGAATGAGCTCTGAACTGTGGGGTGCGAAAGCTGGTTTATTCCAGAGTTGTATGTAGGTTTTTATAGTAAACAGAGCCCCTAAGTAAAATATTAAACAAGAAATGAGAGTAGATGTCGAATGGGCGCCAAGCCCCAGCGATCAGAGAAGATAAGAAGGTAGGTGAGATGTCCATATGGGTTCCGAAGGTGATAAGGTAAAAGGTAATCAGTGATGTCGAAATCCCGAACGTTCGGGATCCGTCGCCCGAGCGTAGGTAGCAGGAACAGGCGTTGGAGAGCCAATGAAAAATAAAGAAGAGGTATCGTACGACCAGGGTGGCCAAGCAATGGTGCAAGATCGCGTTTGACCGACCATGCGGAAGTCGGGAAGATAAACGATAAGGACCGACCGACTCACGGAGGACATCGGCCGATACGGAATACTGGCTCCGATCTCGTAAACACTTATCGTAACACTCCTATGCGGTCATGGTAAGTACGTGAAGTGTGGGCGAACTGACCCAAGTGCTGCCGAACGTCCTTCGGTGGCTTGTCGTCGGTCGGGTAGGGACCGACCGTGTTTGGTAATAGTCGGCGTCTTCGGTACTTGTCGAGCGCTGTTCGGTATCTCCCCAAAGCTTCACGAATACCTCCCTCGGACCCTAGCGCGGGTGCATGCTCATCATCTCCTCCCTACTGAAATCCTGACTGTCCTCAGTCAGTGGTCGTCGGCTATGAGTCGGAGCGGGAAAAAAATGGTGTAGAAAATGTGGTGGCGTGGATGTGGGAAAGAGTTGGTAACAAGCGATAGCGTGGAAAGAATAGCTGTGGCGTGGAAAATGGAGCGGTGTGGCAAGTTTCGTGGGAAAAAGATCGGCTATGAGCGGTGGCGTGGAAAGGAGTGGGTGCGTGGGAGGGATGTGGCACAGGTGAATAATCGGCAAAGAGATGTCGTAGAAAGAACCGGGTCGGCGCGCAAGAGAGACCGGGGCTGAGTCGGCAAAGTCCTGTGGCGTGGCAACTGATTAGGTGAGGAAGTGGCTAAAGCCTAGCGTGTCCCAACTAGACGGTGGCGTGAGAGCGTGTCGGCAAGGCGCGGTGGCGCGTATCGCAATTACTGCCGCGCGCAGTGGCTCGTGGCTTTGTCAGGTGACCACAGTCACGTGCCGATCGTTGATTCTCCAGCGACCAAGTCCCTCATCGCCGCTTGCCTACCGCTCAATTCCTTCGTCTCTTCCGACATGTCAGCCCTCCTCTCCGCCCTGAAGACGAAACTCGGAGAGTATATGCTCTCCCTTCCGGATGGTGCCGCCGAATACGAGGACTACGAGGCCTGGGCGAGAGGTTTCGCCAAGCGAGTGGTAAGTCGGCTCTTTTCTCTTGTCCCTGCTGCTCGCTGACGTCTTTTCAGGCTGTTTTAGATCGCTCAGCGCGTGGGCAAGACCTTCCCGAACTCGCCGACTGGATCACCGAGGCCGAGCATGGCCTCGACCACATGGCCACCGATGACTGGCTGGCCTGGGGAACGCGTATCCTACCGCAACGGGCGGCGCACTTTGCGACGCAGCAACAGCGACAAGCGGCCGAAGCACAGGCCCTGGAGGAGGAATCGGCACGGGTCGCCATTGCCGAACGCGAGGCTGAGGAGGCTGAGGCAGCGCGGGCTGCTGCTGCCTTGCGTATCGCCGAAGATGATCGTCAGCGGCGCCGGGAGGCCTTGGTGGAGGCCATGTTCGATGGATCGATGGATCCGGAAGAAGGGGACCGTCAAATGGCCGCCCTAGAAGCAGAGTCCGTCCTACCCTTCCCCCTTTTTCTTCGCTCTCCCTCTCCTTCCGCTCCCGTCGTGTCCTCTTCCCATCCCGCTCCTTCCGTCGCCGACTCGCTTTCTCGTCCCGGGTCTCCAATCGCCGATCCTGAACTCGCCTCCGCGACCGCCGCTATGAACCGAATGAGCGTGGATCTGGTCGCGTCCACCGCCCCGACCGATGCGAAGGGCAAGAAATCGGCCGCTGCTGTTATCGTCGAGTTCGCGCGCCAACAGACGCCGACTGCTGGGCGGGTTGTGCTTCCTCTAGGTCCTGGCACAGGCCGAATGTCGACGGTTCGTCCCCCGGTGGAACGGAACGGCGCTGGTAAGGTTCTTGAGGATCCTCCTGGACTACTTCCTGGTGATGTCTTGGTACGTCCCCTCCCTCTTGCCGCCTCGTCCTGATACTGATCTTCTTTCGTTTCTAGGCTGACTATGCCTGTCATCGCTGCGCCGACAACTTCACCACCAGGGCGTTCCGTTGCTACCTGAGGCCCGGCCAAGTATCGTGTATCAAATGCGCCGGGGAGCGGAAGGGTTGCAGTTTCCAGCCTGGGTGGACATCAAAAGACAAGGGAAAGGGGGCGTCGAAGGGGAAGGGGAAGTCTACCGGGAAGGCGAAGTCGGCTAGTAAGGCGAAGTCGATCGAAAAGTCGGTGGAGGAGGGGCCATCCCGCCCAACAAAGAGACGTAGGGTGGAGGTGCTTGTTCCCGAACGGTCGGTCGGGGACAGCATCGCGCAAAACAAAGGTAAGTTGTCGTTCGGTAAAGTTTTGGAGGGGCTCATCGCGATTTGTACAGCCGCTCGGACCAGGAAGCCGGTGAAGCGCCTGCTGGTGACCACCCAGGCTGTCCCTTCCTCTTCTCATCCTCCTCGCTCCCGTCCGTCCGTCATTCCCTCCCTTTCCAACTCTTCCCGTCTGTTGCCGACCGTTGCGCAAGGCATCGCTTCTGAGATTCGGTACCGGATTGCCGTTGCCGAGGGTTCGCGTGCCTTTCTGGCGCGTTCGATCGCGATGTGGCAGGCCGAGCTAGAGTCCCTCGAAGCGCGTTCGGGTCCTGCGACTTCGGACATGGTGATGGTCGAGGATTCGTCGCAGTCGGAAGGTTCGGCGATGTCCGAGTCGGGGGATTTTGTACCCAGCGAATGAATTCAGGCCCTTGTACAGTAGTTAGAATGTAAATAAAAGAAAAAAAAACTGTCCTGGATGAAATGTGACGTTCGGCGAAGACTAGAGGTGTCGTCTCGGGAAATCGGTCGGCGAAATGACTGTGTGTGAATGTACTTGTAAGCGAAGCGTTCGGCAGAAATGAAGACAATAAACTGGAATCTTAGGGGAAGCCTCAGTATGTCATCACAGGCATAAAACCCTATGGTTTTGCGCAAATCGGAAGAAGTCTTCAATGCGGCTTGGTACTTGAAGGAGTGATGGGGAAAATGAGTGCCGACTATTCGGTCGGCGATCGGTCGGCAGCAAAAGTACTAAGAGATGTGGAAATGCTTGGGTGTCAGTCCATGTCTGTGACGAATAGGTGAAATAAGGAATGGGTATATCTGTGCATCCTCCTCCCTACTGAAATCATGACTGTCCCCAGTCACCGACCAAAGAGAGCGAAGGGTGGGAGGGTGGGTCTAGTCAGAAGTCGCCGACCCCGCATCGTCGTCTTCTGCTGATCGGATGGAGCTGGTGTCAGTATTCTCCTCGTCGGCATCGTCGTCTTCGGCATCGTCGTTGCTCGATCGGGATTCTTCCATGGCCCGAAGGCGTTCTTGTGAGATGTCGAGGAGGGCTTCAATGTCGGCGAGCTTCAGAGACCTGCGAGCAAAATAAGGAATAATGCGGAATGCCGCCACTGGCCGGTCAAAGACCGATCCGTCGAGTTCGGCCAAAATATACGCCCCTCCCCAATTCCTAGAAATTACTAGCAATGGCCCTAAATACCGTGGACGCATCTTCCGATTGAGTGCCTTCTCTATGGCTGTGTTGCGCATCAGGACAAGCGAGCCTCGGTGGAAATTGAAGTCGCGAAGGGTGGCCGAATGCTGTTGTTCGAATCGGACGGCGGCCTGGACACGGGCGCCGACTACTGAGCTGCGAAGGTGGGCGAGGTCTGATCGGCGTTTCTGCAAGGCTATGGCACGTCGGGCGATGAGGTCGGTGGTGCTGAGGGTTGTGGTCGGCGGTGGCAGGAGGTAGGTGGCTTCGGCGATGTCGAGGGGGAGAAGGGGATGGGTTCCGGTCGCTGCGAAGTATGGCGAGCAACCCATTCGGCGCCGAACGGTAATGCGATCAGCCCAGAATACGAAATGAGCTGCACGATTCCACTTGGCCTGATCTCCATCAACGGTTTTGAACAGAGCCTGCCGAACGTCGAAGTGAGGTCGTTCGGCGATGCCGTTGGCGCGGGAATTGTAGCCCGAAATACGGATGTGCCGAACGTGGTACTTTTTCGCTAACTGGTCGAGCGCCTTGACGAATGCTGGTCCGTTGTCGGAGACGATCTCTACCAGTGTTCCCCATCGGCACATGATATCCTCGAAGATCCAGTCGGCGAGGGCTGAGCTTGTTTCGCGTCGGAGCATGCGGAATTCGGGGTAGTGCGATACCGAACAGCGGCCTTGAACGAGATACTTGAAACCACCAGCGGTCGGCATATGCATAGTGTCCATATACATCTTTGCGAAAAGTGGTGCAGGCGTGGCGACGGTCGGGGGAATGAGGACGTTGCGAGTCTGGCGAATCTGGCAAAGGTGACATGTCCGAACAAACCAGGAAATGTCTTGCCTCATGTGCGGCCACCAGAAGCGTTCGGCGACCAAGGCGGTCGTGGCGTAGAATCCCTTGTGAGCAACGTCGTCGTGGGCGGCAGTGAGAATTGTGATCCGACTAGAGGGGGCTGCAACGATCTTGTGTCGACCGTGCGAGTCTTTTCTCCATAGCTTGTCAGCTGCGATGAAGAACTCAGTGCAATATCGCAGGAAGGTGGCATATTCGGAGTTGGAGAGAGAAGGGGGCCGAACCAATGTTCGGTGCCAGTCGCGGACCAACCATAGGCGTTCCTCGGCTTCCAAAGCTTTCTGCGATCTTGGGATATCCGAATAGTCGATGGTCGGGCCTTCGTCGTCGGAGTCGGTATCGGTCGAGGGGTCGCCTACGAGCGAGGAGGTGAAGATGGCGGTGGTCGAAGTTGAGTTGGAGGTGGGGAACGTGTTGTTGATCTGATGGAGGAAGCCATAGAGATTGTCGATCCAGTCGTCAAAGTCGTCTTCGGGTTCGGGTCGATCGGAGGGTTGTGGTGGTCGTCGGGAGAGTCCATCGGGGCCGTGAGAGGTGCCGGGGACGTGGACAAGTGTGAAATGGAAGGTGAGGATGGAGACGATCCACCGATTGATGCTAGCGCTGGGTTCGAGATCCGGGTTAGTGAGCATGCCCTTGATGTAGCGTGCGTCTACTTCGACTATCAGGTTCCGAACGCCGATGAGGTACATTTTGAGCGATCGGAGGGCGCGAAAGAGGCCGTAGAGTTCGAGCTTGGGTTGGGAGAATCGCGATTCGCGGTCGTTAAGGGTGATGGAGCCGAATCGGGCATAGTACCGAACCCGGGGATTGTCGAGCGCACATTGACAGAGGTGGAAGCCGACCGCGATTTGTGAGGTATCGACGGCGAGGATGACGTTGGCTGCCGACCCATAGTCGATCGGCCGAAGGGCTGGCGATTCGAGAAGCGCCGACCGGAGGTCGTCCTGGGCCGCTATCTGGTCTGGGCCGAACACGAATGGAAAATCTTTGCGTGTTAACATTGTCAGTGCATGCGCCCTGTGTGCAAAATTCCGAATGAAGATCCGAACGACACCGATCGTCCCCAAAAATGCCCGAACATCTGAGAGATCCCTGCAAGGTCCCCACTTCATAATTGACTCTACCCTAGATTCGTCGGGTAATCTTCCTTCGTACGTGCAGCGATGGCCAACCACCGTGATTTCAGCTGCGCAGAGTGTCGCCTTGTGTCCCGAAAATGTTCCTCCGCTGTACTTCATCCGCTGAACCACCCGATTGAGGCCTTGAAAGTGTTCCCACACAAATCGTCGTATGCCGGGGTTGTCGGGGTGCGTCTCGAACCCGCCGTTCGGAATTTCGTATCGGGTCGGTGGGCCCCGAATCGGGACATCGTCGATGAACGGAATGGTGGTGTCTGGAATTTCTGGCTGGAGGATGTGGGTGACGTCGTCGTGGAAGATCGGGACCGAATTTGTCCATCCCATGGGCAGGGTGACGAGTTGGTGGGCGCCGAATGGGGTCTGGAACGTGGTGAAGTCGCGAGATGATTCGGCGAGCCCTCGTTCGTCATAGCCGACATAGAGATCCAGAATGCCGCCACAAGCGCGAGCTGCAAACTGTTCAGCGATCTGATCGGTATATGGGGGCACACCTGAATGCTGGATGGTGACGGCGTTCAAGGGTTCGAGGCTGTGAACGATTCGGAGTTTGGTGCCAGTGGAGGTGCTATTCGTCTTCTTGACGACTGTAAACCAGCGCGATCGGTAGGACGAATTCGACGGCTCATAGACTCCAGCGGCGATCTTGGTTTTGATAAGTCGGCACACTTCGTCGTAGATGCCTGGTGGAATCGGAATGTTGCGTTGAACCCAGGGCTTGTGTTCGACCACCGGCATATTGACTGGAGGAAAGAAATCCTCGCGGAAACGTCCGCGTTCCGAATCGTCCCAGGCAAATCCCATCTCTTGTAGACACATGAAATGGTGCATGAGCTGTCGTTCGGCCGGCCAAAGGAAGTCGTCCGAGTGGACTTTGTCGATGAGGTCGCGTCGTTCGGCTGTGTATCTGCCGGTCGGCGTGAAGGGTGGGGGGTTCGGTGTCAGCGTCGGAAGGGCAGCGAGAGGGTCACCGAGGATGTTCCGAACGATTCGGAACTGTTCGGGGAGGTCGGCCAAGACTGGTCGTGTTTTCTGTGCGACCGGTTTGTACTTGCGCTTGGCGGCGAAAATGGCGACCGGGTCGGCGATATTAGTGGAATGGAGAGAACCGGGAACGAATGAGGAGAATAAGGACAACATATCGGAATCGAGATTGTTTTTGAGATGATTTTCGGGCCCCAAATCGGAGGCCATAATGTACTTGAGACAGAGATCGCGACGAGAGGGAAATGGAGAATGGAAATCTGAGGACGCTTCGATAAGTGGGAAATTGGGGGTATCATGATCGGTGGAAATGATCAGTGCAACTTCTCCTTGATCTCGGATCAATTCATCGAGTCGCGAAAACCCGCTTGTCTTCGGTGAAGGACTCGAGGGGGTCCTCGTCTGATCGTCGGAATGGTGGCTCGTCGTCCCGTGTTCGGGTCGCTGATGGTGATCGTCTGGTCTTCGTTTGAATAATTTTTGACGATACTTTCGGTGAGGATGTCGAATGGCCGACCGAGGAGAACGTCATAGGCGGGGTTCCGAATGATGTGGACTTGGAGGTACAGGGTGATGTCGCCGATGAGGAATGGCACGTTGCGTGCCAGGCCCAAGGATCGGTCGATTTCGCCGTTCGCCGACTGCATATTGAGGACGATTTCGGGGTCGTAGATGAGCGCCAGTTCGTTGCAAATGCCTTCCGACATGGCAATGACTTGTGAACCCGGGTCGATGACGCATTCGACTTCCTGCTGATGATCGACGAGGGGAACAATAGACCTTAGGGCAGACGATTCTTTAGCAACTATCAATGGCTGAGGAACCTGACCGGGCTGTAGATTCTTCAGGTACGTTTCGTACATGTCGGGGATGATGATCGCGCCCGGCGGGGGTGTTTCCGGTTGGTGCAGGACATTGACGAAGGAGGAGACGGTCGGTCGAGTCGGTGGTTCGAGGTTGTCGATGGCATAGGGTAGATCGGCATCTTGGTAGAAGGTCCGAACATTGCTGGCGTCTCTGGCAGGCGATTGGCGTGCCGACGTGGCTTCCCTGACCTGTGAACGGACTTCGGCGGAGAGAGAGAGTAGTTCGCGCTGGGTAAGCGTCACCTGAGTGGCCATTGCCCTGTTGTAGACCTCAGCTGCTACCTTCTCGTCGTAGATCGGCGCCGTGGTTTTGTAGGCCGGAGCGTCCTTCTTTGCCGATGGTATCTTCGCCGGGGCTCCCATGTTGCGGTCGTGTGGCGGTGCATAGGTGGCGTCCTGGGCTTTGGCATATGGGTGGATCGGAGCATCGTCCTTGGCTGGTACCGGGGGCGGTCGCTGAGTCGGGGTGGTCGGTCGGGGTTCGGGTTCGGGAGTTTCGGTCCTCGCTCGTCGTTCGGGGGCCGGTGAAGGGGTAGGTGCCGAACGTCCTGCCTGCGCCATTTCGCGTGCCCTTGCGCCCCGCGTTCGGAGCGCGAATAGTTCGCGTTCGAGGCTCGCGATTCGCTGGACGTCGGTGAGTTGGTAAGTTGGGGTGACATCCAGCAATGAGGGTGAATCGTGACGGGAGGCTATCGTCATCGGGTGAGTCGGCACCGCGTTTACCGTAAACATCATCTGTCCGGTCGCCAACTGGCCTGGATTCCTGCGATGCCATTCGTCAACTCGGTCCTTCAGGTTACTACCCGTGATTTCTCTCGGTACGAATGCCCCACTTGACAATACCACCTTCCCCTCGATATTCCTCTTGCATTTGCCGATCCGAATGTATTCGGTGACCTCGGGACAGGCGCGCATGAAGTGTTCGGGACTGCCGCAGAACATGCAGTTGTCGCCGCCTTGTCCTGGCTGTCGGGATGGTCGATCGGCTGGCCTGGTTGTCCCCTGAGCTGTGATGGCCTTGACAAAGGTGTCGGTGAGCCGTTCGAACATGGTCGCCAGGTCTTCGGCCTTGATCGCGTTGGTGGGCGGCGCGGCGGGGGCTGCTCGAGAGATGTCGGTAGGGATCGTGCTGTAGGCGGACGTGGTGCCGTGCAAGACGAATCGGGCCGCGTCGTGGATGTCTTGGAGGTTGTATGGGTCGTCTGGGAAATGATCGGGGAACTTGAGTTGTAGACGTTGAGAGATTCTTGCCCATAGCTCCGGTTGGAATCCTCTAGCGAAGGCGCGTCCTTGTTCGGCGACCGAGATCCGTGCCTTGCTGAGGAGGAATACCGTGATCGCCAGGAATCGCCGATGATAGTCGCCGAGTTCGCTGAGAGACAAGATGCCGACCCTGCTCGTTTCGCCGACTAGCTTGTCCATATCCGATACCGACCATTTGCGTTCTTCCTCCGATCCGGGGTATAGCCTGTAGACCTCTTCGCAGAACTCCTTGAAGGTCTTCGTGGCGTCGGTGAAAGTGGTGAGCGATTCCCAAAGCTCACAGGTGTCGACATCTAGGAATCGGCAAGCGTGTTTCTTTCTTTCTTGTTCGTCCACTACCGCAGACCGAACGAAGTGGAAGTCCAGATCGGAGAAATATCGTCTCAATTCGCGGGGTTGATGGGGGTCAAAGGTCGGGGCCGTTCGATCTCCACGAGCGGGCATGGATGGGGTCGCCATAGTGAGAAAGTCAAAGGTGGGGGAGAAGGTATTGTTTTCTAAGGTGATCGGGGATGGAGTCGCTGGTTCGAAGGAGCGTTCTAGTGAAGTCGGTCGGATGGTCGGCGTCCAGAAGACGGGGCTGCGTGGGATTAACGGAGAGATGGAGTCGTGGAGAGATGGGATAGGAGACGGGGGTGATTGTTCTAAGAGTGCAAGGTCGAGGATAGGGGAAATCGGTGGGAGTAACGATCGGTTCGGCGACGAAGGTGGGGTTAAGAAGAAAGTGGAGTCGGGTGGTGGTGAGAGCGATGGCGAGGATTCGAGATCAAGGTAGTGATGGTGGGATAAGTGTTCTGGGACTATATCGGCGTCTCCGAACAAACTTCGGTCGGCAGATGTTTCCTGAGTATTGAAGCTATCGATAACTGTTTGTCGTTCTTCGCGCTCCGCTGTTGGTCGGGACGAGCGACGTAGATTCCTTGAGGTAATTTTGAATACTAACCCCTCGCGGTGGGCTCCAAAATGTTACGCTAGAGGTGGCTCTAAGTGCCGAGCACAACACTAAAACAACCTCTAAGGCAGGGGTGCTGGAGCTAGTATCTGATACACAAGGAATTGTAAGTGATGACTTTAGAAATTGAAGGCGTACTGAGAAGCAATCGGGGAGTGTGAGATTATAGCGCCCGAACGGTTTCGGGACTGCGCCGAACACCGACCGAACGTTCGGTCGGTCGTGTCGGCGATGCGGTCGGTAATGAGAAGGTAGTGTCGCGACCGACAACTACGTGCTTCAAGAGCCACACGGGACTCTGACAATATACGAGGGAGGACGGGGGGGTACGAGCGAAGAGACGAGTACGAACGCGAATGAGGCCGAACGACGAGGATGACAAGTTTTTCGGAAGTCGACGAAGACGATTTCGATGGTTGAGACGAGTGCGAATGAGCTCTGAACTGTGGGGTGCGAAAGCTGGTTTATTCCAGAGTTGTATGTAGGTTTTTATAGTAAACAGAGCCCCTAAGTAAAATATTAAACAAGAAATGAGAGTAGATGTCGAATGGGCGCCAAGCCCCAGCGATCAGAGAAGATAAGAAGGTAGGTGAGATGTCCATATGGGTTCCGAAGGTGATAAGGTAAAAGGTAGTCAGTGATGTCGAAATCCCGAACGTTCGGGATCCGTCGCCCGAGCGTAGGTAGCAGGAACAGGCGTTGGAGAGCCAATGAAAAATAAAGAAGAGGTATCGTACGACCAGGGTGGCCAAGCAATGGTGCAAGATCGCGTTTGACCGACCATGCGGAAGTCGGGAAGATAAACGATAAGGACCGACCGACTCACGGAGGACATCGGCCGATACGGAATACTGGCTCCGATCTCGTAAACACTTATCGTAACACTCCTATGCGGTCATGGTAAGTACGTGAAGTGTGGGCGAACTGACCCAAGTGCTGCCGAACGTCCTTCGGTGGCTTGTCGTCGGTCGGGTAGGGACCGACCGTGTTCGGTAATAGTCGGCGTCTTCGGTACTTGTCGAGCGCTGTTCGGTATCTCCCCAAAGCTTCACGAATACCTCCCTCGGACCCTAGCGCGGGTGCATGCTCATCACCGCGGAGCTCGGGTATCCTTTCCAGTGCACTAGGTATTGATACCCACGTCCTCATTTCCTCTTATCAAGAATTTCTTCGACTTTGTATTCCTCCTGTCCATCTATGAGGTCAGGTGGTGGTTGTTCAAAGTTGGGGCCATGTGCGGCTGTTTCTTGATAGGGTAAGATTAATGAGGCGTGGAATACGGGGTGTATTTTCCATGTTGGCGGAAGCTTTAATTTGTACGTTACCGGTCCTAGTTTGCTTTCTATTTCGAATGGTCCATGTAGTTTCGGGGCTAGTTTGTCTTTTGGGTGCATGGTGGTGATGTTTTTTCCCGATAGCCAAACTTTCTGTCCTGCTTCTAATTTGACTTCGTTTTCGGCTGTTTTTCTTTTCATTAGTTCAGCTGCAACTTCTAGGCTGGCCTTCGTTTCTTGCCGTAATTGTTCTAGCCTTTCCAACCTTTGTTCTACGCCTGGGATGTCGGATCTCGGTGTGATAGGAGGTACAAAGGTTGGGTTATAGCCATACATGAGTTCAAACAGTGATTGGTGAGTTGCTGAATGTTCCCTGACGTTGTGTGCGAATTCTGCATATGGCAATAATTCGGGCCAATTCGTTTGTTCGTAGTTGCAGAATGCTCGTAGGTACTGTTCTAGCTCTTGATTGACTCTTTCTGTTTCTCCATCTGTTTCTGGGTGGTAGGTGGTTGATAGTGCTGTTGTTACTCCTAGCTTTTTCCATAGTTCCTTTGTAAATCTGGCCGCGAATTGTGGACCTCTATCAGATACAATCTTCTTTGGAAGTCCATATTGTTTCCAGATGTTTTTCATATAGAGGTCAGCGGTTCCTTTGGCGTCTATGGTTTTATCACATGGGGTGTAAACAACACCCTTGGTGCTTCTGTCTACTGTCACGTGAATGGCATTGTACAGTCCTACTTGGGGAAGATCCGTGATGAAGTCCATTGTGACTGTTTGCCAGGGTCCTTCTGGTATTTCGTTTGGAATGAGCGGGGTGCATGTGGGGTGCGTAATGTTTTTGGTATTTTGACACGTTGCGCATCCTGTTACGTATTCCTTTATGAATGTGGACATTCCTGGCCACCAGAAGTTGTCTGACACTAGGACATAGGTTTTCCATCTTCCTGGATGTCCAGTTGCTGGTGAATCGTGATATATTTTTGTGATTTGTCTTTTAAGTTCGTTGTTTGGTGGAATGTATATTTTCCCTCTATGCCAGATGAGGTCGTCTTTGTAATTCCACTCTTGTAAGCCTTTTGAGAGTGCTCTAGGTCCTGATGCTTTGATAAGCTCCATTGCGTCCATTACTTCTTTATCTTTGGCCGTGACTTCTTTTAACTTTCGTCTCAGCTGGTTGTCAAGCATTTTAATTGTTCCTCGTCCTATTGCGCTTTTGACGAACATTTGGGGTTGTAGTAACACCTGATCTTTGTTGTCAGATTTTACCCCCTCTTTTAGGTCTGGACGCCTGGACAGAGCAATCGGGCTGGTGGGTAATGCCCGGTTTGTGGACGAGGGTGAAGTCAAAGCGGGAGAGGAAGAGTGACCAATGTGCTTGGCGGTGGGAAAGAGTTCTCGCAGTAGAGAAGTACAGGAGGTTCTTGTGGTCGGACCAGATCTCGAACGGGTGTCATGCACCTTCGAGGTATACACGCCAGTGATGAAGGGCATATATGACAGCAAGTAACTCCTTATTGAAGATATTGTAATTCCGCTCGGCCGCATTGAAAGATTTGGACAGGTAAGTGACAGGGTGCCATCCGTCATTGGGCGTTTCTTGTGAGAGGATGGCGCCAGAAGCGAAGTCTGACACATCGGTCTCAAGGCGGAATGGGCAATTACCGTCTGGGTAAATGAGGACGGGAGTGGATGTGAAGCAATGCTTCAATCGTTCAAAGGCCTTGTTTGTCTTGTGAGTCCATTCAAATGGTACATCCTTCTTTGTGAGGTCGTTGAGAGGTCGGGCCATGGTCGCGAAGTCTTCGATGAATCTGCGATAGAAGTTTCCAAAGCCGAGGAAGGACTGTACTTCTTTCAGGTTCTTCGGGGTTGGCCAGGCGGCGATTCCATCGACCTTGACCGGGTCCATGGATATATTATCCACGGAAATGATGAACCCAAGGTATTTGACTGTGTCTGTCTCGAAGGTGCACTTGGAAGGTTTGAGGAATAAATCATTGTCCAAGAGTATTTGCATGACTTGGGTTATTATGCATCTGTGCTCTTCTATGGTCTTTGTAAACACCAAGATGTCATCCATGTAGACTGCAAGGACCTGCGCAACAATGAGGTCATGGAAGATGATGTTCATCATAGTTTGGAAAGTGGCAGGTGAATTGCAAAGACTAAAGAACATCACAAGGCATTCGAACAGGCCAAATTTAGTCATGAAGGTTGTTTTCCATTCGTCACCTTCTGCTACGCGAATGTTGTTATACCCTCAATTTACGTCGAATTTGGAGAAGATCCTTGCTTTCGATTTGGCAATGGTTCATATTACATTATCAATTAGGGGTAGTGGGTATTTATTTTTTATCGTCCACTCGTTCAGTTTCCGATAGTCTTAAACTGGCCGTAAGCTTCCTTCCTTCTTTTTTACGAAGAAGAAGGGTGACACTTGTGGGGATTTGGATATTTTAATGGTTCCTTGCTTCAAATGTTCTTGAAGCATTTTGTGTAGCTGGTCTTCTTCTTCTTCTGTCAGGGGATATAACTTACATCCCGTCGGTTCCCATCCTGGTTTCATGTCGATTTTATGGTCCCATTGTGAATGTTCTGGGAGTCGTTGCGAAGCCTCCTGGCTGAAGATTTTGGCGAATCGTTTAAGAACGTATGCCAGGACTATTTCCTCAATAGGTCGTTCCGTTTTGGTTTTGTTCGCTTTTTCTGCCAGTTGTTGTGACTTGTTTCCGATGGAGCCGATGTGAATTGCTTCGAGGGGATGCACTTCTAGTGGATCTTGGTAATACCATTCTTCATAGAATTTGGAAAAGAAGGTATCTTCAGTTTCATCTTCTTCCAAATCATCTTCTATTCTGGAATACCCAACTGTTCTGTTTCTTTTCTGCTGGGTGGGCGCTAGTGCCTGTATGGTGAATTTAGGTCGGCTGACTAGACACGTGGTGGTGCAGGTGGAGAACGTAAGACTGTTCTTTACCCAATTGATTTGCGGGTTATGTTCGTGTAGCCAATCCGTTCCTAGGATTACGCTTTCTCCTCCTAAGTTGGCGGCTAATAGTTCACATCATTCGTCGTGATAATCGCCTTCTTCGTTTGTCATTCTCATAAGCAGGCAGGCTTTGTCGGTGATTTTTCCTCCATCATTGGCTGTTCCGTCCACGTTAAACACAGGGATAGGTTTGTTGATTTTCTGCATTGATATGTTGTTGTTTAAGCAGAACTGTTTGTTGATGAGAAGCCCTTCGGCTCCTGAATCAATCAATACTCGGGCTTCGGTGGTTCCTTCCTTATGATTCAGATGCACGTTTATCCTCATAGACGATTTCCGATTGGATTTGGTAAGCTGTATGAATGTTTTTACAGGGGAGTTTGAAGTAGGTCTATGGTACACCGGAGCTGTAGGCCTATTTAAAAATCCGATTCTTTCTGCTTGCTCATTTTATTCAACTCCTGAAGGAGTGCTTCCTATTCATCCCATCTCATCTTTCCTATGACCTTTTGGATCTCTTCTTGGCTAATCTCAGGCTCCTTCTCACGTACAAGCACATCTGGTCCGGATGCGTGGGCTTGGCGAGCTGCGAGTCTGGCTCGGAATGGGTTAGTCGTCGCCATGCTTCTACCTTGCATCGCAGTGCCTCCCTGAGTACTGCTTGGAGTTCCTGTTGAGAATGCTCGGCCATAGCCACTTCCTCCGCCTCCCATCCTGCTGCTGGCCTGAGCCGAGCAGTTCCCCACCATTCCACTACTCTGTTGAACATGTCCAGCTGACCCTTCATATACCCTAGATGAACCCCTGACAGAGCATTGATTTGCCATATGTCCTTTCTGGCAACAGTAAAAGCACCCACCCTCCATCCTGAGGCGGTTGCGCTCTTCGTCTGTAAGGGTCGTTCGGACTGTATCTACGGCCATGGGGACGACGGAGTTGTTCATAGATGATGGAGTGTTGGAGGAGTTGTAATGGAAGGGATTGTTTGGTCGAATGGCGGTAGAGGGTACGGAGCTTTTTATGCTCTGTAGTTTCCTCCATTGGTTATCGAATCTTCGGGTGTATTTTACCTAATCGTCCATGGTCGTTGGCATATCAGGGAGTCTGTAGATTTGTTTGAGAATCTCCGGGTGTATGGCTCGGCGGAAATAATTGACGGTGGATTTGAGATCGAATCCGCTTTCTCCCGCTGTCATGAGGTAGTCCGTGACGAACTCGTCTGCTAATCGTTTTCCCATTCTCATCGTAAATAGTTTCTGTCTTGCCTTCTGTTCGAGACTTTCATCTTTGAATGTGGCGGCTAATTCTTTTAAGAAGTCTTTGAACGTTCCCCATGTTTTTTTGGTTTCCGTTGCTTTGTATTCTCGAAGTTCCCTGTCGAAGTAATATTTCTGGGCAAAGAGCGATGCCGTTCCTTCTCTCATGTATGATAATACCATTAAGGTTTTATCCTTGTCGGTGTCATACTTGGTTGGGTTGGTTAGAATGTACATGTGACATTCGTAGATCCATTCTTTGTATTTTGACCTCGTGCCATTGAAGTCTTTCGGCTTATTTCCTTTATCCGACATTTCGTCTTCGTCGTCTGTGGTTCCTGTAATTGGTAAGGGGTTTGGTCGTGGATTTGGATTCGTGTTCGGATTCGGTTGACTTGGTCCTGCTACAGGTTCCGGGTCTTCTTTGTCGATTGGGGTTAATACTCCTGCAGGAATTGGGGTGTCTTCGATATCTTCTTTAGGGATATCGACTGGTGATAAGACAGGTCTCGTTCGGGTGGGGGAGTCAACAGTTCTGAGGGGTGCTTTCCAATCTTCCCAGGGTACTAGCGGGGCGTCAACTGTTTTTCCGCTATTCTGTCCTCCTACGTAGATCCAGTTTCCTTTGGAGGTTCTTCTAATAGGTTTTCCGAAGTGGACGTATGTGTCGGAGTATTTCAAGTAGTTGGTTCCGTGCGGAACTCGCCCTACGTGTCTTCCTAGGCCTTGGGAAGTCGTCTTGTTAGATCAAAGAGCCCGCGCTAGTCTCGACCTGATCAAGGTTCAAGAGTCAAGGCAACAGCAGCTTTTCTTAGCCGGGTACAGTATTTCTGCTTCTGGTATAGTACCATACGTAACGTCGAGTGCAATTGTTTCAGTTGTACCTCCACTGGGTTGATTACCAGATAAAAGTATTCTACAACCTGAAACGACCTACACTAAAGTGGAATCATCCAATCGTTCGCTCGAAGTGTATAGTAACTATTACGGTCGACGGACGCTTGTCTTTTGGGACTGCCTAGCGCCGTGTGTAACTAGCCAGTGTTCTGCTACAAGAAAAGGGTGGAGTAAGATTTGTGTGAAGAGAGGCTATCCAGATGTCACAAACGGCTGTTCAAGACGAGGAGATCCTAGGCCACAAACAATACTAAAGAGTTTAGAAGGAGTCCAGGGACTGATCAGACTAATGCCTTGGAATCAGAGGAGACTGTATGAACAGCAGTCCTTAGATTGGATAGAAGTGGATAGCCTAAGGCTTCCACCCTGCGCTGCAGTATCTATAAATATGTACAAACAGGAGCACGGACCAAGTATCAATGGAGCGGGAACGCGAGGTATGGTCGGGAGAAAGGTCCTACGAGTCCTTATCAAGAAGGTGAGAAAAGTAGGTAAACATAAGCAAGGCGTTTCGTAACACCATGCTCACTAAATATTGGGAAATGGAAGCACATGGAACAAACTTTGTCAAACCACTACTAGAGGTATTAAATGACAAAGAACATTATGAAGTAAAAATAATCTTGGACTTGAAACAACAAGGATGTGGAACCAAATATCTGGTCAAATAGAAAGGGTACCCTAAAGCTGACAATACCTAGGAACCCTATACCCTCCTAAAAGGAACAGCAGAAGAAGCATTAAAAGATTTCCATGACCAGTACCCTAACAAACTCCATCTCATGTTGACCAGATCATAAAGATATAAAGAGACAAGAAACCACCCTCTATATCCAGCATCTCCACTCACCACACCTCTCTTCCCATCCTCAATCACATACATGCTTCTTTACAATAATACTCCCACTTTATTTCCCTCAAGAAACTCCTTGCCTGACATTGTTCTTATGGTCACAAATTCAGACATTAGACAACCTAATAAAGGGGAAAGCTTGACACAACCAAAGCCCGACACTGCCATTGCCATCCTTACCAAACATCTTAACAGCTTCTTGGATAATGACACTAGAGATTATGAGGAGTTCAAGAGAAAAAAAAGGATGATGACCAAGAAGCAACTACATGGAAAAAACTTCCAAAGTCCACTACTGAATGAAGGCACTAATGATAGAGACCCTAACAATCCTAGTGGATCTACAATTCAAGTTCTACCTCTTACTAGAATCATGACGCCTCCTAGAATAGGAACACCCAGGGACTACATCCAAGAAGTGGAAGTCAACAATTAGGCCATGGAATGGCTTACCCAGTTCTAGTTCTATTAGAAACTTCACAGCTGCCAGTATTGCTTGGCAGACAGATTTCCACTGCTATGAAAAGACTTATTAGTGGTTCAGATCCTTATCCCAGAGAACTGGAAAGACATGCAGACACTCTCCTCTAGCAAAACACCATCTCCATAGTAATACAAATGGCCACTGCCATGGCACTCCAATGCCTTGCTAAATTCTTGGCAGGACAACTAGGGAATGAGAATAACAATGTACCTTAACAATTGGCTAGTGCGAGTCAACAAATTAGATAGCCCACCCTTGAAACCAATCCTGATACTATATCCTGGTACAAAGACAATGATAGAAGGCTACAAGCCCTCCTTATCCACTCTAATGAATTTATCCAGTATGTTAACCAAGATCTCCTTCTAGCTCTTCTCTTTCTAGGAGAGCTTAGACCTGTTATACCACACTAAACTAATCCTTTCCACATTGTTACCTAGACTGTACCCCCTCACTATGAGGAACACTCTACACCTACTCCAGGTTCTAATGGGATTCCACATTTAGCCATGGAATAACCTCCTCCACAATTATAAATACTTCATATGTCAAATAGGAGCCCCTAACTCCCCATCATAGAGTACAAGATGTTCCTTATACTACTTGGAATACCAATAAGGAGAAACTGCCTGTCTCTCAAAGAAATGAAGATAGACAAACCAAAGGAACCCAGACACCCTACTGCTATAGAGTGCATACTAGCAAGAATGTTTGACAATGAGATGGAGCACCTGCTATTACTCATTGACTTTACGCAGATAAGGGCTCAAATCCTCAAAACAATTGATGAGCTTGCTGCACTAACTTGAAAACTTGAAGAGATTGCTTCTAGACTCAATCTGAACTTGGCACATAGGATGCACTAGATGACCCCAGAAATTATGATGATGCAGACCCATACTGCTGACCTGACAAGGGCAGAGATGGGTACCATGGCAATAACTACTAAGAATGGTGGTAACAAAGGTAGAAAAGGGGTAAGGAAGTTGAGGAACTCCTTACCCAAGGAAAATAATAGCAATAGAGAGGAAAGGACCCCCATCATATCATTACTAGTTTTATGAACAAGTTGCCTTATTAAAAGGCTTAGTCTTAAATGACCTAAAACTATAGTCTCTGGTCCACAACAACTGAAAACTATGATTATCCCTTATAATGTTAAACTATATACCCTCATCTGAAACCAATGTTAAACTACCCACATCCAAAACAATATCAAAACTATTGGACTTGCATGTCTTAAAACTGTGAAAAGAAAAGAAGGCAGGGGAAGTACCTAACCACCATCCCATATTCCTGTAATGGAAGAACATGGTACAATATCAGGCATATTTTACATAGCAATATATGCATGGAATTTCTACACCCTCACTGTCAAGGGGTTAATCTAATAGATAATTCAGGCATCCTATTTAGATTTCCAGTTTTACAGGGTTTTTTCCATATTAGGGAACTCTCTATAATTTGATATACTCTGGGTATCAACAAGTTGGCTCCTTTGTTTTGGTATGATAAAGGTTCCTATACATAACTAGTACAAGTCCAAGGTCCAAGACTATTTATGGTGCATAACTTAGTAAAGTGACCCTCACAGTCAAGGTCTGACTAGTATTTGGACATCCCACTTTGGATCTCTGGTTTTACAGGATTGTTTCCACATCAGGGGATTCTAACACATAAGATAGTAAAGGCCATCCCTCTGCTAAAATATGATTGCCCTAATAGCAATACAAGGTTAAAAACATATCTGGAACGATGTAAAACTATCAAAGGCTTGGTCTGCAATAACTATAAACTACTAGGCATCTGCAACAATGAAAAACTAGTCATTATTTGAAATGATATTAAACTATCCCTGTCTGAGATGACATTCAACTACCATAAACCCATGAAGTGTGGTTGTATTCTAGTGAAGCATGGGCATTGAGCATCCATATTACAAAACCCTGCCTATAAGCAGTCAAAGTGCTTCAATATTCTACCACTTTTCCTTAAAAGAATATCAGGTTATCTTAGTTCAAATCCAAGTGAGGAGTCTAGGGATATAGAGAAACCAGCTTTTCCTCATAGCATGCCTAGTCTAGTCTTAGAGCTAAAGTACAAGAAATTCCACTCCAAGACCTAGTCAGAAGGCAACTAAGACATATGCCTCAAGTTAAGCATCTAGTCAAGGTGACTAGATCACATGACTCTATTGTCTCTCATTGTGGAAGAACAACAAAAACTGACCATTTACCTTAATGTCTTTCCCACCTTCACATCTAGGATACTGTTAAACTAGCCATTGTTTTGCTATAATATTTGTAGCAGAACACATCCATAATAACCTTAAACTATCATTCCTTTATTGGGATCATATGGGATCATCTTAAATCACAAGATGACATCATAGCATCTACAATGACTTTAAACTACCTTCTCTTTACAAACAGGAATCATATGGTGGCATATTAATCACAAGACGACAGCATACATCCAAAATGACACTAAACTACCCACTCCTCACTAAATAGAAGTTGTGATTAATGGCCATAACCTTGATCATCAATCAGTCTGCAATAACTTTGACTTTAAACTACTGTTCTTTTATGCATAGGGATTATAAAATGTCATTTCAGGAGTGAAATAACATCATATCCAGAATGACATTAAACTACTGTCTCTTTTTCCACAGAGATTATCAATCAATATTATTTTTGACAAAAATATGTTAATCAAGTCTGAAATGATAGTAAAATACCCTCATCCTTAGGGGGACACATTTATCATAACTCAGGGATAATAGTCAGACAATAGCAGTCATCTACCTTATGGTGTTAAACTAAGTGGTCTCTAAATCTTGAGATGATAAGTTATCTGATTTGATATAGCATAAACCATTCCCGTTATGCCTCAGTGGGATCTAGCAAAGCAAAGTCTGGTCTATGGCCCTATGCACATCACCAATGAATGATCTGGCATACGGAAACATCTTTATTTACAAATGTTCCATGTTAATGATAACAAAGGTCACAAATGACCTTAATATAAACTACATCATAATAGCAAAAGTCATAATTGTTTGCCATAATGTTAAACTAGAGATCTTCCAGAAGGAAGTAAAACTACTATTATGGATATACTCTATGTGACCCTGACTAATAAATCATTTGTGGTCTTGATGTCTATTTGTGCATGTAATTAGGCAGTGCTAAAGAAGGAGTTAGACTCCTCCTCTCTCCTTACTGTACCCTTCAAATCTAATTCTCTTCATATCCTTGCCTCAAACTCACTAGAGATAAGCTCACCATGTAGGAGCAATACTGCTTGGGATTGGCTAGAACCTCACCAGAGATGAGCTCAGTATATGGGAGCAATACTACTCAGGATAGTTATATATGCCAGTTTGGAGAAGTAGGCCTAAGTTTTTGTAAAGTAATCAACCTACTTGTCTGTGAACCCTATGGCACTATCATCAAGAGGAAACAACAATCATAAGGATAGAACAACTATCTTAGAAACACTAAGGTTTGGTCCTTAGAAAAGGAGGGGGAAAATGATGACATAGACTAAAACCCACATGAATGAGTTTTTACTTATCCAACTACTATTTACATTCATACACCTTTCTTGACACTATACTAGGATGCCAAACTGGTTTAGATGACCTAGCTTGAGAAACTAGGAGCATTCCATCTGGTAAAACACCCCCTTGTATTAGCTCCAGATTATATCTAATAGTGTCTCAAAGTATCTAAAAGTGTTAATAGTATCTAAAAGTATCTAATTTCCTAATTGGGAGCAACACATTGTGAGCATTGGATTGGGTTCTAATTTCATGATATTAGCACTAATTCTATACTAAGAAGTCTTTAATTATTAGTAGGAAATAGTAAGTACTACTGCTCTATCAGTGAGAAGGTAAAGATGTGGCACATTCTATACTATTTCAGCATATTACTCTCCTTCATATATGCCTATACCATTATCTTATAGCTCTTTTGCTGATTTTCCAGCTGCTTTTATAAGGGATAGAGAAATGTGCATTGATGCCCCCAGCCATTTTGTTGGCAGCTTGGCAGCTGCCACAAGAGGCTATGAAGACCTAGGTACCTTGTCCTTGCACACAAGATCAACAAAGTTGTCATTGTTAGCCAATGCCTGTTACTGGTCATTATAGGATACAACATGTGGGTTGGACTTAGGGATATGCTATATGCAGCCTTATAGACCTAGTCTATTAGCATATTGGCTAATACTGTCTTGTGCAGCACACAATCATCATCACTATTGATATTACAATTTTTAGCACTATTTATATTGTTTATTGCCTTGTTATACAAAAGATGCTCAAACTTGGTGTTTTCCTCTAGCTATTAGGCTGTGGAAAAGACAGTCATATTGGTATGTGGTGCCAGAATGATATATTTGCCTGCCATATAGGAAATATATGCATTAAGCATATTAAGATCACCTCTAACAATCTTGTGCTTATTTTTATATAGGCATGCTATACATATACCCTTGTCCCCACCCTTTACCTCATTAGTGGCTATTTGGAAAACCCTTCTCTCTTATTGGATCTTGATTATTCATAATCATGTTTTTGATCAAATTTGCAAATTCAGGTAGCATTGTCTATACTAGTAGAGTCCCATTGAATATTATACTCAATCATAGTTTTACACATTCTCAGTCCAAATTGTATAAGTGCCATAATTTATTTTTATCCTATATAAAGTGTATTATTGATTTTCCATTGGTTTGTTATCTTCTTAGCTGGTGTTTAAACTAAATCCTGAAAGACCTGACTTTTTAGGTATTTATTGACCTATTTATTTATAAGATAGAGGAAAGATAAATGTTAAATAAAATCAGAGATGTTGAGGTTGCCTATATTATGTCTACTTATTTAGATTACCAAGTTCATATCTTAGACCTTGTGGCTTAGTGGCTTAGAGCATCTGTCTCAGGTGCTTGCATACATGAGGTTGTTGGTTCAACTCTGGCAGAAGGCAAGTTTGTTATAAGGTATATTCTGTGTTTAGGTATTGAACTAGTGTTCTAATAGACATGACTCTATAAGAAGGCTATGGGAACTGTGATGCTTGATTTATTATGGTTTTTCCGAAATTTCAAGTTATAATCAATCCTAGTGATTCCTAATTTAGGAAAATTATGTCTAATTAGAACAGGTTTAGAGGGGGGGTAAGCTAAAAATGTCTAATCCTAATCATTCTTAATTATGCATAAATAGAACTAATTAGAGCTTAATACAAAGGGGTGGTTTTCCAGATGTCTACAACATTGGATTAAAAAAGCAAATCATATATGAAATAGTAATAGAGTATATAGCATTGTTCTACTAGATGAATAGGACATAGAAAGGGGGTATTTTTATGATCACACTCATTAGGCCTTTATGGTGGTCTATTTTGATGGGATCATCACAACTATTAGGTGGCCTCATATCCTAAGGTGTACACTAAGGTACAGGTATTATCCTTGCTTATCCACTCCCAGTGGATGCACCTGTCACTGGTCAAGTATTATAGGACAATGCACAGATGGCCAACATAGGCTTATACATATATACCTATAGGAAACAGAGCCCTTTGCCCTCTTTATTGGAAGAGTAGTCATTCTTAGAGAGTAACAACTTAGAGAATACCTATAGTATATATATACAGGATTCTCACACCCTTTCCAAAGTAGTATAAGAGGCCCATAGAATAGGCTAAGGATCTTTAGCCTATTCTCTTTCATTACCCTATAGTCTTCCTACTGTAGGACACTCCCTGAATAGCCCTAGCACTATCCCCATCTGCAATACCATTCACTTCTGTACTGCACATACAATTGAGACTATCATTCCACTCTTCCTTATCAAGCAACCTAGGGAGAAACCTCTTATTCTTGGGGTTATTGAATAAGCAGCTTATAACAATCAACAATGTGCTTGCTACTATGCTTGATGAGGTACTCAAGCAGTTGGAGTACCTACATGATTATAAGCCCACAGTGTCAAGGTAGGAGAAAAACAAAAAAGAAAGAGAAAAGAAAGGGCAGCACCTTGTATATATGCTACCATTAGTATGTTTTTTTCTCCATAAACTGCAAGTATATGCACAGCATGATCTTGTTGAAGTTTTGACCTTTTCAAGTATGGTCATTAGAAACTAATCAGGCAAGAGCAGGGAGGTGGGTGCTCATAAGTTAAACATCCTAGATATAATAGGGTAGGGTAAGATGCATGACTTGGATAGAATGGGAGGATGGGATAAGGATGTACCCTTGTGCAATCTCAGTTATTAGCATCAAGCTTACTTGCTGTCTTTTCCATCCACAATCATTATGTACTTCTTCCTCTACTTGTACAGCTGTATTTATAGCATGCCCACCCTTACTATAAAGACCTTGTTGGACAGCTCTGACTCAATGGTCTACTCAAGATAGTGCAAGAGGAAGAGATGGAGAACCTTATGCAAGTAGCAGGTAATGAGCAGTACCTCTTGTTTATTTAGCTTGATCTTGTTACCAGTGCTAGAGTTTGTGAATGGGGTATTATCCCACTTATTGAACAACTTGATAGAATTGAAGATCTTGGGCAAGGCAAAGTTGTGCAGCACCTAGAGCTTGGGAAGGTATTCTAGAGTAGGGTACTAGTAAGGATGAGATGGTAGCAGGAATGGTAGAATATGGACAGGCCTATAATAGCTTGGACTAGGTGTTCATATGATAACCTTTGAATCTACTAGCTATTCCATTAGATACAGAACTAAATAATATGTGAAAGAAAGAAATTAACCACTTACCAATGATCATGTGTGCCCACTTAAGCTTGCTTAGGTAAGGCCTGTAAGGGTTGACTTCTTAAATGGACATTGATCAAGATAACACCTGAGGACACAACATATGCATAATTGATTTGGATAACACACCTACATGCCTTTGCCTGTAGTTCCCCTCAAGGCAATATATTCAAATAGTCAGTCATGCAGCCTTTCCACATCTAGCTCACTTACCTTCTGTCACGAACGGCTGTTCGGGACAAGAGGATCCTAGGCCACAAATAATATGAGAGGATTAGAGAGGATGATCGGGACTGATCAGACTAATGTCTCAGAATCAGAGAAGACTGTGTGAACAGCAGTTCTTAGATTGGACAGAAGCGGATAGCCTAAGGCTTCCACACTGCGCCGTAGTATCTATAAATATGTACAAGCAGATGCACGGACCAAGTATCAATGAAGCAGGAACGCGAGGTATAGTCGGGAGAAAGGTCCTACGAGTCCTTATCAAGAAGGTGAGAAAAGTAGGTAAGCATAGGTAAGGCGTTTCGTAACATTACCCCCCCCTCTAGGCCGTCAGTGCCAGAGACGGTAAGTAATAGTCCAGGAAAAACATAAGCAATGCACGTGAGCCATGTCATACAAAATAATATTTAGGGCACCAATTCTCGCTGCCCACAGTCGAGTCATGACGCAATAGCCCTTGAGTACGGACGTCATGATACCCCACCTCGTTACCAACCACGCGGGGACTGCGTTCTAGAGCCGAGTCCCTCTTCTCATCATGGCAGTGGGTACCGGCCCAACGGATTCGAACCGTCGTTTGCCCCGGCAGTTTTACGTCATACCAGACGAGGGCGTCTGTCGCTTTCTAGGCTCCACGAGGACGGAGTATAATGGGCGCGGTGTCGGACTCGCTAGAGTCGTATTCAGTGAAGGGGAGGGGAGGTTGGGTTCGTGTCGAAGAGCGGACGAGGCCAAGACGCGCGGGGATGATGTGATAACGGGGGGAGACTTGTGCGAACCGATAGACGTCTCGCTCCCTGTCAGTCCTTGTAGGGTAAGTCCCCGGCATTGGGCGAAGCGGAGCGCCATTTGAGGCCGAAGACGAGGCACGAGATACCACAGCCGTGGTAGGCATGTGATACTCGGTAGAGGGGGTGGGGTCGTCGGCAGGATGAAAGGAATCTCAAAGGTTCTGCAAGCCCATGAGTTTTCGCTCTCCAGCATTAATACGGGCGATGATCGTGCCCTCTCGGATCTGTAGGGCTCGCTGTGCGTGTCGAACGAAACTTCTTTCCTCTTCCAAGATCTCTAACGCCCTCTGAATCTCCGGCCTAGTCGGTCCTGACACGAACTCTGTGTTAGGCGTCCCCTCAATAAGTCCCATCATGTACGCGACGGGAGTTGTGAGGTAAGTCTCCCTGTCCGGGAAGACGACGCCTTCGTTAGCTTCATGAATTAGAGGGGGTGGCGAGGGGGAAGATGACGATGATGTGGATATATCTATGACGGGGGATCTGGGGGTTTGCGCCGCAGCTGCTTCTTCTGCCTCGTCAGCGTCGAGTTGAGCCTGATACCTTTGATACTCTTGTCCCCTCGCGCTGAGCATGGGAACGTCTTGGTTGTAGAGTATGGCTTCGAAGTCTCCTGCTTCTGATACGGTGGGAGAGCGGAGGTAACTAGGGAGCGAGGCTGGTTCGTTGACGAGGGTGTTTTCAGCAGATGAGGGGGAGTTGTCGGAGGACATGTTTGTTCGAGGGTGGATTGGAAATGAGTGGTCAGAATGCTGGAGGGATCGCAAGGATCGAATTGGGGTTTTTATACGTTTCGCGCTTTAGTGATTCCATGTTTATGAGGGCCTCTCGTAGAGGCAGAGCGTTACGCCTTTGATCAAAGGCTTCCAAAAGTTCTTTGGCGTTCCCCAGATCTGCCCTTGTGATCCATTCGTCGGCCGAGCTCGGATATCCTTTCTAATGTACTAAGTATTGATATCCCCATCCTCGTTTCCTTCTGTCGAGGATATTTTCTATTTCGTACTCCTCTTGTCCCTCGATCAGGTCAGGTGGCGGCTGTTTGTAGTTGGGGCCGTGGGCTATTGTTTCTTTATATGGTATAAGTAGGGAGGCATGGAACACGGGGTGTATTTTCCATGTCGGTGGGAGCTTTAATCGGTACGTAATTGGCCCTAGTTTTTCTTCTATTTGGAATGGTCCGTGTAATTTAGGGGCTAGTTTGTCCTTTGGATGTGTGGTGGTAATGTTTTTTCCCGAAAGCCAAACTTTCTGTCCTGCTTCTAGTTTGACTTCGTTCTCAGCGGTTTTTCTTTTCATTAGTTCTGCCGCAACTTCCAAGCTGGCCTTCGTTTCTTTTCGGAGTTGGTCTAACCTTTCCAGCCTTAGCTCCACTCCGGGGATGTCGGACCTTGGTGCGATCTGGGGTACAAAGGTCGGGTTGTAGCCGTACATGAGTTCAAACGGTAATTGGTGCGTGGCTGAGTGTTCCCTTACGTTGTGTGCGAATTCAGCGTATGGTAATAGTTCAGGCCAATTCGTTTGTTCGTAATTGCAGAACGCTCGTAGATATTGTTCTAACTCTTGATTTACTCTTTCCGTTTCACCGTCTGTTTCGGGATGATAAGCGGTTGATAACGCTGTCGTGACTCCTAGCTTCTTCCATAGTTCTCTTGTGAATCGAGCGGCAAATTGTGGACCTCTGTCAGAGATGATCTTTTGTGGGAGTCCAAATCGTCTCCAGACGTTTTTCATGTAGAGGTCGGCCGTTCCTTCTGCATCTATGGTTTTGTCACACGGAGTGTAGACGACTCCTTTAGTGCTTCTGTCCACTGTTACGTGTATTGCGTTATATGGTCCAACTTGTGGAAGATCCGTAATGAAGTCCATAGTGACTGTCTGCCAGGGTCCTTCTGGTATTTCGTTAGGAATGAGCGGAGTGCGTGTGGGGTGTGTAATATTCTTGGTGTATTGACATGTTGCACATCCTGTTACGTACTCTTTTATGAACGTGGACATTCCTGGCCACCAGAAGTTATCGGACACTAGGACATAGGTCTTCCATCTTCCCGGGTGTCCCGCTGCTGGTGAATCGTGGTACATTTTCGTGATTTGTCTTTTAAGTCCGTCGTCTGGTGGAACGTATATTTTTCCCCTGTGCCAGATGAGATCGTCTTCATAGTTCCATTCTTGTAGGCCTTTTGAAAGTGCTCTGGGTCCGGATGCTTTGATAAGTTCCATCGCATCTGTTACTTCTTTATCTTTGGCTATGACTTCTCTTAGCTTTCGTCTCAGCTGGCTGTCAAGCATTTCGATTGTTCCTCGTCCCGTTGCACTTTTGACGAATATTTGAGGTTGTAGTAGTACCTGGTTTTCGTTGTCGAATTTTACCCCCTCTTTCAGGTCTGGACGCCGGGACAGAGCATCGGGTCGGTGGGTAATGCCCGGTTTGTGGACGAGGGTGAAATCGAAGTGGGAGAGGAAGAGGGACCAACGTGCTTGACGGCGAGAGAGGGTCCTCGCCGTAGAGAAGTATAGAAGGTTCTTGTGATCGGACCAGATCTCGAATGGGTGCCGTGCACCTTCAAGGTATACGCGCCAGTGATCCAGGGCGTGTATGACAGCAAGTAGTTCCTTATCGAAGATGTCGTAATTCTGTTCGGCCGCGTTAAATGATTTGGACAGGTAAGCGACGGGGTGCCATCCGTCGTTGGGCGTTTCTTGTGATAGGATGGCTCCCGAAGCGAAGTCTGATGCATCGGTCTCAAGACGGAATGGGCGATTACCGTCCGGATAGACAAGGACGGGAGTCGATGTGAAACAGTGCTTCAGTCGTTCAAATGCATCATTCCTTTCGGGAGTCCATTCGAATGGGACGTCTTTCTTCGTAAGGTCGTTGAGGGGTCGGGCCGTAGCGGCGAAGTCTTTAATAAACCTTCGATAGAAGTTTCCAAAGCCTAAGAAGGATTGCACTTCTTTCAGGTTCTTCGGGGTTGGCCAGGCGGCGATTCCATCGACCTTGACGGGGTCCATGGATATGTTGTCCGCGGAAATAATAAATCCGAGATATTCAACTGTGTCCGTTTCGAAAGTGCATTTGGAGGGCTTCAGGAATAAGTCATTGTCCAAGAGTATTTGCATGACTTGGGTCGTGATGCGGCGATGTTCTTCGATGGTTTTGGTGAATACCAAAATGTCGTCCATGTAGACTGCTAGGACCCGTGCCACGATGAGGTCGTGGAAGATGATATTCATCATCGTTTGGAAGGTCGCAGGTGAGTTGCAGAGACCGAAGAACATTACGAGGCATTCGAACAGACCAAATTTAGTCATGAAGGCTGTTTTCCATTCATCTCCTTTGGCGATGCGGATGTTGTTGTATCCCCATTTGACATCGAATTTGGAGAAGATTCTCGCCTTTGATTTGGCGATGGTTCTTATTACGTCGTCAATTAGGGGTAGCGGGTATTTGTTTTTTATGGTCCATTCGTTCAGTCTTCGGTAGTCTTGAACCGGTCGTAGGCTTCCTTCTTTCTTTTTTACGAAGAAAAAGGGTGATGCTTGCGGTGATTTAGATATCCGAATGGTCCCTCGCTTTAGGTGTTCTTGGAGCATTTCATGCAACTGATCTTCCTCTTCTTCGGTTAATGGGTATAGTTTACATCCCGTCGGTTCCCACCCTGGTTTCATATCGATTTTATGATCCCATTGCGAGTGTTCTGGGAGTCGCTGCGAAGCTTCTTGGCTAAAGATTTTGGCAAATCGTTTGAGGACGTACGCTGGAACTATTTCCTCGATAGGTCGTTCCGTTTTTGCCTTGTTTGCCTTTTCTGCTAGTTGTTGCGACTTATTTCCGACGGAGCCAATATGAATCGCTTCAAGGGGATGTACTTCTAGCGGGTCTTGATAATACCATTCCTCATAGAATTCGGAAAAGAAGGTGTCCTCGATTTCGTCTTCTTCTGGGCTATCTTCTATCCTGAAATACCCAACCGTTCTATTTTTTCTTTGCCAGACAGACAATAGCGCTTGTATGGTGAACTTAGGTCGGCTGACTAGGCACGTGGTGGCGCAGTTTGAAAATGTGAGGCTGTTTTTTACCCAATTGATTTGCGGGTTATGTTCATGTAGCCAGTCTGTTCCTAGGATTATATTTTCGCCTCCTAGGTTAGCGGCTAATAGTTCGCATTGTTCGTCGTGATAGTCGCCTTCTTCGTTTGTTATTCTCATAAGCGCGCAGACTTTGTCGGTGATTTTTCCTCCGTCATTGGCTGTGCCGTCTACGTTAAACACAGGGATAGGTTTGTCGATTTTCTGTGTTGGTATGTCATTGTTGAGGCAGAATTGCTTATCGATGAGAAGTCCTTCCGCTCCTGAATCGATTAACACTCTGGCTTTGGTGGTTCCTTTCCTGTGTTTTAGATGCACGTTTATTCGCATAGACGATTTCTGATTGGATTTTGTGAGTCGTACAAATGTTTTTACAGGAGGGTCTGGAGCGGGTCTACGGTACACCGGAGCCGTAGGCCTATTTAAAAATCCGATTTCTTCTTCTTGCTTATCTCGCTTAACTCTTGAAGAAGTGCTTCTTGTTCGTCCCACCTCATCTTCCTGATGACCCTCTGGATCTCTTCTCGGCTAATCTCAGGCTCCGTCTCACATACAGGCGCATCCGGTCTGGGTGCGTGGGCCTGGCGAGCTGCGAGTCGGGCTCGGAATGGGTTAGTCGTCGCCACGCTTCTACCTTGCGTCGTAGCGCCTCTTTGAGGACTGCTTGAAGCTCCTGTCGAGAACGTTCGGCCATAGCCGCTTCCTCCGCCTCCCATCCTACCGCCGGTCTGAGCCGAGCGGTTCCCCATCGTTCCACTACTCTGTTGAACATATCTAGCTGACCCTTCATGTACCCTAGACGAACCCCTGACAGGGCATTGGTTGGCCATATGTCCTTTCTGGCAACAGTAAAAGCACCCACCCTCCATTCTGAGGCGGTTGCGTTCCTCGTCTGTGAGGGTTGTTCGGACTGAGTCTACGGCCATGGGGACGACGGAGTTATTCATGGAGGATGGAGCGTTGGATGAGTTGTAGCGGAAAGGGTTGCTGGATCGAACAGCAGCGGAGGGTACGGAACTTTTTATGCTCTGCAACTCTCTCCATTGATTATCGAACCTTCGGGTGTATTTTACCCAATCGTCCATTGTCGTCGGCATGTCAGGGAGTCTGTAAATTTGTTTGAGGATCTCCGGGTGTATGGCGCGACGGAAGTAGTCGACGGTGGATTCGAGATCGAATCCACTTTCTCCTGCCGTCATGAGGTAGTCCGTGACAAACTCGTCTGCTGACCGCTTTCCCATTCTCATTGTGAATAGTTTTTGTCTCGCCTTCTGTTCGAGACTTTCATCTTTGAATGCGGCGGCCAGTTCTTTCAGGAAGTCCTTGAATGTTCCCCATGTTTTTCTTGTTTCTGTTGCCTTGTATTCTCGAAGTTCCCTGTCGAAGTAATATTTCTGAGCGAAGAGTGATGCCGTTCCTTCCCTCATGTATGACAACACCATCAGGGTTTTATCCTTATCGGTGTCGTACTTGGTCGGGTTGGCGAGAATGTACATGTGACATTCATATATCCATTCTCTGTACTTTGACCTTGTGCCATCGAAATCTTTCGGTTTGTTTCCTCTGTCCGACATTTCGTCTTCGTTGTCTGTGGTGTCTGTTGTTGGTGGAGGGTTCGGTTGTGGATTTGGGTTTGGGTTTGGCTGACTCGGCCCTGCTATAGGTTCCGGGTCTTCTTCGTCGACCGGGGTTAATACTCCCGCGGGAATTGGGGTTTCTTCAATATCTTCTTTGGGAATATCGATCGGTGATAGAACCGGTTTTGTTCGGATGGGGGAATCTACGGTTCTGAGGGGTGCCTTCCTGTCTTCCCAGGGTACTAGCGGGGCGTCGACTGTTTTTCCGCTGTTCTGTCCTCCTACGTAAACCCAATTTCCCTTGGATGTTCTTCTGATCGGTTGTCCGAAATGGACAAATGTGTCGGAGTGTTTCAGGTAGTCGGTTCCGTGTGGAACTCGCCCTACGCTCCTTCCTGAACCTTTGGAAGTCATCTTGTTGGATCAAAGAGCCCGCGCTAGTCTCGACCTGATCAAGGTTCGAGGGTCAAGGCAACAGCAGCTCGTTCTGGCCGGGTACAGTATTTCTGCTTCTGGTATAGTACCATACGTAACGTCGAGTGCAGTTGTTTCGGTCATACCTCCACTGGGTTGATTACCAGATAGAAGTATTCTACAACCTGAAACGACCCACACTGAAGTGGAATCGTCCAACCGTTCGCTCGAAGTGTATAGTAACTACTACGGTCGACGGACGCTTGTCTTTTGGGACTGCCTAGCACCGTATGTATCTAGCCGGTGTTCTGCTGCAAGGAAAAAAGGTGGAGTAGGATTGTGTGTGGAGAGGGCTATCCAGATGTCACAAACGGCTGTTCGGGACGAGAGGATCCTAGGCCACAAATAATATGAGAGGATTAGAGAGGATGATCGGGACTGATCAGACTAATGTCTCAGAATCAGAGAAGACTGTGTGAACAGCAGTTCTTAGATTGGACAGAAGTGAATAGCCTAAGGCTTCCACACTGCGCCGTAGTATCTATAAATATGTACAAGCAGATGCACGGACCAAGTATCAATGAAGCAGGAACGCGAGGTATAGTCGGGAGAAAGGTCCTACGAGTCCTTATCAAGAAGGTGAGAAAAGTAGGTAAGCATAGGTAAGGCGTTTCGTAACACCTTCCTTCTCATCAGTGCTATGGAACAGGAAGAAATTCACCTCACTAAGGTAGAGCAATTTTTGGATAAGGATATCAATGTACCTAATTCAGATGATGCAAATGTGCTCCACAATCATAGGGCATTTGCAATAGCTGAAGAATATCTTGCTGTAAGTGGATCATTTTTCTTGAACTGACATGATTTATCTGTTACCAAGGTCATCCAAAATGCTCAACTAATAATAGTAAGGCTTTGAATAAAGCTACACAAGGCAGAGCTAGAACTTGTAACCCTGTATTCCAAGCAGCCTAAGCAATGACAAAGTGGTAGTAGCAGGAATGTGACCACAGAGCATAATAAGGAGATCAAGCAGCTCAGCCATAAGTTGAGTATAATAGAATAGCTGTAGGTCAATTAGAATTTCTTTAAATGACCTTGTCCTGTTATAGCAGCAACTAGCAATAAATGCTGTGGATTGTAGCTTGCCATCCAATAGGACATTGTGGCTGACCTCTATAATTTTATTCCCCAGAACCTCCATACCATGATGATGGGCTATAATGCCTTTGCACAAAAGGTTTGTCCTTATTTTTCACTCTTAATTCACATTTTGACTCTGGAGTACAAAGTTCAATAAAGCTCTTATTGCTCAATACTCAAGCACTATTATAAAATTGCACGCCTTCATCATTAGGATATTTTCTAATATTGACAGTGGTTTTCTTAAAGATGGCTACAGCCACAAATCCATACCCTTCACTTAAGTGCTCCTTGCTATTCTGTTTGGCCTTAAGGAATTTCCTGAACTAGCTGTGGTATTATTTCCTCCTTATACTTTCAACATTTCTTTTTTATTTAGATTAGAGGTTATTGTTTGGGTACATATATCTCTTATTCCTAAATTGTTCTGGGCCACTGGCTAACCTTTTTGATTCCTTTTTCTAGATCCTTTATATTAGTCTCCTTGGCCCTAACTCTATGGCCATAGATGGCTCTATACCTATAAAGGTTATAGAAACACTGTCTGTTACATAGAAATAGGGTATTATTATACTTACCCCAGGTGCCATTGTTTTTGCATCAATCATGGTAAAGTTTAAATATTATATGTCCAATTGCATAGCCTTCCTAATATTATGTAGGCACTTTTTCTTTCTTCAACAGATTTCTATTTCAACAAAAATAGACAGCATGCTAATAATATCAACTACAAAACAAAATTCAATCCTCGTAAGGGAATCCTCCTCTGTATGCTACTTGTCCCACTATTAATGCAACACTTGTATACTTGAACTAGCATGTTCTTTCAACCACCATATAAGCAAATTCAATATTGGCTATTTCTGTCAATAGAGGCTAGCAAGTTGGGAGTGGCATATCAGTATTATTGATGAAGATGTAACTTGCTAATGATAATTTTATAGTGTATAGAAAGAGTATTGGCAGTGAGACTAGAGACAATAGAGAGGTTGGTGTTAAGGATGAAGACTAGGATAGTGAGATAGGTGACAAGGGTAATAATGACAAGGATGCTGAAAAAGTAAAAGATGACCCTTATAGTACAGACAACAGCAGGTTTGACAATAGAGATAGCAAGAAGAATAAAAATAGTGGGCTTCTAGCAGCTATGTACCCTACCATCATGCACCTACTAGCTAGTGCATAGCATGCCGCTATACCACCTACTACAAGTACTCCTAACATCACTACTCTTATTGCTATATCCATAGCTGCTGCTACTACTACTATGCAATGTCCTATGCAGTTTATAGCACTGCCTCCAATTAATATGCTTCCACTACCCATGATCACATCTCTAAATGCCAGCTGCCACCAATCTAGTATAGGACAGGCTGCTACAGTGCTGCCTATTCCTACTCTTCAGCCTATCAATGGCAGTCATCCCTCAGCCTTGCAAGATCCAGAAAATAAAGGTTCAAAGAAGAAGAGACTAGCAAAAAGCAAGGCTCCCACTATGCCATCTGTAAGAGCTGTCTACTCAACATAATCATGTAGAGCCTTAGAGAAATAGGCAGGTAGAGAGTAATCCATGAAGGTTCGTGTATTATCTTAGCATTTTTATATAGACTATGTTTTATATATAGATTGTGACATATCAATAAAGTGCTCTTAAGAATCCTTAATCAATTTCTTGGATCTCATGGACAATATCTTTATGCATGTACATTGAGATTATTACATGCTGTATGGTAGCTTAGTTTTTTATAATATATTTAAAAACATAGGCTAACTAAAAATGGCTCTTTGGCAGAGCAGTTTTATTATAACAATGTACATATACAAACTCAGTAGCACCTAGATGACTTAGGTTTGATTTCTGGCCTGTACAAATATCAATCTATAGTAAGTACCTCAGTAGTAGACTTTTGTAAGCTCTATAAGTAAATAACACTATAAGTAAAGTAAGTCAGCATCATGGTAAGTAAAGTAAGTCAGTATCATGGTAAGTAAAGTAAGTAAGTACCACAGTAAGTAAAGTAAGTAAGCACCAGTATCATAGTAAGTAAAGTAAGTAAGTTAGCTAGTTAGCACTACTAATAAACAAGCAAGCTTACTAAATTAGCTATGGCCAGATACTTTTGTGGTTCTATTATGTCAGGATCCTGATCTTATAATGACTCATATTAAAATCAGCATTATAACTCATTATAATAAATATCAGCCTAGAATCATAATTGAAATTACCAATCCAATTGTAATCCTCATTGTGATGGCATCATAATATCCTATCTCCTTTCTTATAATGTATTATAAGGGTTTTATAACATCAAGGCCTTATAATCTATTATAAGGGTTTATTATCAAGGTTTATTTTTTTTGACAAGTGGTGAGAGCAAGAGACAGAGCAGCATATACAATCATTGACATGGCAATAGCATATGTTAGCATATGCCACTACCATATTACTAGCAGCTTGTGCTTCCACTTACTTGCTCTTTTCCCTATTACTGCCACCTACTACCACTATTGCCCATACTTGTACAAGATAAGCATAATCTTATCTTATCTTGTCTTGTCTTGTCCCCTTATTGCTCATACTACCACCACTACTAACCATCTTTGTCCATGTTTATATAAGATGAGCATGGGCACATCTCTTCTTATCTCTCTATTACTACTGCTCATATATTTCTGCCTATTGTTATAACTTATTTATAAATTCATATGTTTCTTTTTTCCTTCTTACTTAATTATATCATTATGTGCTAGTCACTCATGTGTCTTACTCATGTAATACTTTCCTATATTCCATATTTAGGCACACTCTCTTGAATAATCATCTAATATATACCTACTTGTCCTTAATCTATATGGTCTGTGCTTAGGGCAAGTAGTATATATATAGTAGTATAGTGGGCAATACATCCCCAGCTTTAAGCTGGTTTTACCTCCAACTTCCACCACACTCTTAGGATAGTAGAGCAAGTGCCTAATAATGGAAGGTTGTCATTAATACCCATACTTATATAAGACAAGTGTGACCTTGTCTCATTTTCCTATCCCTACTAACTATCTCTGCCTATGCTTATACAAGATGAGTGCCTGTTCTTCCTCCTCTATTTTTACTCATCTATCCTTATCCATGCTTATATAAGATGAGTATGGCCTTATCTTATCTTATCACACTGCTACTATTATCCACTATCTCTGCCCACACTTATCTGAGATAAGTACAAGCCTGTCCTTTTCCTACCATCTCTATGCATGCTAGTATAAGATAAGCATAGGCTTATCTTGCCACTACTAATCATTTTCTCCACTCATGCTCATTAAAATAAGCATAGGCTTATTATTCTAGCACTAGTTTCATATGTCCTCTCCTTTACTCATATTCAGTGCTAGTTTTGTCTTTTCTATTGCAGGCCCTTTGCTCTTATACAAAGGGTCCTCAATTCTATAGTATACTCTAGTATAGCTTGTAATGATTTTGATATTGTGATAATTTCAAACTTTCCTTTTAAAATCATCAGATGAAGTAAAGAGCTATAATAAGCAAGCTATTTTATGCTTTGCTTTGTGTTTACTATTATCTTACAATATAACTCTAGAGCTATCTCTAATCATAGATAATAATGTCTTGAGAGACATTTGCCTTGCCTTGCAAGACTCAACTAGAGCCACTATCCTATTTTGGAAAGAATTAAGCTTGGATTATCTACACAAGCTGAGACCAAAATATTGAGTCATTACCAGCTATCTCTAGATACTTCTAGTGAAAGCTAGGTCTTGGCAGTCAGATTCCTAATAAAGGAGAAGAATAAGATTTTTACCTATCTAAGATCATAGACTTTGTCTGAGGCAATAATTAAGACCATTCACATGTGTATCCCTAGAGCCTTGTTTTTCTTGATCAAAAGATAGACCATTCTTGCTTGCTCTAGATAATGCAAGCATGATGGAGTCATATACTAAGTACTGAGCCACTATTCTCTATATGTGGTCAACTCTGAGAACTTCTTTATTTCTACTACACCAACTTCTTTCATGTTTGTTAATATATGATCCCCTTATCCCTTACTGATTTACTTATATTACTCCTACACTCCTTTATTACCTCACACTCCTTTGCTCCACTGCCCTTACCCATTTCCTAATTAGGCTATGAGAGCATATTGTTTTCAATAGTGTTGTCTCACTCTTCTCAGTTATTCACTATCACAGACAGTCAACTGAGCTAAGTGGTCCCTTAGCTACTTACCAGACCTGTACTTACTTTACCTATAGCTCCATGTCCCGCTCTCTGCAGGTAGACCTACAGCCAGATTCATAACGATAAGCCCTAGCTTCGGAAAAACAGGCTTAGTCAGAGTGTCAAATTTGAAATCCAGACAGCATACGACTGAGGAGAGGGAGAGCAAACAGCAAGTGGAGATATCAGCAGCTACCGGCTATAGCCAAAATATTCCCGCGCCGACCCATTTTGCTAAGCATATTATTTCTTGTTGAGGTCCATCGTTACAGGGTCTTGCATAATTTTTGAGAGAGTCGCGCCAGAAAAAAATAGGTTCCTGAGTGCTTCATTGTGGATATAAGAAAAAAGCACCGGACCCCCCTGTGTGACCCACCTGTGACAATCACTCTCTACTGCTGTCTTTGATAGTGCCAGTCAATAATTAGCTCTCAAATTCAATAATGAATAGGTGTAGACATGGTAAAGTTGAATAAAGTACTACAAAAAGGTGAGCACACAATGTGCTCAAAGCAATAGCCCTGAGCCATGAGAGTGTGACAAGGTTTTGCCGATCATCCCGGCCCATGGTGCCCAGTTAGGCAAGTCTTGGTTCAGGAACCCGGTTTTTCTCCGATGCAACTCTCTCGAAAATTATGCAAGACCCTGTATGAATTTGGCCGTAATTCAGTCGTTCGCCATTGTAGACGGTCGACTGAGCTCCGTGTCCCGCTCTCCGCAGATCTCCACTCTCTTCAATGTTTCCCCGAGACCAGCACGACACTTTGGATCGTGTCGTCCTCAGGGTGCTCATGACCCATGACACACACGTACCTAGTCTTTACTACCCATGCTGACGTCGGCATCAGCATTGTCAGTAGATGACATCAAGGCGTTGTTCCTCCTGGTGGGCCCGATCGACCAGGATAGGCTTTGAGGCATGTTCACACTCGTTGCGCATCGGTCCGGGGGCCACGAGTCGACTGTGCCCCCTCGAGGCTAAGTAGCTTGTGTCGGATCGATCATGCAACTACGCCATCGCATGTGAGCGCTTTGTGCCCCAGCAAGAAGCCCAGCCTGCGGTGGCCACGAGAGCGGGCGGCTATACGATGTACGTACCGTCGACTCAGCTGAGACCTGCCCACCTGCCCCCTCGTCGACGCCGCGCACGCCTACTCACCGCCAGGTCCACCTCTTCATTCTGCGTGGCCAGCACGGCATGTCCTGCACTGGATCATGAGGTCAGCCCGTCCCCGAAAAGCCCACCTCCTGCCTCGCCGCGAAGCCTTCGCGTCGTTGCGGATGGCCAAGTCAGATGACGTCAGAACACCCAACATCGATCTTCATCCCATCGATACTGCATTACCCCGCTCCGAGGGATCCTCGACCCCGCGCGTCGAAGGACTCGACGACTCGAGGCCTTCTTCAATGAGGAGTCGCATACAGAAGGACGGGCGCGGGGAGACGGCTCGTCCGTCGTCCGTCCGCCAGCCATCGACTCGCTGCACTTACAAACCATCAGTCGAAGTCGTCTTCGACCAGAACACGCTCCCGGCATGTGAATCACGCGCGGCCCACCTGACATGACATCCCACACACCCCGATAGCCACCCTCGAATTTCTGGCTGGATGGGCCCCTCCAGACCCTCGCCGGGTGTCCGACGCGCAGATACAATAGACGAAGCGAAGGCGAAGACGCGGCCCACACCTACGGTAGCGTAGCGTACACACTTCTCGTCCGTCCAACCCCTCTCTTCCAAAATACACATAGATCCACATCGACAATACGGGGCTCGGGACTCGCATGATAGTATCGTTCCACGCTGGCGGCACGGGAGAGATATCTGAAAGCGTTTTCCTTAACATTGAACTGGTTGAAGTCGACCAGGGCACTGACGAAGCCTAAGGGACAGGCGGGCGGTGCGCGCCGGACTTGAGCGAAAGTGACGTTGTGGTGCCACAAGCCCACGCTGCCAAGCGGCTGCATGATCAGGTCGATTCTATAATTCAAACGCATTGCATATACGGCTACATACCACAGTGACTTCGATTGTGCGTCGGCTATCGCAGCAAGCGTGCCCACATGGCACACAAGCCGTAAGAAATCCTGAGATTCTCATTGGTTCTATTAGAAGTATACTGGGAACACGCACATGGACACTGCACCCTGAGCAACCTATATGATGTGATCCAGCAGCAAGCATCGTCATGGTTGTTTTCTACGACTTCTCGAAAGGTTCGTCATTCCAAGAATCCACAGTCGAGCTGAACCTGGATGTTTTTGACTCTGAGAACAATGGATGGAGGTAAGGTGCCGGGCCGTGCACTGTCTCACTCCATCCAAGATCTCGCCGTGATACGGCTGTGCAACCTCGTGATCACGTCGACCAACCAGTGCACCTAGTCTGGTCGCGACATCTCCTTTTTTGCCTTCCGAGAAGAGCAAAGGGTCCAGGCAGACGTGTGTTGAGCGAAAAGCGAAGCATTCCAAACAACGTCGCTCCCTGACTTGGATCTCTGGTACGACAAGTGTAAGGAAGGAAGTGCGCCTTACAACTGGCGCCTGTTGACCAGGACTCTGGCATTTTGCCTGCAGCTTGAGCTACTGATGAGAGAGAGATGAGAAATGCTCTACCCAAGTTGATTGCATCGATGGCGTCGATTGCACAGCGTCCAAGCACATCCGAGCACTAGAGAGGAAAATCCCATGCAAGTACGACCTAAGAACTTCAAACTAGCCAAATGAAGCACCACGGAAGCTGCAGATGACGTTAGACAAAAGCAAGAGCGAAGTGTCCGATTCCCAAGACACTAGAGAGCGGTGGCGGTATGGACTCGGGAGAAAGTATCGAGCGCAGTGTTAAAACCCGAAAGAAGACTCAAGCTGCACGACGGCAAAGCCCGCGACTTACTCCAGAGGTAGGCACAAACCCCCGTCAGAGATTTTGCTAGACCAAAGAAGAGCTGCCGAACGTCGAACAAACGCAGCATCACCAGCAGGTCAGAGTCATAGCAACAAGGCGGGGACGTTCACGAGAGGGCGTCAAGGACGCTGTCGCCGATGATGGCTCGATGGACAGCAGAGCGCGTCGGCATTCTGGGCACCCCGCACGGACGACAGCCACGCGTGACGCTCCCGCGTGCTTCTAAACGAGCAGGACAGATTTGGACGCCGACACTCCCGACATCGACGCTGGTCTGTCACCGAAGGCTGGCAGCTGACGTCCAGGCGTCACCCCGCCATCGTCCCAATCGGGCGACCGAGCTCGATCGCGTAAGCTCTTCCTCATTTTGCTTCCGTTCTGCGCAGGTTGTCGAACATGAGTGAACGTGTCAAGATAGGGGCACCGTCCGTGGAGGCTGTGGGGCGAGGGGCAAGGCCCATGCGAAACTCTTCGACGGAGCCAATGCGCTATGCGTCGACGCGCTTTTGGTGCGCAAGGCCCGCGCACATGGTGTCGGCGTCTGAGCTTGCCCACTCCTCGTCTAGGCCAATCGCTGAGCGTTCTTCCTCGTCGTCTGCATCAGGACCATCAGGACCATCAGGATCATCAGGCCACCTGATGGCAGCGCGTCGTCGAGATAAGAAAGTCGAGGTGGGACAGACAGCGCATCCGCCAATGGTGTGCATCATCAGACATCGCTCTGCGCTGCTGTACGTCTTGGCTCCGTTCCAGCAATGCGAGAGATGACATGGGAACAACGCCACAGACAGGATACAGATCCATTTCTGACGCTGATGCTGGCGCCGCCCAATAGAGCAGCTGTTAAGCGGGGGTGGAAAGACTGTAAATGAAGTCATTACAAGAAAAGGCACCCGATTATCGCCCCACACGCTAAGAATAGGCAGAGCACACCCGTATACGCGTGAACGCCGCACGAGACCCGATTGTGGAAGAAGGGGAGCGAGGAAAGGGAAGGCGAAGTTCAAACGGAAGGCCATGTTCGCAGGCTTAGCAACATCGTGCACAGAGAAAGACTCGCATTTTGCGCCCGTGTACAATCCGAAGCCTCGAGCGCTTGCTCGACGACGCACACATGTGCATGAAGTCTTCTCCCGCCCGTCTCCGAGTCTCCACCATCGTCCGTTCTGGTAGAGACATAGAACTTCTAAACACCATCACGGAAACCTGACACACCGCCCCCGATAAGCTTCACGCGTCTTTCGAGCCTCTAACAGACGGCATCACAAGAGAAAGCCTCAGTGAAGCCAGAAAGACACAGCAGATGGTAGCCAACAGATGATGGTGACTCTGCCGCCGTACGATGTTAATCACAGCTGCTTTGCTAGGCGACAGCGTCGGCGCGTATCAGAAATACCGCAAGCCTGACGGAGAGATCCGCCTCTGATGCGCGCGCATGTGCGCGCAGTGATCTATGATACGCTGAGTGCTAGACGGGTGATCCCCGAGATGCTGACGACGGGCGGAGAGATGCAAGAGTTCCACGGCTCCAGGCGCTGTTCAGCACGAATGATAGACGCACACACACCTCCATGGGGTAATATACGTACACTGTATCAGAAACGCGAACGCTCCGCTGTTGGTGCTCCAGCCCGAACATAGCTCCCGCGTCCAAGCTCGGACCTAGCGTGATGTAAACAGTGATCCCAACCTACCACCAGCCCGCGCGAGCTGATGCGCGGAGCGAGCGAGGGCATAGAGAGACAGCGGCGCTGGGTGTTCCTCACGCCTGTTCTGGCAAAGCATTTCATTATGCCAGCAATGCCGGGATCCAATGCAGGCAGGTGGAATGGTAGCGGAAGCCAGCAAGAGATGAGGGCTCAGAACGGACGAACCACGGCCACGCGGCGCGGCGCGTCCAGCTAGAATCTTAATCGATGACGGCGTGGAAGAATGGAAGCCGGGAAAGCCGCGAGAAAGGGAAATTGCGAGGTTCAGGTGAGATAGCATTTGCTTTGCGGGTCGGCAGGGGCGCGCGTGGGTCAGAGCGCGTTCACACGCGAGTGGAGGGGTAGGCGCACAAACGCCTCTGGATGTCGAATCGGGCGTCCGACCGCTCGACCGGGCATACAAAGATATGGATATAGACACAGACAGGCAGCACAGGCGGGCGAACGTTAAAATCGGGACGTGCAGTATGTAGAGGAGCGAGTAAAGCGCGATCGATATCTAGAGGCTGCACTGCGAAAAAGGAGCAGCAAGAACGACACTGGGCCTTTTGCTGATGCCGTCGACTTCTGAAAGACCCATGCAGCAACATATTAGACAAAGCAGCATCGGGGACGCGGACTGACTTGATGCGGATGGCTGGGCTGCCAAAGCCTCCGCAAGGCGCGCTCTACCAAGATCCGAGACCGCTGCGCCCAAAGAAATGGCATAGCATCATGGCAGGGGTAGATGCATGAGGATATAAGCTTACGATTTAGTACCGTGCCCCAGGGAGATTCTAGCTCGAGTCATATCTATCTGCGACATGAGGCTGGAGCTTAGAAGCCGGAGACAACAGGCAACGTGTCAATGCTATGAGATGGAGGGTGTCTTTAGATGGCAGGGGGCGTGAATAGCTGTGTGCTGCTGGTCCTGGGGTGGAGAGGGCGAGAGCAACTACGATAGGAGCTGGCTGCTGAAACAAAGACCTGTGCGGTCATGTTGGGGATAGACAGAGGAAACGTGCAAGCTGACGCGTACTCGGGCCCTGGCCACGCGGGGCTCTGTCCTGCTCGTGTGATATCATAGGATATCATGCTAAGCATGCAGCATTCGATCACTAGCATCATCACAGCGTCACTTCGACATATCGGCAGCGCAGGTTGGAGCTCCGCAGATGAGCCAGCCACGCTGCGTTCATACTCGCTGTAGCCCCAGAAGTCGTGATCCACGATCACGAACAAAGCAAGTCGGTCTTTGCCCATCGAGGCGTTGTGGGCCAGTGCGAATAAAAGAAGAGGCAGACGCTGCGCCGCGGGCATGACGCATCGCACGGTCTTACTGCCTAGTTAGTCCACACGCGCGCACACGCACGCTGTTGGGCAGCTAGCGACCAACACCGGGAGGCAGGGGAAAGTGCACGATGATGCTGATCGACAGCAGCGAACCCGATGTCCTGCTGGAGAAGCAGCTTTGCGCCTTCAGAGGGCACGCGCGTCGCGGCGTGGCGGCACAGGGAGCCCGGATAGGAAGGAACACGTTTCTGCGATTCCCACAAGCGACCTGAGATCGTGTCTCTCAACACGATAGTGAGGCTAATACGAAGGTGGAAGGCGAAGTACTGCATAGAGTGAAATAGGAGAACGCTGGAAGGAGGGCGCTGGCACTGGCTGAGCAGCGTTAGAGTTATGCAACGGGGTCTTCGAGCTGCACGCATTGGGCTCACTGGACTGTTCCGCGAATGAATACGATTGACATGCTGCAGCCCGGGCTGTCGATCGTGCTGCAAGCGAAAGAAAGAGCAGAACGTCTTACCCATCTCGATCTTTCCGAGCGACAAGCGTGTCACGCACACACCATAAATGCTGCAGTACGTGATTTCGAGAGCAGGCGAGAGGTAAGCGCGGTGTCAGTGCGTCCATGCTCCGCGCATGTCGGTCGACGCTCGGGCTATTACCATAAGTGAATCGCTTGAAATCTACGGCGGCCGCATGTGGGTCCATTCTCCACCCACGCACGCCTGATATATGCGGAGGTGATCATGCCCGAAGAGTAAGATTGACAAGCAACCGGGACCTGCGAATACATAAAGTTTGTGGCCATCGAGTGCCGTCGAATCTCGGAAGAAAATGCAGTTAGACGAGGCACGCTGAGTGAGTGGGTCGCCAGATATACGTCACTGCGACTAAGAACTGAGAGACACTGATATTGAAGTGAGGAATGTTTACGGCGAGTTAAGACAATACGTGCCGGTGACCTTTCTCTGACAAGCACGAGCGCAGGCACATCGGGCCCCTGCCCAGTTGCACGTCGTTGCTTGAGGCTCTCCCAAAAGTGGCTGGATCTGGAAGCCCGTTGATCAAAAATTAGACAGCCGGGCGCCTTTTGCTTCAAGGGAGCCGGTCAGCAGTCGGTCAGCGCGTCGTCAACGGTTTCTGAAGTCACCGGCACCGCCGGATATCGCTAGGTGCGTAGCGCCTTGGAGGACCTTGTCTCGCCTCGCGCAGCGCGAACGGTGTCGCAAGCCTGTCGACATTTCATTGCCGTTCCGTGTCGGCACGCACAGGCGAGATATGTGCCGCGCAGAATGCTGATAAATTCGAACCTGAATCAATCTGAAAGCAGATGAATTTCGGCAAGGGAGAGTGGTGGTGGTGCCGGTGGTGGCAGCGTCAAGATTCGATATATTGAAGATTCGGAAAGGAAGCGCAGAGAGCCATGTGCATGCGTGTCTCTTCCCTCCGAGGACGTTCGCCGTCGTGCCGTGGCATCGAGTGGACTAGGTTCATCTAGAAATAAGCCAGCAGTTCATAGATCACCGCAAATGCAAATGCGAGCAAGCGGACAAGCACTGTGAGACGCGGCCAGAACGTGTCCAGACACGCCCGACCTTTCGAAAGCTGGATCTCCCACCCCTGCCATTCATGAACCGCGCACGGCGCAATCGCACAGCTCGAAGGGAACCGAAGTCGACGCCACGTAAGATTGGCTGCTCCAACGGAACTGGAATGGCAGGCTTCGAGAAGCGCGAGCGCGTCTTGCACTTCTGCGACGCGACGTCGACGGCGACGGCGACTCAGACCCCACGACAAAGGAGAAGCCGGACTGGGAATTAGGTTAGACGCTGCGCTGGTCAGGGCCGGCAATGGAGCTGGGACGTCGACGTACCGTTCTGTGCGATGGTGAGCGCACGCGCGAAGAACGTGGGAATGACCGTCAGACGATCGTACCATCATGCTCAAAGTCCTCGGCGCGTGGCGCGTGCGGGAAGAGGAATGAAGAGGATCGTCCAACAGCGGCAATGGGCACTCAATTGGATTGGATGATGGATGTGGGCGCAAAGGCCAACGTGGGCTGGCGGGGCGGGCGGGCTGGAGGAAGCTGACTCGGGCCGCCGAGCGACGAATCGGAGAGGAGAACAATCACCCATCCTCCCAACCCATCGCGTTCAGTGATCCCAACAACTCGCCAGCCCGTCTACCTCACGCGAGCAGGATCTCATCAAGTAACCAAGATACAGCCCCGACTCCGCTGCATCTGATCCAGGTCCTCCTCCACACTGCCGCTCCCTCCACCACAGGCGTCCACGTCGCCGCCGTCGTGATACGCGCCGCCGCACACCTGAAACGCGTCCCTCGCCCGATCCTGCCATCGCGAGCCTGTTCCGCCCGCCGCCCTGGCCACACCGTGCGGTAAGCACCTATCGCGCCGCACGAGCACACACCGCACTACAGTCTCGGTCCCTCGCACCCAGGGCAACGCGACGCGCATCAGCGTGCATCGCGAGTCGGGGCAGACGCGCTCGCTTCTGGTGCGAGGGCAGAGGGGCGCTCAATATCACGATATTCCCATTTATGCGCCTATTTCAATTCAATGGTTTACATGCATGCTTATTCGCGAATCGCCTGCTGGAGCTGCTGGGGCCCTCTGGAGTCTAGTCGCAAACTGAGATGCCTCTTCGCCTCGCGTCCTGCTCCCTGCCCGCTTGTCCGTCTACTCGTCTCGCGCATGATTTCCTCATAGAACGGCAGGTGATTCGGGGCGCCGCAATTGGCTGCTGCGTATTACCGTACCCACCGCTCCAATAAACGGACTCGTAGCCAATTGTGGGTTCATTAATGCGAGACACGAGGCCGCTGAGGCCCAGAGACGCGACGACACATCAGACATGACTGACGTTGGCCGAGCACTCACAATAGCCCAACGCACAGTGGCTGCAGCACTTTGGTTTGCTTACTACATATCATCGCGATTGTCCTTCAGTCTCTGCACGAGACGCGTCGGCCGAACGCGCGCCGACCTGCACGCACGCACCTATTGCCGTGGCTTCACCCGGAGCGTGCACGGGCCTCCGCGAGCCCGTCGACGGCTGACGACCCCGCCCGAAGGGAAGGAACGCGCGGGTCGGAGATGGACGGCGCGGCCGCATCGATCCTTGCGAGCTTCGCGTCTCGGGAGGCTCGGTTTTCATCAATAGCAGGAAGAACGCGCGCGGATTCTCGAGCCAATGAGCACGAGTGCGAGTGCGAATACGAGGACGTGTGTACACGCCCCGCGAAGTGCAGCCCGCGAAGCACCATCGAAGCCGCGCGCGCGATGGAAGACGGCAAAGGAAGCTGAACCCACCTTGAGCTAGAGATGGGGAGGTGGACGCCGGCAGCAGCGTGCACGCGAGTGACAGAACATTGAACGGCACAGACTCACCACGACTTACTTTAACTTCGAGTCTCTGCGAGCGCCACCAACCCATCGCGATATCCAGATATCCATCGCCCGACCTCAAGACCTCAAGGCCTCATAGGCCTCATAGGCCTCTAGCTGATGGCACGGCACGGCACTGACGCAAGGCCCGCCATCGCCCAGTCCCATCCGCATCATCGTCCCACACTGACGGCCCTATTATCACTGCACCCATCGCCCGCCCGCCATCTGCCATCTGCCATCTGCCATCTGCCATCGCCAGCCATCGCCCCCCATCGCCCCATCGATCGATCATCTGTTCACCCGCATCAACGACCAGGGGAAGTCCTACGTACGCATCAACAGCACACGGACCAAGCAGCAAGCAAGCATCTGAGTAATAGAACGCACCGGGAGGAAGGAAAAAGCCACCCGAGCAGCCTCCGCCGCGTGGCACGATGCCGTGCTCACCGGCGGCGCCGCTGGAGCTCGAGGCGCATCGAATCTCGCGACGCAGCACGTAAAAAGAGGTAAAAAGCGCAAAGCCGATCCCTCCAAACGGGGCATCAGAGTGGCATCAAAGACGCACCACGCCTCCAATTCCAAATTCAGCGCTGCAGCGTCACGCGCTCGTAGGGCGCCTGCAGGCGCCCAACGCTCAACTTTATCCCCGGACGCACCAATTAATGCTGCTTATCCGCATCGCGACGCTCGCGCGTGCCTGGGCGGCCAGCTATGACCGCGGAGACGTCCTGCTTCGTCACTAGGCGTTCCCACGCGTTCGAGACCGGTCATGTCATCGGCCAGCCAGCGCGTACGCGAACAGAGTGTCAGAACCAATGATCTCTATATCGATTATACGCAGGGATGCCTAGCTAAGTACCCAAATGTGGCAAGAGACCGGGGGGTCTCCCTCTGGGAAGAGTAAGACACAGGGGATAAGTAAATAAGTAGTGAGAAAGAAGCAGACGGAACAAGCAAGCAAGGGGGACTCAACGAGCATGGAGAGGGAAAAGGATAGGGAGATGAGAACAGAGAGATATAGGGACCCTCTTGGTCCCGACCGCGACACCCTCCTATGGAGCATCGGGAATTATAAACACAACAGGAGTGGACGAGAACAAATAACAGGTATAGCAGAACAGACAGGTATAGCAACAAGCAACAAGGTATACGTATGAACAGTGCGCGGGGAGGACAGGGAAAGGGGGGACAAGGGAGGGGGGGAGCATGTACGACAGGAGAGCGCATAAGATAACATATGTGCAACAGAACGAGGAGGCGAGTGGGTTGGGGGCATGACGGGAGATATATATGCACAATAAGATACGGGAGAAAGGTTCGGGTGAGACAGACCCTGGGAAGAGCGACAGGAGGGTGTATAGGGTGTCGCAGGTGATAGTGTCGATAGCAGTGCATGCGATAACAGAACAAGTGAATCAGAACGTCGACAGGACATACGGCCCGCCAGGTGAACTAGGCTGGAATTCGCGCGGTGCGCGGTATTGGAAGTCTGAAGAGGGCCAGGGGCCATCAGCGTGTGGTCCAAGCACACGAGCAGAAATGATGAACGCACCTCCGTCCTTGATGACGGGATTGAGGCGTTCCCTTCGGATCTCCTCCTCCTCGCGCTCCATCTCCAGCTCGTACACAGCCTTCCTTCCTGCGACCCGAGCGGCTACGTCAACCGGCAGACGTTTTGGTGTCCAACGTCCACCGCCGTTGCGCTTGCAGACCTCGCTTTTGATGCGGAGGGGGTACGCATCGAGGTCGTTGGTGGGAACAGGGGCCTGGGGAAGGTAGATCTCGGGCTCAGAGGGGGGATTGGGGACAGCGGGGAGAGTCATGTGTCTGCGAGGAGCCGGGCGACGACGAATAGCAGGAGGCAAGGTCTGTCCGTCAGGGGGAGTGAGGAGGACGGAACTGCTACGAGAGGTGGAGCTGTTGCGAGAGCGGACAGGGGAAGTACGAACGGAGATAGGTGCTGGCAGGGCAGGTTTAATTACAGGGGGCGAGCGTGGGGTTGGGCAGGCGTAGATGATGTCGTAGCAGGCGTCGCAGACACGTGAATCGGATACGGGGGACTCTGGGGATGCGTAAGTGAAGATGGAGACGTTTCGTGGAGGATAGAGGAAAGAGAGGGTTGAGGTGTCGAGGAGGGCAGTCGTGCGAGAGGAGCAGTTGTGACAGAAGATGCCACCACATTTGCGACAGTGCTGAAGGGGCGTACGTGAGCGAACACGAAAGGGACGAGGGGGAAGAGGGACTTACGTGTCTACGCTCAAAGACGGAGAACTTCTTGTGGCATAGAAACGTTTCGCAGTATGAAGCCTGGGAGTCGGACTGGGAAAAGATTGTGTCAGGACGAGTTGAAAGACAGTGAAGAAAAGACGCGATCGAACCTTCCAGTGGGTCTTTGGGAGAAAGACGGCGAGATGCTCGTTCGGGCGGATAGGAGTGGCATCGGCTGCCTGGAGGGAAGCAAGGGAGGCGAGGGCAGAGGGCGGGGTAGAAGAGGGGGACGACGATGTGGCAGAAGAGGCGTCGTCGGAGAGGGAGGGGAGGGAGGACGAGGAGGGGGAGGAGCGGGGGACTAGGCGCGAGCCGGTGAGCCACGCGATGGCGGCGGGAAGGGAGGCGGGGGAGGCGGGAGACATACCGGGGGCGGGGTGGAGGGAGTCGAGGGAGCGGATTGCAGCCCTGAGCTGGCCGACGGCGGGAACGATGGGGCGGGAGAGGAGGGGTTCGGGGGAGGCCATGGCTGTGGGAGGAGGAGGAGGAGCGGGTGCTCTGTGCTTTATACCCAACACACCGCCGCCCTCAGATCCTCCCGCAGTTCGGCGCCGTGGCCACAGCAACTGCTCCCGTGCGCCGTCCACCCGGAGCCCCTGGCAGAACCCTTTCGAGCCGTCCAGCCACCCACTCCTCCACTTCCATCCGGATCACTCCAGCCTTCCAAAACAGCCACGGCCCCCCAACCCCTCCTGCCCTCCCTGGCCCTCCTCCCCACTCCAGCCTTCCCTCCTCCCTCCCTCCCTGTCGTCCACCCGATCCGCGCCTACTCGTCCCCCGACACCCCCGCCTCCACCGACGATCGTCCGCCCCCGCCTCCTCCATCCCACATCCTCCAGCCCCTGTCCACCCATCGATCGCGCTCGGCTAAACTCCCCGCCACGTCTTCATCCCACAAGGAATGCACACACAACATACGCGGCAAACATGCCACAACACCCCCCGGCCCGGCCCTCTCCCCTCCCCTATTGGTCTTCGTTGTCTCCCCTACCGATCATTGGCTGTCCGCGTCCGCGCCACGGTCCACTTGCCCCCGGCGAATCCACGGCCGTCCATTGTGCCCCGCGAATTCGAGACGCCCCCAGCCCCAGCCCGCGCCTCGAGCCTCCTCGCACACGACGCCCGCGCGCACGTCCGCGGACTCCCATTCTGGCTAGCGCGCGGCCTCGCCGTCGTCGCCCCAGCCTTCGCCTTCGCGCCCCCCCAACAAAACTGATGCGCCAGCCCAAGCCCGGCGTCCACGTACGTACGCCCCTCGACGCTCTTACGTCCACCCAGGTCTGCCCGCGCGACCACGCGTCCCGTCGCCACGTCGCCACGTCGCCACGCCCCCTCCATCGACCTAGCTAAGGGCCAAACGCTGACGACCCCCCTGGCGCATCGCGCGACGCACGTCGCGCGCGCGTGGGCCTATGAGCATGGGCCAGCGTGCGCTGCGCCATCGGGATCACCGGCCCCGTTCCCGACGATCAGCGACGCAAAATTAAGTGCCCCCCCTTACGCTTGGCCAGACTTCTCAACCTCTCCCCGCGCCCCTGACGATGCGATGCGGACCACACCCACATTAGCCGTCGCCCTACACAAAATGAAAAACGCTTAGAGCCTTTGATAGCCTCTGACCCACCGAATATCATTTGCGCTCCTTGTGGTACGCAGGAAAAACATCAGAGAAAAAAAAATCAAGAGAGCCAGCATGAAACGCAGCGAGCACAGATCTTGACCCCCCCTAGGCGATCGCCAAGTCAAAAATCGTCGCGGTGGCGCGTGCCCGCTTATGTACTCCGCGGTGCCCAATTGGCTGCGCACGCCGCCCGCCGCCGCCACTGCCGCCTGTGCCGCGACGTGCCGCGTGCCGCCTGCGCATTGGCCGTGCGCGTGCACGCGGCGGTGGCCGCGGCGGGACTCTATTATACGATCACCAACCTGCAGCTAGGTGCAGCCTGTGCGCGCGCATGCCGATCGTCGTCGATCGCTGCCTGCGTGCGCCGCTGTCGCTCGCGCCCCTGATCCACTCGCGCTAGCTCGGCGGTCTGGTACGACTCCTGTCTTTTATTTTTCCCTCTCTTCCTTCCTCAGCGTGATCGCTGGTGCACCAAGCTACCAAGCTCCGTGGACGCGACGATGCGCGTTCATTTTCTTCGGTACGGCGCGGCGAACGTCGCACAGCTGTCGCCCACGCCAGCACCACCGCCTCAGCCTCACCCCGCCGCCCGCCCGCAGCCATATAGCATAGTGCAGCATGTACACGTGAGCGACCACATTCCTTTCTCCGCACTCCGTCCGATTCGATTTACGCACGTACATACATACATACATAACCGACTCTGGGGACGAGCGTAATAAATGCGAAGAAGCGTCGCGCGCGCGCGCTTCCTTCTGATTCGCGCGCGTGCGGTCGACGCTTGCCGTCGCTGCAAGTATGTAAAGATGCACCGATGCGATGAGATGCGATATGATATGATGGCCATCGCCAGGGCTGCTTGGATGACATCCTAGAACATCAAGGACGTAGAAGAGGACATGTGCCACACCGGCCCCTATTTGTGAATAATGAGTACAGGGGGCGCCGTCGACGTTGCACTCGTGACACGACGCAGTCGTCGAGAAGAGTCGTCGAACGACGCGCAGCCTGCTACCTGCTGGGGTTCGCAGTTCGCAGACGTACGAGGCCACCGGTGCCGAGTCGATCGACGTCGCCCAGGCGAGGTTCGACCAGCCGCCAGCCGCCAGCCAGCCGAGAACCTGAGATGCCAGACCAGATTCGCTCACAAGCACTTCCCAAGCCCGCATCGATGCGCAGGCACCAAAGAAGGACCGCGCAGACTCACTACCCCGCCCCCACCGCGTGCGCAGCTCACCCTAGTTCGCCCCGGCCTCCTTCTGCAATTATCCTCGGCCCCTTGAACTCCCCTTAATGCTCAGACTTGGAACCTCTCGGAAACCAGGCTGCATGTTCAGCCTCCAATGTACATACCGACGTCGATCGGACGAAAAACCGCCAGCCGCCACAGGAAAACAGAGACGCCGCCGCGGGTGTCGGGCGTGCGGTGCAATGTCGCGGTTGATCAGACCGTGCGGTGTCGTGGAATAACGAGGGTCGGCCGGTGCTGCGCGCGACGATCGAGGGCGCTGTCAGTCGGTCAGCCGAGTGCGAGGCGGTGCGGTGCAGCTGGGGCGGAGCGGAGCTCGACGAGGTAGGATGCGCGTCCAGCCCGAGCGTGGCAGATATTCGATCTTTACCTAGTGGAGCTTCCTGTGCAAAGCGAGCATCGTCGCTCGTACCACCCGGGTGTTGCGTCCATGCAATGACCGTGCCCACTCCATGCCCACGCTTGACGCCACAAAGGGAACGTGATACCACCGAGTGCCGAGCTCGTGTCGATCCCGGAAACACGCCACGAGCAGCCACTCACAAAGGGCCACATTACTTGCCGTACGTCTGTGTTCCATGTCTCCGACCCGTCTCCCTGCCGTAACGATCCTCCAGATCTTTGCCCCGAACGGCCGCGAGCGCACACTGTGGCCATCCTCCCCCGATACGTCAGTCCATCGTGTCATACCGGGCGCCCGAGCTTCGAGAAGTAACAAAGGATGACGCTCGTCGACGCCCATAGACGTCCGCGACGTCGAATCAGAAACTCGCGCGCAGAGGACGGCCGGGCGTGATTGGAATGTGGTCAGGCAGGCGAACTGTCGATTAGTGAGCAGCCGGACGCAGTGCGAGGCGCCCATCTCGCTGGACGGCTGACGTCGCGAGTCTGCGAGGAATAGAAGCAGAAGGCGCGGGCTAACAAAGACGTCCAGCGCGCAGATGCGCGAACTCGAAAGGAGCGAGCCAGGGCGAGCGCGCGTCTTCTCCGGGCGGACCATGGCATTGCAATTGCGAGGCAAATCGCGGTCTCATCGACGCGATCTGGACGCGGCCGGGTTCAGCGATGATGTCGGTGCGCTCGTAGTAAGTGAGCTTGTACAAGCGGGGGCCCGCGGCCGGGGTGGGTCCATGTTAGTGCGCGAAGAGCTGCAGCGCCAGGTCCGAGTTCCGAACACTATGGCCCGCTGGGGAACGCAAGACTCCACCTGCGCACCCACCCTCCCCCTCGCTGGCCTTGCTCCCTTCTGCTTCGCGCGATCTTTCAGGTTTAGAGGTGTCAGACCCAAGCACCGTGGAGTGCGCGGTGCGTCCTAGGACGGGGAGAAATCATAGAGAACGACGCGGTTGGACGACTCCGTATGTACATGCACGCGCTTGGGGTTGGCAGATGGGCGATGAGGCGCATCTACCATGTATAGGCTGTTCGACAGCGGGGGCATCGGGAGGGGGAGGGGGGCGTTGATGGGGCGAGGCGCTCGATGGGAGGGCAAGGTTCGAGGATGTCGCGCGAGGCCGTCGAGACCCTCAACCGAAGCGACGCGGTGCGTGTCTTCTCTTTCTCTCTGCGCTCGTGAGCAGTTGACACTTACCGGCCAGGCCGACGCGCAAGCCGCCAGCGTACGCTGCTTACGGCCCAAAACGGTGCAGGGACGCCCACGAGCGGACACCCGCACACTCAGTTGAGTCAGCCTTCCTTCCTTCCAACGCCCGACTCTCCTTCTCCTTCTCCGCCCGGACGCCCCCCCACGTCGACGCTTACGAATCCGCTCGCGGCAGGGAAGCGCAGGGACCAGTGGGTGCGTGTGCATGCGGACGCGTTGGGTAGCTGCACGCTCACGCCCGACAAGGTTTCGGCATTTCATCGTCGCAAACCGTATCGGCGCCCCGATCGCCCGTCCCTGCGCCCCTTCGCGTCCCTCTGCGCTGAACGCGTCGCACAGTTAGTCGGCGTTGCCCGACAAGCCCCTCCCGTTCGACGATCCGCTGCTGAACACGCTCAGTCTTGGGATTTCTTCGTCCATGTCGCCGATTGGCACTCGCGCCGGCTCACGCCTCGCGAAGTGGTCCGTAATTGGACGCGTCTGTGCTCGATGGGTCTGTTTTTGGCGGCGTCGGCGAGTTAGGTTTCCCCTTTGCGTGCACGCGCACGCACGAGCCTCGGAGAAAGTGTCGGCCACAACGGGGAATGTTGACGGCCCTGCCTCGTCTGACGCACTCTGAGCGTGCGCGGCTGCAGTGCGCACACCGGGAACAAGCAGAATATCACAGGGAGCACTCGCCTGAGATTGGCCCTGTGACCCCCGACGTACGGAGTATTTCCGCACATATACTTTACTCGCAGATTTGCTGATGCGCCTGATGGGACCGCGTATATACGTGTATGCCCTTGAGAGGGCAAAGGGCATCCATGAATTCCGCATGCCCATGCCGGGGAGCGCGGGCGGTGCGGTACCGAGAGCGGTGGGGACGCGAGCCCCGCTGGGGAAAACGCGGGGCTGCCAATGGGCAACTGCGAGCGAATGAGCGTGCGTGCCTGGAACCCACCAGGCAAAGTTCAACAATTCCGAATCGCGGATACGGCACTGCGCGGCACAGGATCGCGCATCCATGTGTTTTCTTCGCGTTCCTACTGGAAGCTACTGGACAGGCTTTTTTTTTTCTCTTTTTTTTGGGGGCAGTCGTGACCGTCTTTGGCTGCCTGCAGGTCCCGCATGAATGTCTTCTAGTTTTCTCTTGGTCCTGGTGATTCGTCGCTTGTCGGTACCGGATCACCTGAGTACCATTCGATATTCGTGCATCCGGTGCTCGCAGCAGGCTCCAATAGCAGTGCACGTTGAGACCAGGATGGGGACGATCGTGTTCTTCTTCTTCTCTTTCTCTAAAGCAAATCCCTGTTGGTTTGTTCTGTGCAATATGTTGCTGGGGAGACTCCGACTCGCTGCCCGCGGATCAAAGATCAAGATACAGTACAGCACTTTGTGCAACCTCATGCATGGTCCTGCCAGCGAGAGCCCTGATCCTCCCTTCTGACCTGTCTGTGTTGTGATGCGCGCACGGCCCCGCAGACGTCTGCGTGCCCAATCCGACCGATTGAACTCAACGCCCGCCTGCTGTTGTCGCTTCGCTGTCAACTGCTCTCGAGCTCATTCGATTCGGGGCGCGACGTTGGCGCGTGATTTCGCACCGCACCGACGCAGACCGACGCCTTTTGATCGCCGGTGGTCCAATTGGGCGAAGCGTGTGTAGCTTGTTTCGCTGCCGCTCCGTTCTTGCCGTGCCGATAGATCCAGAGCGGGCCCAAGACCGCGTCGAGCCAGCAACGCAGAAGAACGCAGTCGTTCTTGTGCACGTCGCCACGACCATCGTGCGACCCTGCGAAGTCCAGGTCGAGCTGGTCTCTATTTCGAGGCCAATCACCGTGATGATTAGCGTCCACGGCGCATCGAACTTTGTTCGACGCCACTGGCGCAGCGCTGCCCAATGTCCTCGGCGCGCCCATACTTGTGCGCAGGAGTCCATCCGGATCACGCGCATGTGCGGCCCTGCTCTCCCACGCCGGGCCTTGTCGTCTGCACTTAGAGTTTGATTCACCGGCGAGCGTAGGGGCCTCCCCGCATTGGCTGTGGCCACGTGTGGACGGCCGGCAGCGCTTCTTGTCTGCACGGCTGCTGTCTCTGCACTATCCAACAGATGCCGCTCCACTGCGAACGACGCCCCTAGAGCGGTCGTGCGCGCCGCGCGCCATCCCAATCCTGGTCGAGGGGGAAACCTAAACGCGTGCGCATCTGCGTCCTCTCTCCCGTCTCTGTCCGCGGCGTCCTCGAAACACACGCCCGTCGCTGGCAGCTGTGCAACTTCGACGATGCGATCGTCGTCCTCGCCACGACTCTCGAAGACACTGACACCCTGCGCACGAGCAGCGGCCGCGCGCGTTCTCGTAACCGCCCTGCTCGACCCACAGGCCGCATCCGACTTGCCATTTCCGCACACGCTAGCGCGTTGCGGGCAGTCGCATTTGGGCGCGCCCCTGGTTAGAGTTCGCCTCTCACGGGAACCGTCGACGCTGCTTCGCCCGCTTGTCAGACCCACATGCTGCCGTCGTCGCGTCCTATGCGCCACCCACCGACGCGTCCATTGACTCACGGCCGACATCCGCGGAACACGCATATCCGCCCACTGCACGCAGACGCGGAGGCGCTGATGCCGCGAACCTGCTAGGGCCACCTCCATCCTACTTCCCCGTACCTGTCCATCCCAGGCGGATCTCGCACGCAACGCGGCCCTGCGCGTGGTTCAAGTCGGTTGGTCGGGCGCTTCGCGGCACATTCCGCCTCCCATCTACACGGGCGGCTCGCAGCACATTCCCCCAAGGCCCCCCTTCCGCTGTAGCAACATCGTTGATCTGGGTGCCTCGGCACGCCCAAACGTGAGCTGGCGACCGAGGGTTGCTCGACGACTCCTCGCGCGAAGATCGCATTGCGCACATGGGCCTGCAACGTGGGGTTACCTCTTTGGGCGTCCTCCCACGGCACGCTGTACACGGCGCGTCTAGGCAGGCTTCGCGAATCGCCTCTGGGCGTCGAGTGTCCTTGCAGTATCTGCGAATGGGCAGCGATGTGGGCTAGCGTAAGTATATGTGCTGGGCGCGTGCTGTACGTACTGGGTAAACTCTCATGCCCTGTTCGATATAAAATAGCCATCTGCTGACTGGTGTGCTCGCTTCAAGGAGCTACAGATGTGGTGGCGCACAAGTGTGGTCGGTGATCTCGCCATACTTGCTCTTGCACAGGGTCGAAGGCCAGAGTATCATCTCGTACTTCAGACGGTATTGGCCACCACAATCGGGTGCTGGACCTGTACAGCTTTCAGGGCGCAACTGCACGCACGATTGCCACGCCCTTCCGAATTCGTCATCCCAGTGATCCCACATCGTGATCCTGGTCCTCTCCGGATTCTCAAGACGAAATTCAAGCGCTTCTTCGCCCGCTGACGACGACACGTTGCGGCCGCTCGAGGGCTGAGCTCGACGCGTCGGGCCCATCTCCAGATCTCTGCCGGTCGTGTGCTATGTTGCGGCGCACACAGCCGTCCGACGGTGCAGCGCAAAGCGGTGGGATACATGCGCTGTTGCACGGCGTGCGGCCTCGGATCTTTGTCCATGCCCGCTCCGGCGCGTCCAAGCCCGTGGAGTTGGGGCTCGTCTATGCGGGGCTGGGCGACTCTGCTCCGCGCTGTTTGTAGGAGCCGTCTCGCACGCTTGCATCGCGCTCTGTGAATATGGCCAAATGGATCCTGGGCCGCAGACGTTGATGATCGCGAGCGCGTCGCGCATCTCTGTGGGTGAGGATCCGTTCATCTGCGCGCGCGCGCGGAGCTGACAAGCAAGAGGACAGATTTGCGTCGAGGCCGCGCGCTGGTTCCGATCAATAATGCGCCTGTGCGCTCCAGTGGGCTCACTGGCTCCGTTTCCTCAGCTTATCAGACGCACACGGATCACGGATCAGGTCTATCCCCAGACGGATCTCCATCAGCCACATCCACATCTCTCCGACGCCCACCCCATCCGCCAGCACATTGCATCAAACGATCAAAAAGCATGCATCAGACCACAAGCAGTGAGTGGCTCCCATCTCCGAGGCACCCACCCGCTCGCTCTCCGGTGGCGCACTCGGTGGCGTGGCATTTCCCGATCCGAGCTTCGCTCCCGCCGAAAAGCTTAAAAGAAAAGCGCGAGATCGCAGATGCCCGCACTGGGCACCGTTGCCCCATGGGGCGCGCGCGGCTCCGTAAAGCACATCGGAGCAGGCGCATCTGATGCCAGCAGACGCCAGACGGCGGCTATCATGCTGCTGATTCGCGTCCCGCTGGCGGCCTCTGCGAGCGACCGACGCGTGGGTGTTGCGCAGTGCGTTTCGATGATTGAGTTTCTTCGGGGCCGGTCGTCGGGCTCTGGGCAGGGTGTGTTTGTATTGTGGACAGGTAATTTACTGATCAGCACCGATGTGGGTATAGGCAGGGGGTTGTCAGATGCTGATTCTTGCGTACCGGGGGCATAAGCGCGTGTGTATGTGTGGACACGCGGCCCATTTTTGCTCTGTCCTTTCTGTTCTGTCTCGCGCCATGGTTTCTGTCTGAGGCCGGTCGGAGCAGAGAAACTGCCTCAGCGCTTCCGCGTCTCGGGAAGAACTCGATGTGGGAATGGACAGGGACCGTCCACGGGACCGCCAGGGTGTGTTGCGAGGGTCGCGTCGCCGTGGCATCTTTTCGAGATGCCCTTCGTGCGATGAATGAGCGAAGGGGTGTGTGGAGAGGTAAGGTTTCGAACGACGCGCGCTGAGGAGCGCATCGGGCGGCGGGTGCCTGCGCAGTGTTCTTGGCTTCTGACTGTGTCCGGCTTCTGTTCCTCCAACCAGCATGGGAGAGGTCGTGGGACCGACGCCGATGGTCGCGTGTCGAACGTGTACGTTCGCTAGCCAGTAAGCACGCTCTCTTTTCGGGGCGCGTGCGGGCCCGGTTTCTGCTGTGTATCTGACAGACTGCTTGTGAGAAGAGTCCTTTGGTTCGGCGCTCGGCCTCGTCGCAGGGTTCATGCGACAATCTACAGAGACGTACGTTCCTCGGTGTAATGCTAGCTAACAGTTCACTAGTGCAAATGCCGTATAGGGCTGCGGTCATTCCACCGGAGCCGCAGCCTCGAGAGGCTAACTGGCTGTTGGGCCGTGTTGGCCTGTCGAACCTGGATCATGTAGGGAATGACTTTGGCCTCGATCAGGCTTGTTTTGGTCCATCCACTACTGCTATTCCCACTTGGCATATGCGACGTCGGAGCGTCTTGGCAGATCGAGCAGTATTGGAGAGCGCTTGGAACGGTGGCTCGATGACCAGATATATGAACCAATACAGCCTTTTAATACCTGAGATCACTCTTGGATGAAGGTTCGAAGAAAGCATCCTTGATGTGATCTCTGGGCCGGTGGCTTTTTCGTTGCACTGACCTCTTGGTTTTGTGAGCTGCGAGTGTACGGACCGAGCCGATCGAGGGTATTCCAGGCCTACAGCAGAACCTGGTAGCACAAGGAACTTTCCGTCGTCGACCATAATGATTGGGATCTCGGGAAGTGATCACGGGCAATTTCCTCATATTGTTGTGTCCCATACTTACAGTGCATCTGCGGGTTATCTTTCTAACAACTACCATTCGGTGGTATTTTAAAATAGCAAGTGTATTGTGCATGGCCCGATGCATCGTTGATTACGGTGCGAACTGGTGCACGATGTGGGAGCAGGTAGAGCATGCGCGCAGATGACAAGATGGCTGTCATACCAATGTTGGCAACCTGTATGTGTGTACGTGGCCCCTCTTCCATTGACCTCACCAGAGTGTGTTGAATCCGTCTCTTGCTCCAAGCCCATGCCGTCTACTCTAGATCCTCGTCCATCGTGCCCACTACCATGCCCCTTTTTGTGGTCCCAGTATCCTCTTCCGCAAATCTATATGCCTTCGTCAATGTATATGCTTGTAGTGTTCACCGAAGACCCGTGTTATCCCACCTGATCGTTCAAGGCTGAGTGCGGCACCATCAGAACAAGGAAGCAAGTTCACTATTCCTTCAGAATTTTTCAGAGCAGTTTATATCCCATTGGCGATCCCCACAAGACAGGCAGCTTTACCGTCGTCTACACACACGATAGTATGAACACGGCGTGACTTTCTCAACATTCAGAAAACGTGAAGCGGAAGGGATTGAGGAAATCCAGAAGGACATAAAAAGGGATCCCACCCATACGCTCACCTCCTTATGCAGATTTGGTTTGCAAACACTAATCATCGCAAATCTTCTTGTGAGCCTTTTGTCTTAGGTGGTCGATATTCATGTCCTACGACCCATTGCACTGTGTTCTCATTGTTCTTTCACTTGCAAGCGGCCTCACACACTCTTCTTTACATGTTACCTGTCTTTGTTAGCACGATATTTGGAGTCAAGTTCGATGCGAGGCAATATCATGATTCGAGGAATTCAGTCAACCGTAATTTGTATGGTATCAGAGAGCGATGGTGATCAGTAAATGGTTTGGTATTGGGCTTCGAAAAACAAAATAGGCAGAGCATTTCAATCCTCCCAAGTGTACAGTAATATCATGGATGTTGCAACAAATGGGGGTATAGAAATCAACCCTGATGTATATGCATCAAGTGGAAAAGTGTGGGTTGGGATGTATATGCAGCACGGACAATGCGATTGGAGTCGAGACGAGAAGGGTAAGCAAAAAGAAAGGTGGAAGAGCAGCGAGCCTTGATATAGACAAAAATAAGAGGATGGAAGATTACGTAGCATAAGTCGAGAGCATCCAGGGAGATCCGTTCAAATACCTGGTCAGAGATGGGAGGAAAAAATTAACGAGTCGAATAGTCAGTACTTCAATTTCTATGACCACCAGCCGTCTTCACGTTGTGTGGGCGTCACTGATACGACGCTGGGTGTCGGCGAACCCATCTGTGGGCGATAATACGACTGCCCTGTATGCATCGGGCGAGCCTTTGGCGTTCCGGGACCGAGATTCGGGTACCGCCGCGCCGACGGTGCATGCATGGAATCCCACACCGATGTTTGTGGCGGAGTGTTTGTGCGCTTGCTCATACTACTGAGAGCGCGTGAGACGGGGCGACCGTTCGCCGTCGGTGTCGGTGCACGACTAGGGTACACGGTGCTTGCTCGCGAGTCCGGGCGTGGAGGTGAGTGTGCGGCGACGGCTTTCTTGGCTTTGTCTACCTCAGCCTGGAGACGAGCCATCTTCGATTCGAGCATCGCTACTTGATCACGAAGCTTGTGCTCGCGGTCCTATGAAGGACATGAGCACCGTGCGAAATTCAGATGTCGATAAAAACTGACCTGAGCCAGCCGCTCGTCGGCCTCCTTTTCTTCAAGCTGCAGCTTCACCAAAGAGTGTTCCGCATCCAGCTGCATATGCTTGTCCTCGACTTGATCGAACATAGAGCGCGTCTCTGCCAGCTCAGATTCGTATTCCTTGGCGCGCTTCTCCCACTCGGCCGAGCGCTGCTGTGCCTGAGTGAGGCTGTGGCGTGCAGCAGAGGCGGCGCGGTCACTGCTGGTAGCCTTATTTTCCTGGTCCTTGAAACGCCTCTGCAGCGCAGCGTACTCGCCCTCCAATACTTTGCTGCGATCGCGGATGCGCCGGAGGTCCTTGAGTTCTGGCTCGTTGTTGTGGCTGACGAGATGCGAGAGCGTCTCAACTTGCTCAGCCATACGACGAAGATCGTCCCAGTGAACTTCCTGCGAGAGCACGATGTCGTGTTCTCTCTGAAGGGACTCCAAAGCGTGCACAGCAGCTTCCTTCTCATGTTCAGCGAAGCCTGCCCGCATCTCCAGTGTTTGGAGCTGTGAGGAAACATGAGTGAGTGAGAAAGAGATGAGCATATAGAGCATACACGAACCTGGTTTCTGAATCCCAGTGCCTCCGCAGCAGCATCGCGGTTCGCCCTTTCCAGCTCGAGGATCCGCTCGTGTTGCGTCTGCGTCGCAACGTCAGCCGTCTTCAGCCGCCCCAAGGCCTGCGAGAGCGCCTCCTCCAGCTCGGCGTTCTTCACCTCCGCGGCTGTCGCCTCCGTGGCACGCGTGATGATGCTCGCCTGGAGTTCGTCCACCTGCACCCGCAGTCGATCGCGCTCTGCCTCAGATGCCACCACACGTTCCGCGAGCACGTCCTTTTCTGCCCGTATCGAACCGTGCGCGGCGCGCGCCTTTGCGAGCTGCACCTGCGAATCCGAATTTGATGACATCAACCTGCGTACCTCCTCGAAGTCTTGCTTCAAGGCCACGCGCGTAAGGAGCTCTGCGCGCGTGTCGTACACCGCCTTCGTGGTGGCAGCCAAAGTCTCTGGCAATGCCTTCAACTGAGCGAGCATGTCCTTGTTGAGTGCCAGCAATTCTTGATTCTTGTCCTCGAGTGTCTGTTGGCTGCTGGCAAGTGTGCTGACCGTAGATTCAATTTGGGAGATGTTGAGGTAGGCAGCAGGATTTTGCACCGAAGCGGGGACACTCGAGCGCATTTCAGCTTGTGCCACACCCAACGCATCCGTCGCGGCGCTCAAACGGGCTGGTAAGTCAGAAAGTAGGCCGAGCACGTCATGGTGTATAGACGACAAGTCACGTGTCTGCGACGCGAGGCCCTGCGACAACGCACCCATCTGCGCCGCCACATCCCGCACAGGCTCCAGCAGCTGCCCCACGTTATCTGCGACCTTGCCTGGAAGACTGTCCAGTACCCGGTCACGCACGGCGAGGCGCGAATCGAGCCGCTCGACGACGAGATCCGACACCTGCTCCTTGATCTCGTGCGCGTCGACAGGCGCAACAATCTTGCGCACCTCATTCGTGATCTGCGAAATTATAGCATTGGTATCCGGGATATTCGTCGGTGGGTATATCGTCGGCAAGATGGGAATGAGCCTGTCAACTATGAGGCCCGCCGTTTCCCGCTTGTCCGATGCAAGGTCGATGAGCTGCGAAATGTGCGGCTTGACGGCCTGCGTGAGCTGATTCGTGAGCGTTTCATAATCAATCGGCTCGGCGCGCAGAACGGAAATGTGCGGCAAGAGCGCCGAGAGCAGCTCGCGGACCAGACCCTCGCGATCGAACGCAGGAACACCGTGCGGCGTCCGCGCGCGCTCCATGCTTTCCAGGCGCGCAGCCAGCTGCGAGATGCTGTTAATGACGGTCTTGACGGTCCTGTTGTGGAACTCCTCGATGGCGCCCTGAACGTTGAACGACGTCGATGCCTGACTCTCGCGGGTCTGCGAGTCGAACCGACGCATGATCTCCGACAAGTCCTGGTGCATCATCGTGCGCGCATCCGCGTGGCCCTGTTCGACAATGTCCTTCACAAGCTGGAAGTCGAGCTCTCCCCGCGCATCCATCTGACTGTCGTCCAACCCCCTTGCGGCCGACTCCTGCAATTGTGCCCGGAAGAGCGACACCACCTCGTTGATCATCGCCTCCGTCGACGGGTTCAACGTCCCGTCCGATGTCAAGCGCTGCTCCTGCATCTCCAATCGTATGCTCTCAATCTTCTCGTCCAATAGCGCCTCCAGCCTGTCTTCGAACTGCTGCATCTCCAACCGTCGCGAGATGCTCACCGCAGGCAGCGAGTCGCCAGAGATCGACGAGCTGCTGCGGAGTTGCGGCAACGACGACCGCCGGCGTGGCTTCAGCGGGGGCACGAATACGTCCTTGCGCTGGTGCGGCGTGTCCCACCGCCCGGGATCGGTGACGAGCCGCGTCCCGGACGCCTTGCGCGATATCGCGGGCATGTTGAGGTCGTCGAGCGACGGCCGCGACACGTGCTCGAATATCTCGCGCGAGCTGAGCCGCGAGCGTACCGAGCGGCGCGTGCGCTCATCGTCCGCGTTCGCGAGCGCCTTGAATAATCCCGCAGGCACCGTGTTCGTCGACACGGGGTGCTTGAAGTCCAGAGGGATGGGCGCGCGCCGTGCTTTCATTGAAGGTGGAATTGGGAGCTCCTTCTCGCGCACCATGCCGTTGTTCGCGTAGTCCTGATCGCCAATAGCACTCTGACCGTCGTCGCCTTCCGGGCTCTCTACGAATTCGTCGGGGCTCTGGTTATGACTCATCGGCGGGTGCACATTCTGCGGCGCGGTCTCGTGCGCGGCACGAGCAGGCAGCCCATACGGCCGCGCGAATGCGTCTATCGCGACGTGCCTCTGTACAGGCGACGCCGGCACCGACCGTCGCGTGCTCTGGGGCGAATCTGCGGGGAACTTGAAGGAGGTCATGTTGTCGATGTCTCTGCTATTCTCTTCCTCGTCCTCTTCCTCGTCATCTGAGCGCTCCATCGACGTGTCGGACGCACGGCGCTGCCGCTTCTCCCGCCCTTGTGTCGCCCGGACAGAAGTAACTATTACAGGCGGTGACGGCAGCGGGCGCGACCCTGGGACCGTGTGCATAGCAGGCGACAACGATGGTTGCAAGAGCGCCGGCTGAGACAGGATCGGCGGAATATTCGTCGGCACCCGGAACGTGAATTGACCTGGCTTGAACTCAGCTGCCGTGGCGTTGAGCGGCTTCCCGAGCGACGGCGCACGCTCGTGGCCGGGCGTGCTCCCGTTGGACATTGACAGCTGGTGCGCAGGTGAGGCTGACGCCGACGCCGACGCCGGGCCAAAGGTGCCAACAGACCAAGATCCAGAGCTGCCACGCGCAGAGCCAAACACGAATGGCTTCGCGAGAGGGTTGAGAGCCTCACGCTTCGGGATTGGCGCCTGGATGGGAATGGGTGGGACAGGTGGCGCGGATTGCTGCTGCTGTTGAGCATGCAAGGCAAGGTACGCGAACTGCTCAGACGTGCGGCGGGAATGCGCGAGCGCGGGGTCATGGAGCGAGAACTGAGCTGAGATGGGCCGTGAGGGAGGCACAGCTGGAAGAGGTCGAGAAGCATTACCACTGGAGCCTGTCAATGGTCTGGCGTAGGCGATGTCCTCGTCCAGATTCCCCTGCCCATGTACACCCGCACGCGGTGCGCGATGGTGACCTTCTTCTTCACTCGGATTGGAAAGCATGTCGTCTTCACGGATTGTGTTGCTGTTGCTGTTGTTAAGTAGGTCGTATGGAGTGGTGTGCGGGGGATGAGGGAAATTGGGCAAGCGGCGTGGCGTCTGTATCTCGTGCTGAGATTTGCGCAAGACCCGCCTCTGAACACGCGCCTGCCGCGCGCGCTCTTCATCAGATGGATTGGACCACTCCCCGATGCTCTCCTGCAGAACAAAGGCCGCTCGAACACATGTTTGTCGCGTGAAGGGCTATTACGTACCTCGTCCTCGGTCGTCTCTGCGCCGGTGCGTAGGTCCTCAGAGCCTGTCCATTCGCCCACTGCTTCCCTATCAAGATCATCAACGTCCGGCCCTAAGTTGCGATCATCCGTGTGCCCTCCATTTAGAGGTGCATCGGCCAGACCGCCCACAGATAAAAGCGATAGGGCAGCCGACAGACGCGACACATGCCGCGAGTGCAGGCGGCTGAGCGGGGCAGTGGTGACACTTCCCTGATCCTCTCCATCCTCGTCCACGTGTTCCACCTCCACACGTCCCTCGTCCAAGCTCATGTCTAGCGTTTCGTCCGCAGCACGAGAAATATCTGCCGCACCTTCGTCCTCCAGCGGCTCTTCTTCTTCCGGAATGTCGATTCCAAATCCGCGCACAAAATCAGGGCGGCTGTCCGCGCGCAAGGGGAGTACCGGGGGCGCAAGCGACTGCTCGGTCGGCGCGCCAGGATCAGACTTGGCAGAGCTATCCATATTCGCCGTGGGTGGAAAGATGGCATCAGAGCCGAGGATGGCATTCGGGCCGAACGGATTGAACGACGCGACTGCACTGTACGGCGCCGACTGGAACGAGGGAGGCTGCGCGAGCGAGAGACTCTGCCCGTGTCTGCCTTGGAAGCGAGGCGGTAACTGTGAGTTCGGTGAGGTACTGAAGGGCGGCTGGGGTGACGTCGAGGCGGATTGTGTCGCAGATGCGCTCTGCGCCGCCTGGAGCTTATTCAGTTTGAACAATAGCAATGCGGGGTCGGCAGGCGAAGAGATCTGACAAAAGCAATAGCACATTAGCCTGTGAATGACACGTGCAGAGCATGCACTGTACACACCGAGGCAGCACGGGCGTGGGGAGCGTGTATGTTAGGTATGCTGCTGAAGTTGCCAGCTCCCTTTTCCACACCCAACTTCTCCAACTTCTCTTCAATGACACGCTGCTTCAGATCATCCCAAGCGGCCTGTAGAACGCATTTGACGTTAAGGAATTAAGATGTGAGTGAAGCACGTCATATGAGATTGACCGAAGCGGCTGCACCTTTCCAGGGAGAAATACATCGACGGTAGCAGGTATTTCGTATCTCCAATAATCGGGAGGGTACACCTCGGCGGTTGTGAGCTCGACCATTTCCACTTCAGGATGCACAGGGATGAGATGGGTGGGAATCGGTGTACGCGCCCACGGCGCGCGAGTCGCAGGCTCGCCGTCCTTCCCCGATATCGTCTCTTTCGGAAACGACACCGTGCCCTTCTTCTTTTGGGGCGCAGCTGCAGGAGCCGCTGCCGCTGCGGGGGCAGAGGCGGCGGTAGGGGATACAGGGCGATGATTTTTGCCCGGACCGCCAAGCTGCGCCTTTGGGGGCCCACCGATACTCACGCTCGGTTGGCGTCGCCTGGGTACGAATGGCTGGCCGTAGGGCTGGCCCGCCCCCAGCATGATGCCAGGCGGGAACTGGCCCTGACCGAGGGGGGTCATGGGAATACCCGGAGGGGGGTGAACACCCATGGCCGCAAGCGCCAGACTCGGGTGCTGTCTGTGCGTCGGGCGACCGGGGGCACCGGGGGGCGCCTGGAAGAACGCGGCCTGCATGGGGGTCTGGAGGGCAGACTGTGGGTTGAATACGGGCGGGTGAAAGCTGTGCTGTATCGCGGTGGGGAGTCCCGGAGAGTAGACGGGCTGCATGGGCTGCTGGGAGTGGAAGGAGGGGCCAGGTATCTGCAGCCGGGAGAGCTGGTGTCGGTGCTGGGTAGTCATTGCGTGTGGTATGAGAGCAGCAAAGCTCAATTAGTATCTGAAAATGCCGAGGGCGAGCAGGCGAAGAGAAAGATCAGAGAAAAGCAGGGTATGCCAGCGGTAGTCAAGAGCAATCCGTGGAGCAGGGCTTGTGAAAGAGATGACGAGAGGTGCGAGAGGACGTGGAGCAGCGGCAGCAACAGTGTAAGCCGTATTGCACTGACCACGTCGGGGACAGCGAGGAGAAGGAGGGAGGAAGAGATGGGCGCAGGCTGAGCGGGTCAAGAGCGTCTGCGATCCAAACTTTGGCTAGCGTCCTCGCCACGTGGCCCCTCCCTTGGTGGCTGCCCAGTGCCCGCCCTTTCATCCGTCCTACATCTCTTTTGTGACCGCAACAATTATCTACGGCCGCTCCTGCGGCGACTCCTCCAATAATCATATGGAGTCCTCCGTAAGAAACGAGACGAAACCCGTCCTACGTCCTCACATGCCTCTCAAACCCCCCTCATCAAGGATGCCTTCCGCTCTGGCTGTGATTTGCATGCCATGATCCGAGACATGATGTCTGCTAATACGGGGGCCGAGACAGTCATGCATCTGCCCCCCTCGGTGATAACGTACGAATACTGCTCCTGGAGAAAGTCGCATCGCACTCGACGCGTCCCTCGTCGATCGTATTCTAGTCGGCACCTGTCGGCAGAGTGGTTCGCCCGCACGTGATCGTGTCATTGGCTCACGTGTACAACGCGTGCGATTCATCTTACTTCCCCGGCGAGACCTATTGGGGGCGCTGTTCAACGTTCATCAGCGCTCAGCTGTGTTACTTTCGTAGGTATACTGTGGACGACCATCGAACGCTGCGCTTTGGACCATTCACCAGAATGACGAATACGGAAAATATTTGATTGGGGGCCCAAGCACTTCGGATCCCCCCCGATGCTGTACGTGCTGCGATGCCAGTAAATGTACCATGTACCGTAGGTTACTTAAACGATAAGTGACTATGAAAGCAATGACTGATAGAGTAACAAAGCGAGACAGCGAGACAGCAAGATAGCGCGATAAAGAAGATGGGGGAAAATGAGAAACACGAGGGCCAGAGGAAACGACCGGGAGAGAGAAAGTAACCAATACAGCGGGTGAACAACGTCACCCTAATATCAAGAGAACAACCCAACCCATCCCGCGTGGTATGCGAGATATGCCTGGTGATGAGCTACGGAAACAGCTATGTGAGAGTGAGAGAGATGGAATAAATGAAACACAAAAAATGAAAAAAATAAAATAAGACAAACAGTCGAGTACGCACACTCACTCGCCCACCTATCAAAACTCGTCCTCACCTGCGATCCCACGTCTATCGCACCTGCAACTCCAACGCGATCCGCTTCTTCATGTTCTCAAGCCGTGTCACGGTCTCCCCCCGCCGATACGGCATCACCATCAACCCCTCCCGCTCCGCCCTCCTATGCTTGCGATGCGGCGGTCTATCCAACCCCTCAATCGCATTGAGCGCGCTCTCCAATTGTTCGCGCGCGCTCTCCGCCTTCCGCGCCGCCATCATCGCCGCCCGCCTCTCTGCGCGCGCCTTCCGTCTCGCCTCCTTCTCCTCCCTTTCCGCGCGTGCCTCTTCCATCGCCTTTCTCCTCTGCTCTTTGCTGACGCGCAGGATCACCGGCTTGCGGTCGCCCTCATCCTCCGAGTCCGTGCGGTCCGACCCGGCGTCGGGCGGCGACACCATCCTGCATTCACCCTTCCACTTGCGCGTGGAAGTCCACGCCACCGCTCCCGGCTCCTCATCTTCACTCTCTCCATCCTGCTCCACGGGGATCAGGCTCATGTGGCCCAGTTGCGTCGCGGCCCACGCCACAGACCTCCCCCCGGGCACCACGATCGTGGGCACTCTCTCGCGCGCAGCCGCGGGTGGCGTCTGCAGATCGCTGGATATGGAGGAAGCTGGCGAGGGTGTGTGAAGGGAGGAGGTAGGACGGCTGTATGTGTAGGTGGGGGAGGGGGTAGCCGGAGTGCTGGGGCGCGCCCAGGCGTCCTTGGTGCGCCGGGCTGGGCGGGGGGTGGGGTGGGATGGGGTGGGTGGCGAGCTCGGGCGAGGGCGGGGGTGCGCGTGTGCCCCGCGCTGCTTCGCGATTTTGAGCCGCATCGCGTCCTGGGCCTTGGTACGCGCGACGTCGCGCCGCTTCGTTTTTGGGGTGCAGGTGGCGTCGGAATCCGCGTCCGAGACGCGCATGCCACGAAAGGCAGGGATGAGGACGTGCACCACGCGCGTGTCCTCTGGTTCGCGTGTGACATCGTGGGGTGGCGGCGACGGCGCGCGCGGCGGGAGCGCCTCCAAGGCGTTCTCGAATTGAGGTTGGCGGTACTCGTATCCGTACTCGCGATCCTCGTCCTCGTCGACCAGGACACCGTATGCGGGTGGCGGGCTTCGTGTGTCAGCGAAGGAGGTGGCATGCCACATAACCGCGTCCTGTTCAATAGCAATGCGTTGAGACGCATATGCCCATGACGAGGTGTCTTCGCCATAGTATACGTCCATAGGGTCGTCTGACCACTGATGCCACACATTGCAGTTAAGCCACATGTTAGGCAACATAAATGGAGCACGGTCAGGCATACCTGCGACGCGTAATTTGAGGTCGCTTCATATCCGGAATAGTATAAAGTTGTCATCGTTCCAAGTGACTTGTTTACTTAGAGCTGGGGGGTAAGTGTGTGGTGATGGTCAGCAGGAAGAATACGGGTCCACGCACGGCTCCGAATTTATAGTGGCGGCGAGTGCGCGGAGGCAGCCTTTCCACGTGACGGCGACGCCTTGCCGGGGGGCACAACGCGTTCGGGGGGCGATACAGGGTTAAGGGGAGCATCTAGCTCTTGGACACGGCGGAGAAGAGCCGAGCTGCCATGGATCGCTGTCAGAAGCGGGGGAGATGTGATTTTATCGAGAGGGGGGCTGCGCACGCTCGCGCAAGTGACATCAAAAAAGGCAACTGAGAACAAGGGCGCCGAGCGTCAGCAGCCAGGTAGGGGTGTAGCGGATAACAGGTAAATTCACGAAAGATGACATGTGCCCATAGCTACTACAACAAGGACACCGACATGATACGGTTACCGCACGGTCGGATCATGTTTCTGTTGGAAAGATCAGGTCAGTCGTCAACAAGATAGACACATATTTATGAATGAGATGGAGACAAAAAGGAGACAAATACAGCCGATGGCAAACAATGATTCGAGGTCCCAGTTGAATCGGACGCAATCCCGGTGAATTCCGGTAATTCAGTGCGCTCAGCTGAGGTACGCCGCCTCTGATCTAGATCTCGCCGTGAGTAATTCGACCACATGTCGAGCAAATGGATGGAGACGGCTGGACGGAACCTGTCGAATGCGGACGAAACATGGCGTGGAAGCTTTGAGGTCCCACTTTTAAGTCGCCAAAGCGTCCCATCTCGCGTAGCGATAATCAGTCCTGACGCCTTCTCGGACGCGTGTCCTGATCGTGCTGTAAGAAGCGTGCCATCCACATTTCGATCATGCGAAACCAATCGATCATCTTCCAATCTTACACATATTGATGACATTCGGTAGCCGATCATACACTTGGAAGGTCCAAAACCGATCCTACATCTCAGTGCTTACAGCTTTGCGAACTGCAACACTTGCTCCGAGGTGCTCTTCGCCTTCGCCTTGTCAAAATCGCTCCGCGTGATAGGCTTGCAAACATGTGCGTGATTGTAGCCCAACCTATCATAACACAGCCCCCCGTCAGCACAAAGTTTAGATCGCCAGAAGAAACGGCGCCCCAGCGCGCGCAGGTGACGTAGAGGTACGCACCGATCCCTACCGTCCTTCCCTCCCTCCTTATAGAATTCTGGTCGGCGGAGAAGGCTGACGACCACAGCCCCGCCGAGGCCAACGTTGTGCACCAACCCATACTTCCCGCGCTTATCTGGGATATCGAACAGCCCCGGAGCCTGCATCGGGCCTGCCCCTGCGCGCATACCAGCAACGTCAGAGGATTAATATAAAGATCCAGGTGTGGACACTTACAGTTACGCAGCTGCACTGCAGGGGAAGGTCAGTCACTCGAACGTCGGTGGTCAAGAAAAGCGTGCTCACTCGCGATATAGAAATGCATTCCGACGCCGGTCGCGCCCAGAGGATGGCCCTTCGCTTCGAGCCCGCCGCTGGGATTGACAACGTACTTGCCGCCATACTGCCGCTCGAGTGAGCCCAGCCAAATCGCTTCATGATACAATTCACAACTCACGGTGTTATCAGCGCGTTCAACAAACTTGTACGCGTCCTCGAGCGAGCACAGGCCAAGCGCAGGGTACGTGATGAGCTGCGCACTCCCCGTAAGTTCCCCACCCAACAAAGGCAGAGCACCCAATCCAGAAACGCACCTCGTTCGCAGCAAAGCAATCGTGCAACTCGACGACACCGACCAGATCCCGGCCCTCGCCCTCCCCAAACCCAGCCTGCTTGAACACCGCATCCGCACACCGCTTCGACATACCGTACCCGACGACGTCCATCGCGCTCTTCCCGTCGAACGCGTCCGGGCCGTCCGTCGTCAGCGCCTGGGCGACGATCTCGATCGCCTGGTTCTCGAGCCCGTGCTCATGCACGAAGTCCTCCGAGGCGACGATGCAGCACGCCGCGCCGTCCTGTCCAGCTCCGCAGTGAGCATCGTGACAACGACCAAAATATTGTATCCCGGATAGACCTACCGATGTCGGGCTACACATATACTTCGTCAACTGGTTCGTGATCTTCTGCGCATTGAGTACTTGCTCCTCCGACCACCCGTCGCGAAATTGGGAGTACGGATTGTTCACGGAATGCTTATGATTCTTCGACGCTGCGCGCCGCCCACGACTCGATCAGCGCCCTCCCCATCATCACTCCAGAGCCCTCCCACTCACCAATCTTCGCCAGATGCGTGATATCGCCCCCATACAGCTCAAAATACTCCTGCGCCCCGTTCGAAAACATCCGCGGCGCCCCAGGCCCGTGATTCTTGCCCAGCCTCGCCTCCGCGCGCGCGTCCGCCGCGTTCAGCGCCTGCATCGGGTTCTCGCGGTCCGGCCAGTGCGAGCCGAGGCTCCCGGGCGCCATGCGCTCAAAGCCGAGCGCGAGCGTGCAGCGCGCGAGGCCGCCGCGGATGAGGTTCGCGGCGTGCAGCAGCGCGGTGCTCCCCGTCGAGCAGTTGTTGTTCACGTTGGTGACGGGGATGCCGGTCAGCCCGAGGTTGTACAGCGCCGCCTGGACACGGAGACGGTGCATTCAGTTACTCTGTGAGCGAAGTTACTGCTGCGCATGGGAACGGCGCTCACTTGGCCGCTGGTGGAGTCGCCGTAGCAGTAGCCCGCAAACGCGTGTTCGATGTGGTCATAAGTGATACCTGACATGCCAACCATCAGCCTTCCTTCGTCCAGCTCCTATGCAAGGCTCATACCAGCGTCGAGGAGCGCCTTGGTTGCAGCCTCCAGACCCATCTATAGATAAATGCCATCAGACTAGGGACCTCTTGGAAAGCACTCCTAGACGTCACTCACATCATTCGTCGAACGTAATCCCCTTGGCTACAGCAAAAGAAAGAAAGAAACCCATTCTCAGCCCATGACATCGCAGTGGAAAAAACGTTGGGGTCCAACGCACCTTGATAAACGCCGTGCATCCCGCGCCGATGATAAACACTCTCTCCTGAGGGCGAGGCATGTCTAGGAAGGGATCAGTCTCCTGCAACGAGTTAGGGTATGTTCTGTGGGATGCGACGGAGAGCTAAGAATTCGGGCGGCATGAGGCATAGTCAAGCGTTGATTATAAGCCGCGCACAGCGACCGAACCGCTCCGAACCGGCTATCCGGCACTCACGTACAATCCATTTACCCCGCAATTGCGGGGTCAGCCCACCCACCTCAGCACCACCTGACGCCCACAACATCGACATGACTTCCGTCTTATGAAATCTGCATGACCCACGAGCGGACATCTTCCAGCTGCAGAGAGGGGGGCTACAATCACCACCTGGCATTGCCCAGATATATATACAAACAATTTCGATAGTATACAAATGAAACGACAGGGGTTCTACTCCTCGTCTTCGTCGTCCTCCTCATCGTCCTCAGCTTCGTCCAACCACTGCAAAACCAACGACCGTCAGCCAACCAGCCATAATCCCGATCGACAAGGGATATGATGAACACTAACCTTCAAGAACGGCTCGCTCGCCTTGCGCACCTTCTTGCTCGTTTCCTTGTCCACGTACTTCTTGCTGACGTGCGTGCCCCACTGCTGCACTACCTCCTCGTCCAAGATATCCGCCTGGTAGAATGCCATCAAGATCTTGGGGATCGCAGGGATCAGCTCGGGGTGCATCATCCCCACAAGCCGCTCGATCCCTCCCAGCAGCGACTTCTGGTGCTTCTCCGACGTAACCATCTGCGAACAACACTGTCAGCATCAAGGTTTAAGAAACAAAGTAAACGCACGAACCTTCACGAATACAGGGTTGTACTTGGTGATCTCCGCGACCACGTTCTCTGTGAACAGCGCCTGTGCGAGCACCTGCACTGCCTTGTGCTTCTTCTCGATCCCAAGCTCCTGAACCTTCTTGTACACATCGACTGCACTGACGTCGTGGTTGACCTCCGCCCATCGCCCCAGCTGCGCGTATGGGCTGTCTGCGTCTTCGTCGCTGTCGTCGTCACCGCCGACCGACATGGTTGCCATGGCTCCCTGCAGCGCGACCACGCGCGCCTTGACAGCGTCGGGCGAAGTGTCCGCCGACCAATCTTCCTTCGCTAGGACCGCTGCCTCACTGTTCAACTCGGCTGCCTCCGCCTTGATGCGCTTCGTGAGCTCGTCCTCCTCTTCACCTTCCATATTCTCGCCGTCACCCGCGCCGTTTGCCTCGCCGGGCACTGCAGGTGCCTCCGCGTGCTCGCCATTCTTCTTCCCTTTGCCTTTCTTTTTCGGCGGATTCTTGATAATGTACGTCGTGAGGCGATGGCGCATGTCGACACTGCTGCGCTCGCCACATGCCTTGCAGTCGCGCACGATCATCTCGGCCTTGGTCAGGATGAGGTCCGTCTCCGGGTTCTTGCACGCGCCGCACAGCACGAACTTGTCGATGAACGCATCGAGGAGCTCGCGGAGGCGGGCGGCATCGTGCGCGCCATTGACGATGTAACGGTCGTTCTTCTCGTCGACGGTCGTCTGCGCACCGAGCTCAGAGCCGAAGAATTTGGTCGGGTAGGTGGGCGGGCGGGAAAGTGCGCGCGCTACGTCGGACATGTTGGGGATCACGGTTTTGATGCCGTTGCCTTTGCCTTCGATCTTCGTGAGAAGAAGTGGCATGCTACATGAAGCGAAGGGGAGCGGAATAGGTCAGCTACGCATGCAGGTATGCATGCTGTGCAGCGCCGTGGGCGTGCGGCAGCAGCGTGGGATTACGCACCGGTAGCGGTAGAACTTGTCATCGACGTCGCGACGAATATTAACGACTCCGGAGGCCATGCTGGGCGGGTTTCAACGCTGTGTGGCAAGCGCAAAGGAGCACGTCAGCGGGACGCATCCCAGGGCAAGAAAGACGAAAGGTGGCTGACTGCTGAGGGAAATATGTTGGGATGCAAGAAACGCTGGACTGCTGGGACAGTGATTGGGGGTCGAAGCATGAATCCTCTGCTCGCACAGAAGACCAGTTGAGGGGGTAGGGCGAGGTAGAGCGCAATCGTGGGCGAGTGGGTGAGTGGGGAGAGATGGTGGTGGTCGGTGGTCAGCCAGCAATTTGCGCGCCGACGGCACTTATGCAACGTTCCCGGCTTTTCCCGTTCCGCGCCGAGCTTGTCCACGTTGCTTCCACACGCCCCCGAGTCTTTTTTTTATTTATAAACCAATGCATCTATATCCCACGCGGCATAAGGCCAGTGGCGGCTGAAGAAAAGACGAGAATGTAGCCCCATATACTATGTAGCACATTAAGGGTTCCGTTAAGGCCCGGACTACCAGCCTAGCTAAAGCAGGCAATTGGAGGACCCTCGTATATCCAGCCAAAGTCACTCAAACAGAAAGTCTATTAGCTCCCGCACAACCCGCACATTCACACTGTTCCCTATCAGCCGGTACTGGCTCTTCCTCGACACCCTCTCTGGCCACTGAAATACCCCTTCCCCGCCATCCTTGCAGCTCTCGAAGTAAAACAGCCGCAACAGCTCCTTGGGCGAGAAATAACGGAGCCGCAGCGGATGCAGAAGCGTAACCGCTCCTGGAATTTCCGCCGCCTGGGCGCGCAAGAACGAGTCAAACGTCGCCGTGGTCTACATAATAAGCGGGCCCAGATTCATCAGCGTTCGAGGCTTATGAAAATTTGTTCTTACATCAAGGGCTTCGTTCTCCTGCAAAACCGATCCCGCCCGCTCAACGAGCTGGGTATAGCCTAACACACGCATGTACATTGAGAGCGTATGACGTGTAGAGTCAATCCAAAATTCGATGAATACACTGTTCACATATAACCCACGCACCTCGCGTGAAACAGCACGTTCTGCGTGCTGACGGCACCACGATGTCGAACAACCGGCCCCACTTCTCCAGCACCTTGTCTGGTATCGCGTGCTGGTGCCGTTGGTCCTCGAGCTCCTCTGCATCGTCGATGTCCAAATAGCTCCCCACGTCATCGACGGGGTTCTCCACGCCTTCGGGCGCGCCGTTTCGGGGATCCACCCAGTCTGCACCGCGCCCGGGAATATGCCGCCATACGCGATCGCGCTCAGGCTCGCCGTCCGCAGGGAACTTGAATGTCAGTGGTGCCATTTTGGCGAGCAGGTAATACCGGAGGCGCGAGTTCGGGATGCCGAGCTGCAATGGCGTCAAGAGCAGCTCGAGCGTGGCGTATCCGAGGCCCTTGAGCGTTTGTAGTAGCACTTGCCTCGTGCTCGACGTCTGAGGTGAGGACGGCGCATCTCAGCAAATCAGAAACAAAGCCTATGGATGTCGGCAGCACCTCGAATCCTGCGACGTTCTCGATGAGCAGGTAGTGCGGGTGGGCACCGGACGCGACGAGCGGCGGTAGCACATTCTCTACGAGGTGCAAGAAAGACCGCGCGCGGGGGTCCGCCGCGCCCTTCGCGAGGGGGTTCAGTACCGTATACGGCTGGCAGGACGGCGACAGCAACCATAGATCAGCTGCGTACCGCGCCAGCTCGGCCGCCCCCAGTGTCGAGATATCGACCTGTTCAGAAGCAGAGAGACGATGTGTCAGGATATTCGGATGTAGAGATCAGGATCATCAGAAGCGGCGGTGACAAATGCAAATTAGACAGCTCATTGTTGGTCCATGATGGTCCCAAATAAAAGGTCCAAAATAGCCGATTCAACTGAATAGAAAATATATCATATACTGCACCTTTTGGACGACATCCGCACCGCGGTTCGCGCTGTAGACTTGGCAGGCAGTCTGGTCCCAGTCAAAGGCGCGCACGACCTTTCCCCGAATGGTGCTCCGTTCCAGCGCAAGATGGAGCCCGCCTAGAACGCAACGTAGAAAAAATGTCAGTGCCGTGGACTTTGGAATAGTCGAGAAGCGAGCTCGCGGACGTGCCTATGCCGCTGTAGAACTCGAGGGCGCGGATCTCGTCATGTTGCTGCATGGCCAGGGAGGTCAACAGGAGCTGACGGCGATCAAAAACGAGGAGGTCCGCTGTTAATTGGTCCGCCTCCCACGGCTATCCCGAAGGTCCACGGACTGGGCTGAAACCAGGGCTTGTATTAGTGAGATCTCGTTCACCTTGACTTCGATATAAACACCCTCTCTGTCCTCCTTCTCCTCCTCCTCCTCCTCCTCCTCCTCCTCCTCCTCCTCCTCCTCGCTTGCCACCGCTGCTCTTTCCTCCTCCCCGGCTGCTTGCTCACCCCAAAACACTACCTGCACCGACTCCGACGCGCAAGCTTATCACTGAGCACGTTCATCCGCGACACCCCCGCTCATGTCTGCGCCCATGACGTCCCAATCTCAATCCAACCCCTTATCCTCCCCATTCTCGTTCTGCAAAACACCAGCTATGCATATCGATACAGACACTCGCTCTGACCCCTCAAACGCCCTCTCCGAGTCGCTGCAGAATAGCAGTCAGCCCAGCGGTCTTGAGACCGTGTCGACGCCCGAGTGAGTTGGATCTCTTTGGGCATACATCTGCCAAGCTCATCGATTCTGTCGTGCGCGGATGGACGGGTTGTACAGAGCACATCTCGATGGCTCGCGGCAGGTGTTCGGTCTAAACAGAGTGGCCCATTTACCCACCCCTTTAAGGTGAGTCTGCGTCTTTTCTCGAGCCCATCGTCATATCGGTCAGGGAGCACTCTGTCTACTTTCTACAATGCGAGAATTAGAAGACGGGTTGTATGTGAGCCCGGATGAAGCCGACCGAAGCCCGTTCCCATTAGTGAACAACTCGGGGATCCCGTCGCATCCCAATGCTGATTCATTCTCGTCTCCTCAGCCCGAACAACCTCGCCCCATACATGAACGGCAATCAGCACTCCCCGACACACCAGCCGTACGTCTATTATTTCAATCTCGACCGTCTCGCCCGGTCTCATCTTCCAGACTGCCCAGGATGCTGCCCTCCGCACTTTCGTCCTCGTCCGCTGGCCAGTTCTCGCGGCCACATTTTGACCCGTCGTCCGCTTCACAATCAGGCCAGATGATCACGCCCGACTCAAGGTATGTCAATGATTATCTCCTATCGAAGATCTACCCCGAATCAAACCACTCATAGCCCTATGTCCTCGCGAAAGCGAATAAACACCTTGTCTATGAATCCTACGCCCGCAAACTTGTGAGTACCTCTGATCTCGTCTTGCTCATTCGCACGGTGTTACAAGGAGATATGCAAGAGCTCGCATTACGTTTAAGCAACATGCTAACTGCACGTTTGTCCCCAGAATACGTTCATCGTCCCCCAAAACTCCCCAACTGCCCCTCGGGTTAGCAGCCAAGTTTCTTTTTAGCGATGACGCCGTGCTTACATGACCACACTCTCAGCAGCACCAACGGCAGCAGTGCCATCAAGACGGATCTATCTATATCTCTCCAAGAACCGTTCTCTCAAAATCGAGACCCCGTCTCGCCACCCCATTCTCACTCCCGATTGTCTTCTCCATTCACTCCTCGACCAGCCCCCACGGAGAGCTCGACCATCCAAGTCCCGAATACTCCTCCATTCCCGTCTCGAATCACCGCAACCGATCTTTCCGACCGCCCCCCAGGCGGTGAGATCGACCGCATCCGCGCTGAGCATGCGCGCGCGCTTGCCGCCCAGATGCGCGAGTCCGAAGCACGCCGTCCAGAGTACCTCCGCCGCGCTAGACGCACACTCCCGCCTGCGGACGCCGCTGCTGCCTCTTCTGCTGATCCCGGGCTCGGGATCACCGAGACGCCGGTGCGCGGGCGGCGCCTAGAGCTGTGGGGCATCCACGAGACGAGCGAGGAGAGCTTCGAAGAGCGGCTGATGGCGGGCGGGTACAGCGGATACGGGAGCACAGGCAGTCCGTCGGCGGCTGCGATGTCTGTCGAGCCGCCGCGAACGCCGCAGCGTGTGTCGGCGTCCCGCGCGCTCGAGTGGGCAAATTTCGTCACGCCAGGCCCCCCGGGGTCTTCTTCTGCGATCCCGGCCGAGGCCGAGGCTGCGGAAGGGGATAGTAGCGACAAAGCGCTGCGGAAGCGGAGGCGGCTGGAGGCGTTCGAGCGGGAGGACGGCGCACGGAAGCGCACGCTGCATCCTGTGGAGGTGGAGGGGAAGGGTCGCGTGCTGCTGGATATGACTGCAGAGGAGCTGCCGGAGCTGATAGAGGACTTGGGCCACTCTCCGACGCGCAGACGAGGCGGGCGGAGGAAGCGGAGGGGCGCGCAGGCGGGAAGCGGAAAGATGCGTGGGAAGGGGAGGTGGAAGGAAGAGGCACGAGAGACAGAGCGGGATGCGCTCGCGCCAGATTGGCCGGATTCGGAGTTTCCGTGGTATCTGCGGACGTTCGAGCGGCGGGAGCGGGAACAGCTAGAGCACGCGGAGCGGATGAAGACGATCGCGCGCTTCTTTGAGACGGGGAGTGACGAAGACGAGAGCGAGGAGGAAAAGGAGGAGGCGATGGTTGTGGACGAAGGCGGGCGGAAGCTCGTGTTCAATCCATGCGACCCTGCCGATGCCCGCGCGGTGCTTCTCTCGAAGAGGTGCGTGCGCGCTCTGGCGAGCGGCCGCCAACTGGGCATGGACGTACACACTCCGGAAGATGAGGTGGTCTGTGTCTGCCACGGTCGTGACGATGGTCGCGAGCTGGTCCAGTGCGACGAGTGCAGGACGTGGTACCATCTCGAATGCATCGGCGTCAAAGACATCTCCGAGCTCGGCCAGGAAGAGGACCCGTGGTTCTGCCACCGATGTGTGGCCGAGCGCCTTCGCGCCGACGACTATGGCCCTGTCGACCCGACCATGATCCTGATGACGACCGTCGATCCGTCGGTGGCGGCGCGGAGGCACGCGTACGACCCGCTTTTTTACCAGGGCGCGCTGACAGACTCTCCCATCGTTTCGTGGGCCCCATCGCGCCCGCCTACCACGCCCACGAACAACCGCGACGGCACCGAGCTCTCTACGCGCTCCTCGTGGGGCGACAGCTCCCGCCACGGTCCGTCCACGCCGCGCACATCGACGCACCGGGTCCAGATTTACACGACCCCGGACGCGATCGACCCGTTTCAGCCGCACGACTCGCCGTTTGACCCGACGTCGACGCCCTCGCGCGGGATCCGCTTCGGCGCGCCGTTCGCGACGCCAAAAGGCGGCAGCGCGCTGTGGGCCGGGCGCATACCCACCACCGGCCCGTTCTCGACGCCGTCGAAACCCCTCTTCCCGCGCCGTCTCCACGCGCCGTCGAGCGCCGCGAACGCTTTGTACGATGACACGAGCAGCGGCTTCCAGCCGTCGTCGAGCCCGACGGCGGGCCTGCCCGCTTGGGACGACACGCCCGTCGACAGGACAGACCCGCGGCCGATCGCTATGCTGCCCCGCCGATCCGCCGAGTCCCCGTTGATGGGGCGGGGCATCCCGAAGCGTCCCGAGCTGGAGGATTCGCCGCTGTTGCTCGCGACGCAGCGGAGGTAGGTTGTGTTGTGGAGGGCTGCATGTATGCTACGATTTAGGTCAGTCTAATTGTCGTGAACGTGAGCCTGCGCTGACAAGTGGCCTTCACTTAGATTGTTCCAGTCTCTTTCACCCGTGCCTCGCTTCAGGATGTTATTGAACCCCCGCGTACTACCAAGGGAGTGGTGTATCCTTCTCCTTCCTCTATCCAGGTTTTGCGAGGCTCGTGTGAATCCCATCAACTTCGAGTCCGCGATGTAGTTCCGTCTCACGCGTTTCCTGATGTCTCCGTAGTACCAATGCGATATTCTGTATCAGTGAGCAAGCTAGTGGTAGTCGGTCGCGCGGCGCGCCTCTTGTATTGGAATGTACGGCCTAGATCGATATCTCCTGGTCTACGCATTATCGGCCAAAACGCTTGACTGGCCCGCTACGAGATCCAAGACTGCAGACGAGCTTCGGACGCGCGCCACCGACGAACAATGGCCAGTGTCATAGCGGTCGGGCAACAACCGGGGGATCTTGTCTTGGATCGTTCCGAGTCGCTCTGCTGTGCTCGCCGCTCGAGTTGCAAACGCGTCGATCGTCTATGCCATCCTGAATGCGTTGTCCGGCATCACCTGCGCGACGCTCGATGAGACCCCCACGCAGACCATCCCGATTGTATCCAGCATCAGCGCAGTCTGTTACGGCGATCCGTACTGTGATGCACACAGATTGAACTTCATGCTCCTGATTGTCCTCCAGGGCGGAGCAACGCCGAGAATACGACCATGATCAACAGCGAGACGCCCTTCAGCTATTCCCTCTCTCCGAGCGAATTTTCTATCGTCGGTGCTCAGAACCGTGTGCGACAAAAACTTCGAAGCCACGCTCCGGTGTGCATGTTGTGTTACCAACAAATACATAGAACAGCCGTGCAAGCGAGCGAGCATCATACCCGACCGAGCCTACCTCCTTCATACAAACGGGCCTGTCGACACTCAGTCACTCAATTCTTCATCGACCGAAGCTGGTTCGGAGGCGGAGTCGGATACGTAGGGAGATGAGGATGGTCCTTAGTCTATGTAATGTCTAGCATAGGGTTCTGTTACCCTGATCAGACAATAAACTGGATTCAATAATAAAATACATAGAACAGCCTACATAATGACACAAGCGTGAAGACCCATCTTCACCTCAAATATCGAATACTCAGCGATGGATCGGCACGACTCGACTTACCTCACATCTTCCTCGCCACGAACTCAGACCAAACAGTACACCCGCCTTCCTCCCTCAACCCGTCGATAATCTCCTCGAGCAGCGCATCCCTCCCTTCTTCCGTGGTGATCCTCGTGCCCCTCGGCGCCTCCAGCACGCCCCGCTCGAACGCAGCCTGGATCAGAGACCCAAACAGGATCTCCGAGCCGCTCAGAGTGAACTCTTCCTCGCTCGCGAGGGAGCCGCCGTCCGCGCCCTTGTGATGCCTGCAGAGTCTGCCGAGCGGCGAGATGTACGATCGGCAGACGGGCGTCTCGAACGAGGCGGCCTCGAGGAGGGAGGCCAGGTGCAGCGTGATGCTGCGGTCCCATACGAGAGCGCGTCACTCGTCAGGAACGGAGGAATAAAGCTCGGGCTCACTACGGCATGAGTCCCCTCGAGAGGCCGAATGTGGCCCAGAAGGTGTTCAGCTTGTGCCGCCAGGTCGTGCCGTCCATACACTCTTCGGCATCCCGCTCGAGGCTCCGGACCGCAGGAGGAGGACATGCCTCCGTGTACACCATCGCGTCCATTTCCGAGAGGATCAGCGTCCCGCCCGGCTCTGTACCACGGCGGCCGTCATCACCTCAACCCTACAGCCTACGCACGTGCACGCGCGGACTCACTCAGCAAGTCCCGATAGCTCCCCAGCGCCGCGCGCCATCCGTCCGCAGTCAGCGCGCCGACGAGCAGGCTCGCGTGCACGAGGTCGCACGTCCCCAGCAGCGCCGCGGGGAACGCCTGCGTCGCGTCCTGCTCGAACACCGTGATGCCGAGCGCGTCGGTGGCCTGCCGCGGCGGGAACTTCGCGAGCGAGAGGTCGCACGCATACAGGCGCACCGAGGCATTCGCGAGGCGCGGCTGGATCTCAAGCTGGCGCGCGAGGTCGAGCGTCCATGCGCAGGTGCCCGCGCCGACGTCCAGCACGGTCGACAGGCGGGAGAGGTCGACGGTGGGCGGGACGGGGGACGTGCGTCCGAAGACCCGTTTCATCATGGCGTATTGGCGTTCCAGCCTATGTGGCGGTCGTGGGGGCGCGGGCGACCGCACCGTTGAGATGTGTTTTGCAAAGTGGTAGGGCGAGAAGTATGTGGTGCCCACCGTGCTTCCTCCGTTGCACCCTCTCGAACGACATAGTCGGAAGCTTTGCTTGGCACAGAAGACATAGGTCAAATGGGGGTGGTTGGACGAGTCTCTTTAGATGATAGTGGAAGGAAACGAGTGCCGTGCGATACATTGGTGCACGAGGTTATATAGTGCTATCCTTGGACAGGCAGTGGGAAATCAGCTGTCCAACCCTGTACAAAGACAACCAGTCGCCAAATCTTCTCAGCACCGCGCATGCGATACAACATTTGAATCGACAAGCAGGCGATAGTTTGCGGAAGTCTTCTATGGCTGGCGCGTGTTTGTATATGTTTTGTGCCAGCCGCCAATGGGGAGGGCTTGGGATTGCTCGAGGATGAAGGTTCAAAATGCTCTTTCATCACGTCATTTATTTGCCATACGTTTTCTCATATGTTTTCCGTTATTTTATCATAGTAATAGTCATTCCCTTGCCCTCGACACGGTGGTGGGTAGGAGCCTGCGCAGAACGCTGATATTGCTAACATTTGTCAGCTTTCTACACAAATAGCCAACATAAGTGGGAGATTGCCATCCAACATCTTGATTAGAAACAAACTGGACGATGTTGTCCGACAATGCCCTTCTTATGCGATGCAAGATGTTCTACCATTGCGACCCTTTCCTCGACCTCTTTCCATTCTTCAAGTGGACTCCCACCTTTAAGAGCATTGAGGACCCTATATCAAATGTGACTTCAGTATCGGAACAATTGATTTCTTCAGAGACGTACTTTTTCAACATCGCGTACGTTGCAAAATTCACAACCACCTCTCCAGCTACCTTCGAAATCTTGGAAACTTCACCTAACGCAGCCTGAATTGGCCCTTCCATCGCGTGAGCAAGCCACGCTGCAAAGTACGCCGCGGCACCGGTGCCAAGTGCGTTACGCAGGGACTCGTACAAGAACCGCCCGATGGTAGCTTCCTCGAATTGCGCTTTCAAGCGAGGATCATGGACAAGATAACCAGCTAGAGCCATTTCGGCTAGGATTCCGATAGGCGTCGCAAGACCCGCTCTTATCATTGCACCAATCGGTCCTCCCAGACATGTACCAATAGTAATGCCGACCATAACCGTGGTAGAGTTGGCACAGTAGGCGATAGCACGAGCGGCATGGTCCTACATCAATATCAGGATCTCCGATACGCCCCAAAAAGTCCTCCCGCAAAAAGACCATGAGACACACCTCATTTCCAGCTGCAAATTGCAGAGCAGCGACGATGAATCCCACCACCGGCAGTTTTTCGAAGAATGAAGCGAAAAACCCGTCACGGTCAAACCATCCATCACTGCGATAGTTAATAACCATGCATCACCTTGAGGCTGCGAGATGCGTGACTTACTGTTTCACAAATACCAAGCCCCCATAGTGGTTCACTATACATATGGACAAGTCGACTTCTGCTTGTTTATATTGACTGTCCCAGCCCCTCAACTCGGCACGTAAGGTGATTGATTTAGTGGTGAGGTGAAGCGAAAGATTGCGGGCGGTATAGACGAAAGATTTGTCGCCTGATTTGAACTCTCCATTCGAATTCCCGTAATGATCGTTAAGATCAATCTCGGACGCGTGCATCTTCCCGTCCATACCAAGGCATAATCCCTTCAGTCGAGTTCCATCAAGAAGCAGGCAGGAAGACGACAGGAGAAGCGAGTCACGTCTATTCAGGACAGTGATCAGTAGGTTACGACAAGACCATCTGAGTCGGAAACGGACGACTTACGGCTTTTTAAACCGAAGTTGACCATCGATGTTCTGAATGCAAACATTGAGATCGAGAGTGGCTTGTAACCTCTTCGAATCCTGGCGGATAAGAGATGCAGTGATGATGGTGCCGACCAAGCGTACAGATTCAGCAGACCGGGAGAAATTCGTCCCACTCATGTTAAAAGAGCCATCGATGTTTCCGAGATGCCTATCGAGATCAATAGTGGATGGAACCCAGAAGCCTTGGAGGTTGCGACAGTGGGCCTTTAGTATGCTGCCTTCGAGTATGATTGTGCGAGAAGTCAACGAAAACGCCATTGCTAAAATGTAGGAGTATAAGTGGACCAGAACAGTCACAAAGACGACGACAGACCAATGTCGAATTTGGGGAGGTAAGAGGCAAGCAGTAAGAGGTCGCAGCGCAGCGTGCTTCAAGTGCGGCTAGATTCCAGCATTATATATATTCGAGAAATCAGTCTGCGGAAATACTGCGCCCTATATCTGGTTAGCTTCGAGTTTCCAAAGGACTTTAGTAATGCAGAACAACCTGACCAAGTAATGCTTCTGTGTCCAATTTGTTAAGGAGTGACAACGCGAATCGGGATCGGAAGCAAACGCTGGAATAAGTATGTCCGATCTCAACCTTAGAAGAACGAGGGATGGAATCAAAGGCCATATAACCTTCTTGACGTCAAGGAAACTCCATAGAAGTTCATCGATGAACCTGAGGCCAGAGGCCTGAGGAGACAATATAATTTTGGCTTTTAGACAGCGAACTTTGTGTCACTGCGAATATAGGCACCAATCAAAGGGTGTGTATATTTGGCATATCAGCCGAGATAAGCACACCGAAGCTTCGCTAAGGCCTGCGAGCATCGAGTCAGACGAGAGGCCTGTGTATGCAAAAACGCCGTCTCCAAACTCACCATCGATAGGGTCTGCGCCACTTGACACAGTAGATTGAGCGGCGAGCTGTCTTCCGATTCATTGACCCTAGCCATAGGTTCAGCGGGCAGTACTCCCGTCGTTTCTGGCAGCATAAGGGAAAACAAGGCCCCTATGTCCACAACTAGGGGGACCAAAAGCAGCTTGCCACGCGGCGTGTCAAAGATGGGTTTGTTTACTATTCGCTGGTGCAAAGTTGCCACTTGGGGCCCCAGATTCGGGACTATCTGACCCAGTCGGATGGTCGGCGAGAGTCGACAATGAGATTTGTCTCTTTTGCTGCGTTGGCAAATGCTTATCAGCGAATTTTCTAGAGTGCATGCGATGCGTCCACCTTCTTCTCCTCAACGCCAGATTTTCGACCTCACTTGTTTTATTGATATCTTTCATTGCACACCTCGCCGAGTCTCTAGAATCAAAACTGAGGGCTTAAACGCGATACCGAACCCGCCCAGCCGCACGTCAGAATTCGCTCGTCACATCCGCGCAGCAGCCAAGCAAGCCGAGTTCGCACTCAGTGCATGCGAGCATTCTCCGGGGCGTTTCTGACGCTATCAGGATATTGCCGGTGCGAAACGGGCAGGACAATACGAAATGCAACCCGGTCACGGTGAGCCGGGCAAACAAGGCGAGCACGCAACGTTCAAGACTTCAACTATGAGAGCAGAGTGGAGAAGCGTCAACATACCAATATCGACAGTCTTTGAAGAGCTGATGTTATTATCTTCCATAGAAATAGAGGCCGATGAACCATCAGTATGTCTTGGTTGGAGGGATAGGGAGTACACGGAGGTGAGCGAAAAGATCAGGCCAACCGAGATAACAAACATACCTAGATGCTTTCCTGCTCCTCGGGCCTCCCAATATCCTTCTTAAAGGTCACACTTCCACAGTCCTTACGCATCCGGACAGTCGTTCTGACTGGGATGAGGGGTTGCTTTTGATGTGGATCACTACGCTGCACCTACACACTCAAACGCAGACGTCGCGGATGCAGAGGGAGCGCGTGCTGAGGGTACGGGAGGGGAATGCGTGTCATCGATACAACCAATGAGAGCACTAGAGGAGCGTGCGGAAGCAGATGCAGTGAAGACACTGAATGTACTCTGAATGTTGTTGCCAGAAACTCAGACGGAAGTACAGAATGTTCAGTCTCCGAAAGCCTCGTCGCATGATCTTATCTTATCTCCACACGCCTCTCAACCACACCATGTTCGTCTGCCCTCCCTGCACACCCCGCCCGTCCCGCACTCACGCCCTGCCGACTCCTCACACAGGCCGCCCAAGGGTGGATCAAGGCGAAAAGCCGTCGTCCCGTCGACGAGCAACGAGGGATCCGCGACGCCCCAAGCACCCGTGCGTACTCCCTCCGCCCCGCGCCCGCGCGCTCACCCCCAGCCCCGATACGCAGACGCTCTCGGTGCAGCTGTCCTACCTCAGCAGCCCGCGCCCGTTCAAGAACCCGGGCTACGCGAAGAACGTGAACAGGCGCGCAAAGAACGTGAAGACGATGCTCGGGCAGGAGCGCGAGCGCGAGCGCCAGGAGCGGGAGCGCAGGCGGCTGCAGCGGGAGCAGGCGATGGACGTCGACGGCGAGGGCGGCGCCGGCCCGCCGGACGCGGATGCGCTTGCGGACGAAGACCTCCCATCGTGTACGTCGTCGCCTGTTCTCGTTCGCCGTCGTTGCCGTGTGCGTCTGATGCGTGGGCTCTTAGACCTGTCCATCGAGGCGCCACCCTCCGTGCTGCCCCAGAAGCACTACTGCGACATCACCGGCCTCGAGGCAAGTCCCGTCCCGCTTCTGCTCTTCGCCTGGGTCGCTGATGCTCCACAGGCTCCCTACACCGACCCCGTGACCGGGCTGCGATACCACGACAAAAGCATCTACGAGCTGATCAAGGGCCTGGTGCGTCCTCGATCTCGCGTGCGCGCCGCACTCGCTTGGCAGACCTGACCCGCCGACAGTCCTCCAGCGCCGCGAAGAACTACCTCTCTGCGCGCGGCGTGAACCCGATCGTCAAATGAGGGGCCCGCCGCGTTTGTGCGTGCGTGCAGTTTGCCAGCTTCGTTTTCCGCTCTGCTCTCTTCTGTGTATGTGGTATGTGGCGCGCGCGCTTGCTTTTCTGTACTATCACCTGCGACTCCATGTGCAATCTCACTGTTGTCTGCTTCCGATCTCGGTGGCTCTGAACGAGTATGTACGACGTCATCACGAACTTATAGATCTCGGAGGACACGAGACGTAGACATCGCTGGCAACGATCTTAGCATAACATGCCGTCGTGCGTTGCCCGGTGAACCTGAATGAAAGAGAGACTTGGTTCCACACTCCCTGTTCGCACAGGGAAACGAGAGCGAGAGTGCTTCGAGTACCGACGCACCGGCCGCGGTGGCCCGATGTGGAAGCGGCGGTGCCCAGCGGGGCGGCGGTATCATGCTTGGACGCGACGCGCCGGTGCAGGCCCCATCTCTCCCGCCAACTGGTTACTGTCCTTACGAGTCCCCCGCCCGCGACCAGCGCCGCGCACATGCCGCAGCCAGACCTCCGCTCCTTTTTCCGCTCCTTATGGCTCCGCGCCGCCTCCCTCCTGCCCTCCCCGCCCGAGCCCCCCGCAGACGCACACGCAGACGCACACGCCCGGAACCCGCGCCAACCGCACACCGCGGCCGTCCCTCCCGCCGCTGACGCCGCCGCCGCCGCCGCCGCACCCAACGCGGCGCGCACAGCGGAGAACGGCACGCGCAAGCGCCCAGGCCTCGCGCGCGACCTGCGGCACAAGTCCAAGTCCCAGCCGAACATGCGCAAGTTCACCTTCAAGGCCCGCTTCTCGTCCTCGTCCACCGCCCTGCACAAGGCCCCCGCCGCGCAGCCCGAGCCCGAGCCCGTCCCGCCGGACTCACGCTTCCTCGTGGTGCCCCCGCCGACGGGGCACACGACCGGCGGGCGCGAACCGGCGAGCGAGCGCGGCAGACCGCCGTCCCCGCGACTCGTTCCCCCGCCCGCGTCCCGCTTCAGCCAGCGCCTATCCGGCGGCTCACTCTCCCTCTTCCCGCCTCTGTCCTCTTCCGCGCCGACGCCCGCCCTCTCGTACACCACCAACACGCCCTCGACCGTCTCGCTCGCCTTCTCGCCCGAAACACCGCTCGATCCGAGCACCCCGTACCCAGACGCGAACGACCTATACGCCATCGCCGAGCTCGTCACGGCCACCACGTCCGACGCCGACCTCGGCGCGCTCGCCCAACGGCGCGGCTTCCGCGGCGCACGCCTCTTCACCGCCGCCGACCCCCTCCGCACGCTCTCCACCGCTCTCAGCCCCCGCTCACCCCTCTTCGCCGGCGCCCCCGCCCTCCGCCGCATCTCTGACGCCGTCTGGGGCCCGCACGCCCCCTCCGCCACCGCCGCAGCCGCAGCCGCAGCCGCTGCGCACCAGGGCGCCCGCACGGCCCCCGACCCGTTCGCGACGCACGGCGAGTCGTACTATACCGCGCGCGCCGAGCCCGGCCCGTTCGCGGACATCTACGACCTGGCGGCGTACGCGCGCGCGCGCCACAGGCGCCGCAGGACGGGCGAGACGCGGACGCCGCGCGCCAAGGCGGGCAAGTCGCGCGTGAACGTGTACGTCGTGTCGATGTACGACGCGCGCGCGCCGTCGCCGAGCCGCAGGAAGTCCAATGCGGACGCGGCGGCGGTGGCGGCGGCGACGACGAGGCACGCGTCCGTCGCTTGCCCCGCGCGCACCGCGTCCGTTGCGTCCCTCCCCGCGCGCGCGAAGAGCAAGGCCGCGCCGGGGACGGGAGTCGCGCGCGCGAGCGTCGCGGCGATCGCGGAGGCGGAGGAGCTGCTGGACAAGGAGTACCTGCGGTCGCTCGCGCGCGCGTTTTTCACGCCCGAGTCGTCGCCGCGGACGTCGGTGGCGTCGCTGTGCACCGAGCGGCGGCAGTCAAAGGGGCTGCGGCCGCTGGTGCTGCCGCAGCAGCTCGGGCTCGCCGGCGCGGGCGGGGGGGACGCGCCGTGTGTGAGCGAGCCGAGAAACGAGTCTGCGCTGCGGAGGAGCCTGCAGGAGAGGAGGCGGTCAGGGCCGACGGCGACGATGACGACGACGACGACGACGACGACTACGATAGTGGAGAGGGGTGGAGAGTCGCCTGCATTGGGTTATGAGTGGGACGAGAGCATGGAGAGCGAGGTGATGCGCCTGGGCTGGTGAGAGGCGCCGATATCTACGTACAAGCTTGAGACTGGGACGCATCATGGCATTATATACACGGATCTTCAGGAACTTGCGAACGATGGCGGCTAGCCGCGGCCCTTGACATGAGTAGCCTGAGAATTATAGCCTAGAATGAAAGTTGCTCTTGAGTCATAGGCAAGGAGCCGGCGGTGTTCGTCGATACCGCATCGTGTTCAGCGGGGGGTTCTGTCTGGGGGAACGCGTACCCTTGACTTCTGGCACGAGCGCCGCGCAGAGTCGATGCTAACCTTGCTCACGCGGCGCCATGGATTGACTTTCCCTGGTCGATGCAGGTCGGTCGACAAGTCTTGATCGACGTCGGCGCGTCGCGCTCCAGTTTCTCACGGTCGAACTGTGGTGGGACTTGCGGGTGTAAAATAAATAAATAAGTGATGGTCGCAACGGCCTTGGCGTCCCCGACGCTCGTTAAACGATTTCCATCGACGCTTCCTCGCCAACGCTCACGACGATGACCGACTACGGCCGCCAGCCCATCCAGCATCTCCAGCACTCCTCCCCACTCGATTCTCTCGTCCGCCGCACCTCCTCACGGCGCAGACCACCAGCCTCGCTCTCAGCCAATTCTCGACTTGGCGAATCGTCATCACACGCTGAAGCCGCAGTGATAGACCACGATGCAGCCTACACGGCACAGACCAGCACCCCTCCGCGCAGGCGTCAGGGAAGACCCCCCTCCTCGCCGCTGCTGCACACCCAGTTCCGGAGCTCCACCGCGACCACCGCAACCACCCTCGACCTGCTGAACAAATCGTCGTCCTCGATAGCCGGCGACGACAGCCAGGACATCTACTACAACGACGCCGACAGCATCTACTCGAGCGCGACCGTCTCGCCCCAGTACCGCGCCGGCATGCACCCGACCCCGCCCCGCTCTGCGGACTCCCGCTATAACCCCGAGCCGTCTGCGGGGCGTGCTGCGCACCAGGGCAGACAGCCAGGCGACCCCTTCGTCGGCATCCCGTCGATGTACACCGACTACCGCCCCTCGCTCGACGGCTACCGCCCTGCCGAGACACGCCCGCAGGAGCAGGAGCAGGAGTACGGCCGCCCCCGGCGCAGCAGCGACAGTCAGCACGTCGACCCCTTCGCGTTCACCGGCATGCCCCAGGCAGACAGCTCCAGGTCCGTCCCGACCGTCGTCATATCCTCCGCAGACACCAGCGACACGCGCTCCCTGGCCGCGTCCTACGTCACCCCCTCGCTTTCCTCGAGCGGCCGCACGCCGTCTGCCCTCCCGTACGGCGTCAACTACTCGCGGCCCGTCCGTCCGTCCTCGGACGATAACAAGCGCATGGTGCTGGAGCGCAACGGGTACCGGACGCCCCCGACGACGGGCGCGTCTGGCGCCCGCACATTCCAGTCTATGCAGGCTGCGCCTCCTTTGGATCCCCATTCCGCAAGCCGGAGCGGCCCCACGCCGTTGTCGCGCGTGCGCTCGCCGCTCGCATCGCCCTCTCCTACTGCGGGCCCTCAAGAACCCTCATTTGCGGCCCCCACCTCGCGCTCCCCCTCTCCAAGATCACCCCTCTCCGAACCAGCACCCACGAGCCCGCTCTCCCCAGCATCGACCAACTTCTCCCTCACCCAGACCATCACCCTCTCCCGCGACCCGCCACCGCCTCCAACCTCCCCCACCGGGAGTCTCTACTCTTCCTACTCGTACTATCAGCTCGAGACCCCCGTCCCCTCCCCGACAACCGACACGCTCCGCGTCCCCGGCGCGCCCCCAGCCCCGCCCGCGCCCTCCCCCCCGCGCACGGCGCTCGCGCCCGCGCCAAATACGGTCAACCCGCGCACGGCCGAGGACTACCTCCAGCTCGGGATCCAGCACCACGAAGCAAACCGGCTCGCCGAATCCGCTGCGTGCTTCGAGCAGAGCGCGACGCTGCCGGGCGGGAGCGGCGTCGGGATGCTCATGTGGGGGCTCGCGCTGCGCCACGGCTGGGGGTGCGCGAAGAACGAGCGGCAGGGGTTCGCGTGGCTGCGCCGCGCGGCGGAGAGCGCGGTCGACGACCTCGAGCGCGCGCGCCAGGGCATGGACACCACCGCCATCCGCTCCGAGCTCGTGCTCGCGATCTACGAGGTCGGGCAGTGCTTCTTCCAGGGCTGGGGCGTGAAGAAGGACCAGAAGATGGCCGTGGTGCGTCCCGTCCCTTCCGTCTGCCTATCCGTCCGTCCGTCCGTCCGTGCGCGCACGGGGGCTCATTCACCTCTTTTGACGTGCGTGCGTGCGTGCGTGCAGAGCTACTTTCAGGTCGCGGCGAAGCTCGGGGACGCGGACGCCCAGCAGGAGCTCGCGTTCTGCCTCGCGAACGGCAAGGGCTGCAAGAAGGACCGCAAGGAGGCCGCCAAGTGGTACCGCGACGCGGTACGTTGCTTTTCTCTCCCCGCTCCGCGATCCCGTGCGTTCTCACCGCGCGCATGCAGGTCGCCCAGGGCGCGAGCGACGTCGGGCTGGCGTGGATATACAAGGAAAAGTTCAAGTAGCGGCGGCGGCGGCGGCGGCGGTCGGATTCGCATACTGCACGTTTGTTTACCCCCTCTCTCGGGGCTGTGATTTGGTCTCGCTGTCTCGTCTGCACACACGTCTCTTGATACCCCATCTTGCTCTGCGCTCGTTCCTACCTTATTTTGGAGATTTATTGGTTGAAGAACGCTCCGCGCGAGGCGGGCAAAGTAGTAGTATAATAACAGCGTAGGAAGCGTGTAGATTAACGAGGCGGCTTGGCGCGCGCTACGCGATGTACTTGCCCTTGCTCTTGACCTCCGCGTATGGGTCCGGCCTCGGCAGGTGCCCGAAGCGCGGCTGGGGCACCTCTGCGAGACGCGCAAAAGAAGAGATCGTGAGCGCGCGGACGCCGCGAGGGAGAGGGAGCGGCGACACTCACTGAGCACCTGGTCCCACACGCGCGCGGCCTCCTCGTCCCACACCGCGCGCCACATGTGCGCGGCGCCGCCCTCGAGCTGGAGTCCGTGCGTCTGCGCGAACTCGCGCACGTTGAACCCGCGGCGCTCGAGCTGCGGGACGCGGATGCGCTCGGTCGGGGACGCCTGTGGGAGGAAGAGCAGGACGTAGCGGTGGTAGGGCGTGCCCTGCGCGGGGTGCGGCGGGACATAGGGCGTGTGCGTGGCCGTCAGCGGGAGGGGCGTCGGCGCGCCGCTGGAGAGGCTGATGTTCGGGCTGGGAGGGTGTCAGTGGGCACGGGGGAAGGTGGATGGCGGGGCGTACTGGAGCCAGTGGAGGTAGGTCGTGAACGACCGGGTTTCCTCGTCCGGGACATCTGTGAGAAGAGTGTATGAGCGGGGAGTGCGGGAGAGGGGGAGATGCGCCTGACCTGGGTCGACTAGCATCATAGTGTACAGTCTCTCGTCTGTGTGGAATACGGTTGTGTAGAGCCGCGGCGCCTTCTTGGTCTATGGACGCACAAACGTGAGCTGCGATGGACGGGTGTGGGGCGGGGCGCGCACCTGCTCGTTGTGCAGGAAGATACCGGGCTCGATGGCTACGTAGCGCCGCTTGACACGCGTGCGGAGGTACACGCTCTCGGGCGGGGGCTCGGGGAACGTGATGCGGAGGTCAAATCCGGGGCGGAGGTCTGGAATCAGATCGGGGACGACGTTCATCTGGTGAATACGCTCCATCTGACAGCCCCAAGTGTGAGAACACAACTCGATCGGCAAAAGCAACAAGCCAAAAAAAACGAACCAAAAGATCGAGCGCGCCGTCCTCCCTCCACCTCTTCTCGACGAGGTGCCTGTAGACGGGCTTCTTCAAGTCCGCTGCACGTCATCAGGGCGAAAGCTCGCAGCTGCAGCAGAGGCGGCACGGCGACTCACCCATTCCGTTCGCGGCCTTCCACCTGACCCACGGGAGGTTCACCTCGGACATGATCTCAAGTGTCTCCAGGCGCGCGCGCGCGTCTTGCGCCTCGTCGGCCGGGACGCTGCCGCCGTCGAGGGTCGCCGCGAGCGCCTGGGCCTCGTGCTTGATGCTGCGCGAGTCGACGGCAATGTAGCGCAGCGCCTCGTCGTACGCGGGAAGCACGCCCGGCGCGACGGGGCGGCACCAATCGCGCGGTCGCTCGAGGGTGATGGAGGGACGCTGCCTGGCGTATTTTTTGCGGGGCCGTCTTCGCTTTTTCGCGGAGGCGGTCGCGTCTGCGTCTGAGGGTGAGCTGCTGGGTGCGGCTGGCGGGGGGGTTGGCTGCTGGGCAGCGGCTGCGGTGGTGTTGAAGCGTATCAGCGGGCCGTTGAGCGTTCGCAGTCGGCGGAGCGCAGCGAACATGGTGCAGCCGTGACGAGGAGGAGGAAGAGAGTCTGCCAGCCAGTCCCGCACGCCGCTTGCGCCCGGCATCTTCCGGGCCCGCCTCGACGAGCTGCCGCCACTCTTCAGTCCCTCTTCCCTCGCCCACTCTCTTAGAATCGACCTCTTAATCAGGATGTCTGGGGTTGCTCGGAATCAGGCACCGCGTCCTGCAAGGCCAGTAGGTCGTTACTGGAAGGGTAAAGCTCCCAAGGGAGCGGCAGAGCTACCTTCATCCGACGATGAGGACGCGGAAGAGCAGGAGGTCCAGGAGGAGGAGGATGTCCCTATGTCTGGTGAGCAGTTTCTCGGAAGGGATATCGATGACGAGGGCGCGATCGCCACGAGAAAGCCGGTGACCAAGATGAGCGTCGCGTTGCGGGACGTGAACATCTCAAAGGAGGGAAAGGTGCTTCTTGGCGGGCGAGAGGAGGTCAGGAAGACAGAGGGAGAGGACGATGAAGAGGATGAGGAAGAGAATGAGGATGAAGACGAGGATGAGGATGAGGATGGTACGCAAACGGATGGAAGCTCGTCACAAGAATCGGAGGAAGAGGCACCTAAAGTACAGTTCCGACCTGTCTTTGTGCCGAAGTATGTCTCATCATATTTCCATGATATGTACACTTAGATTCCATATTTCTCATAGACGCGGTCGTGTCACAGTCTCTGAGAAAGAGGCCATAGCTCTCGACAGCGAAGAGGCCACAAAGAAAAAAGAGCTGGAGGCAGAAGAGCGTCGAAAACAGAGCCATGATATGGTCGCAGATAGTATTCGTCGGGAATTAGCTGAAAGTGCGCCCTACTGTTTCTGACACTGTCGACTATCTCATAACAGCGCGTGCTCTCATGGCAGAGCAAAAAGAAGACGAGGTTCCCGAAGTCGACGATACGGACGGGCTCGATCCGGTGGCGGAGTTCGAGGCATGGCGTCTGCGTGAGCTTGCGCGGATCAAGCGAGACAAGGAGGCGGAGGTGGCGCGTGAGCTGGAGCGCGAGGAGATTGAGCGTCGACGTGCAATGCCGGAGGAGCAGCGGATGAAGGAGGATCTAGAGCGCGCGCAGAAGCTGCGGGACGAGAAGCCCAAAGGCCAGCAGGTATTTCTACAGAAATATTGGCACAAGGGTGCTTTCCATCAGGTGCGTTCTCTGCCCAGTCTTCCACTCCTGGGTTTGAACACAGCAATGTGCTTCGCGGGCATTTGGGTCCTAGGATCAAGAAATATTGAAGCGTCATGACTTCACTGAGAAAACAGAGTCGACAGTTGACGTGTCGGCACTCCCATCAGTCATGCAGGTGAAGAACTTCGGGAAGCGTGGGCGGACAAAGTACACGCATCTGTTGGACCAGGATACCACAGCAGGGAATGGGGGATTTGGTGGTGCTGGATCCGTCAAAGTCGGCGGAAAAGGCACGGAAGGGAACGGATGCTTTCTTTGCGGAGGGCCGCATCTCAAGAAAGGTAACGTAGTTTGTTCGCGCGCGCTTCTTGACGCTCATTGGCACTTGTGTTTTAGATTGCCCGCAAAATACTGGACTGCCCCCGGGACGGCCTGGAACGGGCGCGAATGCTGCTACACTGACGAACGCTAAGGGCGGAAGGGGGGATAGCAATAGATATGACGGGAGGGGGCAGGGTTGGAGAGGCGACAACAAGGGGAGGTCGCCCAGAAGAGAACAGGCCAGAGATGGTGAGGACATCGACAGGCGATGGAAGGAGAAGCGAAGATCGCGTTCACGGTCTAGAGAGCTAGGTGTGGTACATGAACGAGAGAAGCGGCAGAGGGTGGATTGATTTCTTTGTCTGTCATTGTATTTGTGAGGTTTGGGTCTGTATTTTATGTTCTGCTACCCTCTTTTCTTCAGCGGTACTCCTCCCTTGTCTATTCACTTCGTCAACCACCGTCGTGAGTGCCTTTTCAAGTTGAATTGGACAGTGCTCCCTCTCATTTGTCACACTAGCTTGTCGAGTCGTCAATCCAGCTGCTGCGCTCGAGCTCAGGCGCTCAAACGCTCAAACGCAAGCGAACGTGATCTTCCTGATCCCCGCACCACCTCGTCGTCGTTGTTCTGAAAATTCAATCAGGAAGTGGACCATCTCATTTGGAGATTTGTCGCACGAGCTCACCGAATGTGGATACGAGGCGCGTATCGTGCACCATCTTTTACCACCAGGTTTCACCTGATATTTAGTTCAGTTTCGAGCGTCTACTGTACGATCTGAGTCTCTCAATGAATTTCCTCATACTTATTGGTATGTCAAACCTTTGCACTCAGTATGAGAGTCTGAAATGCTGATACGGCTTTCAGGACTGTGCTATCTACAGGTTCTCATTTTGTGCTCTTTCATTCCACATGGAACAAATAACGAACACATCTATGCTAGTGTACATATAACACTGCAATCAAGCGCACATGGCCATAAATCCATATCTCGGCTTGAAAATCGCGTATGTCAATGAACTCAGGACAGTATAAACATATTTTGAATTGTAAGCACGGCTCACCTCACAACCAAAGCTTCTTCAAATCACAGCTGTCGTTTTCGAAGGCGAATCTTAAGCGCGCTATCAGGACGAACAACTGAGATAGATTTCGCCGATGACGCCGCAGGAGGGGAAGACTTCGGATGCATGTCGATGTCATACAGATGGAAACACATGATCAGAAACATCTTGATCATGTGTTGAGCAAAAGTTCGTCCTTTGCACTACAACGAAGTCAGTCGCGCCGCACATAACATGGAATGAGCTTGAACACCGACCATATACATGCCCCCTCCCCAAGGAACCAGAGTTTTCATACCATTGTGTTCCCCGTACCCTTTGATGTTCGTGAAGCGATCCGCTTTGAAACTTTCAGGATCAGGGAAATAGTCCGAATCGAGATGCATGCCGCGAACGTCCACTAACACGCCTTCCCCTTTGTAGATGCGGTACTCCTGCCCGTTTCCTCCGATGATCGTGGTGTCGTGCAGTACCTGTCGCACGGTGCTAGGAAGAATGGACAAGCGCAGCGTCTCCTTCACCACGGAGTCGAGAAGGGCAAAGTCGGGATCATCGAGGACGCTGGGATCGGCTGTGAGCAATGAATGGAAATCCGAGAGTTTGAATGTTGATTCCAAATACTCCAGCTAATTCCACCTCTACGCATATCAGCCAGACTTTGAAGCATCATGTAGGCGGCCATGAGGAAAAATATCGCTGTGCGGAATCAACACCAAGATAAAAATCATCAAGACTGTGAATGGACTCACTAGCCGCTATCAAACATGGGATCCTGTTCAAGTGAAATTTTATTTAGAAGAAGAAAACGGGAAAAGGATGTGCACAGATTCAAGGGATTACTTGACTAACCATGATGCCAGTGTGAAGTGAGTAGGGGCAGTTGCCAGGCAGCCAGGCAAAGGAACACCGGGTGGAGCAACGAATGCGGTTTCCTGTGTCACCAAGCCGATCTTGAAGGAAATGTAAAACTCAGTCTTCACGAAGAGTGAGCTTCTTCGAATGTATATTCAAGACTGAAAGGTACGTACTACAAATTCGACTGCGGATACAGTTAGTTGGATGAGTTGACAGTAAGAAGATATCAATCATATCAATGCTTACTGGTAAGGATTGCAATCAAAATTGCCAATACTATCGAATAATGAGTCAGGGAGGTGTGTGATTCGAAGAATTTACTAGTTCCCACTTGCCTCTGAAACTTTGTCCAAAAAGGGCATAAAGTCGGAGGACCAAGATTGCATTGATTGCAGTGGTAAAGAGAATTGCACCCCCCCTATAACTTGGCGCGTCAGTAGTGATAATATGATTTCCTGAATGTCGCTGTGTGACGCCCACATGGAATAAAACCATAGATAATCCTGGCAGCTGTTGCACAAAGAGTTGTAGCTTGTTATACAGAGTAAAGTTCGACGTACAACTGCAAATTTTGCGTAAGTTGATTTCGAATCAATCAGATATTCGCTTTGAATACCTTCACAGAAAAGCCGGTGCGTGTGTCGACTAGAACAAGGGTCAGAGAGATTTAAACCGGTGAATGATTCCCCAAACCTGTGTGAGCAACCCTGAATGTTCAAAAAACGAGAGGAAGAAGATACCTTCAGTCTGATATCCGAATCGGGACAACAAAAGAATCTGACTCACGTCAAGTAACAGATTCCATAGTGGATGCATTTCCACAGGTATTGGAGCAGTTCTAGATTAATAAATCGGAGTCGAACCTTGTTTTAGATTTGAAACTAGAAATCTTACAGAACCATAAGACCATCTATGACTTGGTGAACCCACGCACTTGATATAAGCGGAGCTTCAATCACGATCTGCCTCCATGCAGCCAGCACGGATAAGTCCACCGCAGATACACCACAAGCCCACCATCTACTGTTCAGCTTCGATAACATTGGATAATGGCATATGCAGTGGATCTTGATGACTTTGTTTTGCTAGACTCTGGTATCACAATGATGATTAGGTGTTATGGAGCGAAGCTCTTGTCTGTGTCAGTGTTTTCGCCTTAGCTCGCAGGATAGCGACGACAAGGTTCAAGCGGAGTTCAAAAAATGCGTTTACAATGGCGA